ATAGTTACTACATCTACTGTTATGTCTATAGTTACTTCATCTACAACTATGTCTATAGTTACTACATCTACAACTATGTCTATAGTTACTACATCTACTGTTATGTCTATAGTTACCACATCTACTGTTATGTCTATAGTTACTTCATCTACAACTATGTCTATAGTTACTACATCTACTGTTATGTCTATTGTTACTGCATCTACTGCTATGTCTATAGTTACTACATCTACTATTATGTCTATAGTTACTACATGTACAACTATGTCTATAGTTACTACATCTACTATTATGTCTATAGTTACTGCATCTACTGTTATGTCTATAGTTACTACATCTACAACTATGTCTATAGTAACTACATCTACAACTATGTCTATAGTATCTACATCTACTGTTATGTCTATAGTTACTACATCTACTGCTATGTCTATAGTTACTACATCTACTGTTATGTCTATAGTTACTACATCTACAACTATGTCTATAGTTACTACATCTACTGTTATGTCTATAGTTACTACATCTACTGTTATGTCTATAGTTACTACATCTACTGTTATGTCTATAGTTACTACATCTACTGTTATGTCTATAGTTACTACATCTACTGTTATGTCTATAGTTACTACATCTACTGCTATGTCTATAGTTACTACATCTACTGTTATGTCTATAGTTACTACATCTACTGTTATGTCTATAGTTACTACATCTACTGTTATGTCTATAGTTACTACATCTACTGTTATGTCTATAGTTACTACATCTACTATTATGTCTATAGTTACTACATCTACTATTATGTCTATAGTTACTACATCTACTGTTATGTCTATAGTTACTACATCTACTGTTATGTCTATAGTTACTACATCTACTATTATGTCTATAGTTACTACATCTACTGTTATGTCTATAGTTACTACATCTACTGTTATGTCTATAGTTACTACATCTACTGTTATGTCTATAGTTACTACATCTACTGTTATGTCTATAGTTACTACATCTACTGTTATGTCTATAGTTACTACATCTACTGTTATGTCTATAGTTACTACATCTACTGTTATGTCTATAGTTACTACATCTACTGCTATGTCTATAGTTACTGCATCTACAACTATGTCTATAGTTACTACATCTACAACTATGTCTATAGTTACTACATCTACTGTTATGTCTATAGTTACTACATCTACTGTTATGTCTATAGTTACTACATCTACTGTTATGTCTATAGTTACTACATCTACTGTTATGTCTATAGTTACTACATCTACTGTTATGTCTATAGTTACTACATCTACTATTATGTCTATAGTTACTACATGTACAACTATGTAGATAGCTACTACATCTACTATCATGTCTATAGTAGTAATTATGTCTACTGTTCATATTCACGTTTTTGTGAATCCTGTCACATTGCAACTGCAAGTAAATTGTTACCAAATGTCAATTTCAGTTGTTGTTTTTTTAAATGAGAGTAAAATATGTTACAATTACTATTTTAAAACGCGGAATTCGGTTTTCAAAGCACATACAGACCTGTGCCAGTTATATTCGGACACTTGACGTCATTTCCACAGACTTACATGTTAATTTAGTGTAGCATAAATAATTTTCATCAATTTAATTTTCGTATGATCCATGTCAAATTTTGCACATTTGTGAGAAATCATCTTACCTACAATCACATAATTTCTGTTTAATTTTCCGGTGCTTATTTATCTAATGGCAACAATTTAATCAACACATGTACAGTGCCGTGAACTCCTTTAACATGGCGGCCTATGGGATTGTGCATTGTGGAACCATACGTAAGTTGATAAATGTGATGTCATTAGTTAAAGAGTGGTCGGAAAATTGAGCTGAAACTATGTGCGCAGAGCAGAGATGATTTCAAATTTGCCTGTTAAATTTTACAAAGATCTATCCTAACCTCACCTCATGAAAATTATTTATGCTACACTGAAATAACATGTAAGTCTATGGAAATGACGTCAAGTGTCCGGATATAACTGGCACGGCTCTGTACAACATGTGCTGTTTTCGTATGGGGCTTGATTTTTTTTAATTTCAGAAAAAAAGTATATATGTGATCACGTGTATGTAATCATGGATCGGGTATTAGCCTAAGATGATTTGATTGCATCCATGCTAATGTAATAATGACAGATATATTTATTTGAAGTTACCGAAAAAGTCAAGTTGCATCTTGTTTACAGATATTTTAGGTACGCTTGGTTATCTGGCTTGATGGCGCTGTACACCGAGCTGGAATTACTGTAGAATTAGGAAAATTTTATGGATATACAACTTCTTGATTCTGGAAATTCAAATGCTAGGCTGTCGTGTCAATAGCTTCCAGATTTAGTGAGTGAGGGAGTGAGTTTAGTTTTACGCCGCACTCATCAATATTCCAGCTATATGGCGGCGGTCTGTAAATAATCGGGTCTGGGCCAGACAATTCAGTGATCAACAGCAGGAACATCGATCTACGCAACTGGGATACGATGACATTTGTCCACCCAGTCAGCGAGCCTGACCACCCGATCCCGTAACATACACCTTTATTCTGTACAAGCGACGTTTCGACATAGATTCTAATGTCGTTGTCCACTTGCTTGACAACAACACTGGAATCTAATTGCTTGACAACGACACTAGAATATATGTCGAAAAGTCGCCTGCAGAGAATGAAGATATATCCATAAAATTGTCCTCATTCTTCATCTCTTCAACTTATAGAATTGCCAATCAAAGACGGATATCCTGGGTATATTTATATATGTATAAGTCATGCTTTGTATATATCCCGCAACCCAATATATTTAAACCCGCATCATGGACTGATTTCCATCCACGAACATCCCAGGTTACGTAATGGTAATGAGTAAAACACCTGTAGCAGAACACAGGTGTTTATAAACACATGAACATAAATCATTGCAACATGCAATTGTAGACAAAAACTGAAATGCACGAATTTCTATTGCTATCTACTACTACTTAACTACATATACTACTGTTACAGCTACTACTATTTCTACTTTTACCACATCTACTATCTCTACATCTATAGTATGACCAGAAATTATTGAGAATTTTAGGAATATGTTTAAGTGGATTTCTATTATAAACAACCTTGACCAGCTATCAAGTGCTTGGTTTCCGTTAATCCTTTTTCATTGGTTTGTGAAGAGTTATCCCCCTTTGTTTACTTGCTAGCAGACGACATTTTCAGTGATCCTCAGTATGGATGACTTAGAGAAGAGGAAGTTGTTTTTTAGAGTATTATAACAAGGACATCAGATCAGCTAAAGTGATTTCAAGTAGAACAGGCATCCCTTTGTCCACTGTTTATCGTGTTTTGAAAAATATTGCAAATGGATATGGCATTGAGCACCAGGGAGGCGCAGGTAGGCCCAGAAAATTGACTGTCGGTGACAGGAGGCGGCTTGGTATTCTTGTTTCTAAACACAAACGAAGGAGTTTAGAAAACTTAAGGCTGGATATGATTGATAGAGGAACTGTGGCTGTCTGTAAAGAGACAATTAGAACTGAGCTGCATGCAATGGGTTGGCAGAAAAGTCGAGGAATTCCATCACCGATCATGAAACCCGAACAAAAGGAGCGAAAGTTGAACTGGTGCTTACAGCATAGAAATTTTAACTGGGACAATGTGATTTTCTCAGATGAAAGTTCTGTGTGGCTGTTTCCTAATACACTGAAATTCTGGACCAAACAACCTGTAAAACCTTTGTATCAGCGCCCAATGTACAGTCCGAAATTTAACGTGTGGGGTGGCGTATCTGTGTTAGGGGCAACGCCCCTCTGTGTATTTGAAGGGAATATGAACAGTGAGCGGTACACAGAAATTCTCGAGGGACATTTACTTCCATCTGCTCACGTGTTCTGTGGAAATGTTTGGATTTTCCCCGCAGGACAACGACCCAAAACATCGTTCAAAGCATTCACAGGCCTAGTTTCGGACCCAAAATATGACATTATTAGATTGGCCAAGCTATAGCCCTGACCTAAATCCAAAAGAAAATGTTTGGGGACTTATGAAGGAAAGTGTCAATAAGAAACATCTGACAAATATTGCTGAAATGAGAGAAGAGGTGGTCCGATATTGGGACAGCATGGACCACGACTTTCTAACTGTTTTTATCAGTAGTATGACCCGTCGCATTGAAGGCTGTATTGCTGCCCATGGTGACTTGACAAAATACTAACTGTTCACCTGTCTTTGAATCTGGAGTTATGTTCTGCTAATATTCACATTTAATACGTGAGTAATGAGTGAAAAAAAAGATAAAAAATACAGTCTTTAAATTCTCAATAATTTCTGGTTGTACTGTATTTCTACTGTTACATCTAACTATGTCTACTGTTACTACATCTACTATTTCTACTGTTACTACATCTACTATTTCTACTGTTGATTTACACATATTTTATTCATTGAGGAAAAGGATTGGGCACAAGTAATCCAACTTAATTACGCCCTCTCCCAATATTTACAACAATTATACAGAGAACATATACATGAGAGATCTTGAGTTTGAGAATATAACAGATTAGGATGAACAGAGGAATCGTTTAGTTTGATTGATGTAATGAAGGACATGTTTGAAGATATTCAGATTTTCTTCAGTTGAGAGGTCTGCATTGCCGTATAAAATAAGACATATATCTGGTGAATATCTGTTTTGTAAAATGTCAATTATGTTAGCTAACAAAGTTACTTTATGTGTTTTATAACGGGGACAAGTCAAGAAATAATGATATACATTTTCACAGAGACATCCACAAGAACAGGATGGATCGGTTATAATGTTGATTCTATACAAATCATAGTTGAGCGTACTTACATTGTATCTTAACCTTGTGTGTAAAATATTTAGCTTACGTATATTATATCAGATGAATGTATGATGGGGCACTATTACGCATTGTTGTAATGTTTCTTTTAAATGAGGAAATGGAGTCACAGTTTCTTACAGTTGACGGGAGATTGTTCCAGACTTTAATGGTTGACGGAATAAATGAAGATGTTGAATATTTTAGTCTTGTATTGGGCACAGTATAATTTTCAGCATTACGTAAGTTATAATGGGTTCTTTTTCCTACAACAGGTGGTAACAATTCGTTTAAAAAAGACGGGGCAATGTCAGGTTTAATCTTATAAAACAAGTTTAGTTTAGGCTTCTTTCTTCTCTCTGATAGCATCCAGTCTCATAATAAAGAATTCGGCGTGTATTTGGGTAGGCCAGTTACTATACGAGCTGCCTCAAGCTGTAGTCTTTCTAACTTGTTTGAATCTTCAATCAGACACCCATCCCATACCTCACTCGCATATTCAAAATGTGGCCTTATAAACACTGTATAAATTCTTGATAACGTTTTCCTGTTCATTATATATTTAAATTTTCTTAAGGCACCTATCATTTTAGAGGTTTTTTCCACAATATTTCCGATGTGACATCACCAACTACCATTTGAAGAAAAAGTTAGCCACAGGTGTTTGTGAAAATCAACAATAGCTATACTAACTCCATCCAGGGAGACTATATAAGGTGTTGTAGAGTATCCCTGCTACATCAAAGTATAGCTTAATAGGTTGGTCACTATCTTGTACAGAAAATATCATAGCTTCAGTTTTGTAAGGATTATATTTAATCAGCCATTCCTTCGCCCATCTACTCAATAAGGTCAGATTATCATTCATGTTTTTTCCATTAAGTATTTTTTCTTCTGAAATAGCCCCAAGGGCCGTATCATCAGCAAACAGTCTGGTTGAACAATAGAGTATATCGGCTATTTCATTGACGTAAACAATGAACAAGAAAGGACCGAGAACTGAACCTTGTGGAACGCCAGCTTTTAACATTCTCGGGGTGGATAAAGCTCCATTAACAAACACTGATTGATTACGATTGCTTACATAACTTATAAACCAATAGAGGCATTACATTGGCATATAAATAGAGGCATTACATTGGCATATTTCCAATTATTGGGATACACACAACATAGGGACATACTGAATAATAAACACAGTACGGAACTAATAGAGTTGACCGTTTTCTTAAGCAATTGATGACCGATTCTGTCGGGGCCAGCAGCTTTCTTTACAGGCAAGTATTTAACAATATCGGATATTTCATTACTGGTAAGAACTATATTTTCCAAAAGCGCGTCAGTGCGTTTGTCAAACGGAGGCAGGTCTAAATTTCTTATCTTCTTCTAAATTGGATATAGATTCAAAGTATTCATTCAACATATTAGCCTTTTCCAGGTCTGAGAACGCTGATGGACCCTCTTCGTTGCCATTTCTACTGTTACTACATCTACTATTATATCTATTGTTACTATATCTGCTACTATGTCTATTGTTACTGCACCTATTATGTCTACTGTTACTACATCTGCTACTATGTCTATTGTTACTACATCTGTTTATAGCCACTACATCTACTACTATGTCTCAGAATCGACGATCTTTCGAAAAACATCTGAACAGAAGAGATTTTCCATTGCCCTTGGGAAATGCAGCCATATACCATGTGGGGACCTGGATAACATATACCTTGTGGGGACCCAGATAACATATACCTTGCGAGGACCAGGATAACATACATCTTGTGGGGACCGGGATAACATACATCTTTTGGGGCCTGAGATAACATACACTTGTGGGGTCCAAGATAACATACACTTGTGGGGTCAAAGATAACATACACTTGTGGGGACCTGGATAACATACACCTTGTGGGGACCTGGATAACATACACCTTGTGGGGACCTGGATAACATACACCTTGTGGGGGCCTGGATAACATACACCTTGTGGGGACCTGGATAACATACACCTTGTGGGGGCCTGGACAACATACACCTTGTTGGGGCCTGGACAACATACCCCTTGTGGGGGCCTGGATAACATACACCATGCGGAGACCTGGATAACATACACCTTGTGGGGACTGAAAGAACATACATCTTGTGGGCACTGAGATAACATACACCTTGTGGGGACCTGGATAACATACACCTTGTAGGGGACTGGATAACATACACCTTGTGGGGACCTGGATAACATACACCTTGTGGGGACCTGGATAACATACACCTTGTGGGGACCTGGATAACATACACCTTGTGGGGACCTGGATAACATACACCTTGTGGGGGACCTGGATACATACACCTTGTGGGAGACCTGGATAACATACACCTTGTGGGGACCTGAGATAACATACACCTTGTGGGGGGGACCTGGATAACATACACCTTGTGGGGACCTGGATAACATACACCTTGTGGGGACCTGGATAACATACACCTTGTGGGGACCTGGATAACATACACCTTGTGGGGACCTGGATAACATACACCTTGTGGGGACCTGGATAACATACACCTTGTGGGGACCTGGATAACATACACCTTGTGGGGACCTGGATAACATACACCTTGTGGGGACTGAGATAACATACACCTTGTGGGGACCTGGATAACATACACCTTGTGGGGACCTGGATAACATACACCTTGTGGGGACCTGGATAACATACACCTTGTGGGGACCTGGATAACATACACCTTGTGGGGGACCTGGATAACATACACCTTGTGGGGACCTGGATAACATACACCTTGTGGGGACCTGGATAACATACACCTTGTGGGGACCTGGATAACATACACCTTGTGGGGACCTGGATAACATACACCTTGTGGGGACCTGGATAACATACACCTTGTGGGGACCTGGATAACATACACCTTGTGGGGACCTGGATAACATACACCTTGTGGGGACTGAGATAACATACACCTTGTGGGGACCTGGATAACATACACCTTGTGGGGACCTGGATAACATACACCTTGTGGGGACCTGGATAACATACACCTTGTGGGGACCTGGATAACATACACCTTGTGGGGACCTGGATAACATACACCTTGTGGGGACCTGGATAACATACACCTTGTGGGGACCTGGATAACATACACCTTGTGGGGACCTGGATAACATACACCTTGTGGGGGCCTGGATAACATACACCTTGTGGGGACCTGGATAACATACACCTTGTGGGGACCTGGATAACATACACCTTGTGGGGACCTGGATAACATAACATACACCTTGTGTGGGGACCTGGATAACATACACCTTGTGGGGACCTGGATAACATACACCTTGTGGGGACCTGGATAACATACACCTTGTGGGGACCTGGATAACATACACCTTGTGGGGACCTGGATAACATACACCTTGTGGGGACCTGGATAACATACACCTTGTGGGGACCTGGATAACATACACCTTGTGGGGGACCTGGATAACATACACCTTGTGGGGACCTGGATAACATACACCTTGTGGGGACCTGGATAACATACACCTTGTGGGGACCGGGATAACATACACCTTGTGGGGGCCTGGATAACATACACCTTGTGGGGACCTGGATAACATACACCTTGTGGGGACCTGGATAACATACACCTTGTGGGGACCTGGATAACATACACCTTGTGTGGGGAACTGGATAACATACACCTTGTGGGGGCCTGGATAACATACACCTTGTGGGGACCTGGATAACACATACACCTTGTGGGGACCTGGATAACATACACCTTGTGGGGACCTGATAACAACATACACCTTGTGGGGGACCTGGATAACATACACCTTGTGGGGACCTGGATAACATACACCTTGTGGGGACCTGGATAACATACACCTTGTGGGGGACCTGGATAACATACACCTTGTGGGGACCTGGATAACATACACCTTGTGGGGACCTGGATAACATACACCTTGTGGGGACCTGGATAACATACACCTTGTGGGGACCTGGATAACATACACCTTGTGGGGACCTGGATAACATACACCTTGTGGGGACCTGGATAACATACACCTTGTGGGGACCTGGATAACATACACCTTGTGGGGACCTGGATAACATACACCTTGTGGGGACCTGGATAACATACACCTTGTGGGGACCTGGATAACATACACCTTGTGGGGACCTGGATAACATACACCTTGTGGGGACCTGGAACACATACACCTTGTGGGGACCTGGATAACATACACCTTGTGGGGACCTGGATAACATACACCTTGTGGGGACCTGGATAACATACACCTTGTGGGGACCTGGATAACATACACCTTGTGGGGACCTGGATAACATACACCTTGTGGGGACCTGGATAACATACACCTTGTGGGGACCTGGATAACATACACCTTGTGGGGACCTGGATAACATACACCTTGTGGGGACCTGGATAACATACACCTTGTGGGGACCTGGATAACATACACCTTGTGGGGGCCTGGATAACATACACCTTGTGGGGACCTGGATAACATACACACCTACACACCTTGTGGGGACCTGGATAACATACACCTTGTGGGGACCTGGATAACATACACCTTGTGGGGGACCTGGATAACATACACCTTGTGGGGGACCTGGATAACATACACCTTGTGGGGACCTGGATAACATACACCTTGTGGGGACCTGGATAACATACACCTTGTGGGGGACCTGGATAACATACACCTTGTGGGGACCTGGATAACATACACCTTGTGGGGACCTGGATAACATACACCTTGTGGGGACCTGGATAACATACACCTTGTGGGGGGCCTGGATAACATACACCTTGTGGGGACCTGGATAACATACACCTTGTGGGGACCTGGATAACATACACCTTGTGGGGACCTGGGGACCTGGATAACATACACCTTGTGGGGACCTGGATAACATACACCTTGTGGGGACTGATATAACATACACCTTGTGGGGGCCTGGATAACATACACCTTGTGGGGACCTGGATAACATACACCTTGTGGGGACCTGGATAACATACACCTTGTGGGGACCTGGATAACATACACCTTGTGTGGGGACCTGGATAACATACACCTTGTGGGGACCTGGATAACATACACCTTGTGGGGACCTGGATAACATACACCTTGTGGGGACCTGGATAACATACACCTTGTGGGGACCTGGATAACATACACCTTGTGGGGACCTGGATAACATACACCTTGTGGGGACCTGGATAACATACACCTTGTGGGGACCTGGATAACATACACCTTGTGGGGACCTGGATAACATACACCTTGTGGGGGCCTGGATAACATACACCTTGTGGGGGCCTGGATAACATACACCTTGTGGGGGGGACTGGATAACATACACCTTGTGGGGGACCTGGATAACATACACCTTGTGGGGACCTGGATAACATACACCTTGTGTGGGACCTGGATAACATACCCTTGTGGGGACCTGGATAACATACACCTTGTGGGGACCTGGATAACATACACCTTGTGGGGACCTGGATAACATACACCTTGTGGGGACCTGGATAACATACACCTTGTGGGGACCTGGATAACATACACCTTGTGGGGACCTGGATAACATACACCTTGTGGGGACCTGGATAACATACACCTTGTGGGGACCTGGATAACATACACCTTGTGGGGACCTGGATAACATACACCTTGTGGGGGGACCTGGATAACATACACCTTGTGGGGACCTGGATAACATACACCTTGTGGGGACCTGGATAACATACACCTTGTGGGGACCTGGATAACATACACCTTGTGGGGACCTGGATAACATACACCTTGTGGGGACCTGGATAACATACACCTTTGTGGGGACCTGGATAACATACACCTTGTGGGGACCTGGATAACATACACCTTGTGGGGACCTGGATAACATACACCTTGTGGGGACCTGGATAACATACACCTTGTGGGGACCTGGATAACATACACCTTGGGGGACCTGGATAACATACACCTTGTGGGGACCTGGATAACATACACCTTGTGGGGACCTGGATAACATACACCTTGTGGGGACCTGGATAACATACACCTTGTGGGGACCTGGATAACATACACCTTGTGGGGACCTGGATAACATACACCTTGTGGGGACCTGGATAACATACACCTTGTGGGGACCTGGATAACATACACCTTGTGGGGACCTGGATAACATACACCTTGTGGGGACCTGGATAACATACACCTTGTGGGGACCTGGATAACATACACCTTGTGGGGGCCTGGATAACATACACCTTGTGGGGACCTGGATAACATACACCTTGTGGGGACCTGGATAACATACACCTTGTGGGGACCTGGATAACATACACCTTGTGGGGACCTGGATAACATACACCTTGTGGGGACCTGGATAACATACACCTTGTGGGGACCTGGATAACATACACCTTGTGGGGGCCTGGATAACATACACCTTGTGGGGACCTGGATAACATACACCTTGTGGGGACCTGGATAACATACACCTTGTGGGGACCTGGATAACATACACCTTGTGGGGACCTGGATAACATACACCTTGTGGGGACCTGGATAACATACACCTTGTGGGGACCTGGATAACATACACACCTTGTGGGGACCTGGATAACATACACCTTGTGGGGACCTGGATAACATACACCTTGTGGGGGACCTGGATAACATACACCTTGTGGGGACCTGGATAACATACACCTTGTGGGGATAACATACACCTTGTGGGGACATACACCTTGTACACCTTGGGACCTGGATAACATACACCTTGTGGGGACCTGGATAACATACACCTTGTGGGGACCTGGATAACATACACCTTGTGGGGACCTGGATAACATACACCTTGTGGGGGCCTGGATAACATACACCTTGTGGGGACCTGGATAACATACACCTTGTGGGGACCTGGATAACATACACCTTGTGGGGACCTGGATAACATACACCTTGTGGGGGGACTGGATAACATACACCTTGTGGGGACCTGGATAACATACACCTTGTGGGGACCTGGATAACATACACCTTGTGGGGGCCTGGATAACATACACCTTGTGGGGACCTGGATAACATACACCTTGTGGGGACCTGGATAACATACACCTTGTGGGGACCTGGATAACATACACCTTGTGGGGACCTGGATAACATACACCTTGTGGGGACCTGGATAACATACACCTTGTGGGGACCTGGATAACATACACCTTGTGGGGACCTGGATAACATACACCTTGTGGGGACCTGGATAACATACACCTTGTGGGGACCTGGATAACATACACACCTTGTGGGGACCTGGATAACATACACCTTGTGGGGACCTGGATAACATACACCTTGTGGGGACCTGGATAACATACACCTTGTGGGGACCTGGATAACATACACCTTGTGGGGACCTGGATAACATACACCTTGTGGGGACCTGGATAACATACACCTTGTGGGGACCTGGATAACATACACACCTTGTGGGGGCCTGGATAACATACACCTTGTGGGGACCTGGATAACATACACCTTGTGGGGACACCTTGGGGGACCTGGATAACATACACCTTGTGGGGACCTGGATAACATACACCTTGTGGGGACCTGGATAACATACACCTTGTGGGGACCTGGATAACATACACCTTGTGGGGGCCTGGATAACATACACCTTGTGGGGACCTGGATAACATACACCTTGTGGGGACCTGGATAACATACACCTTACACCTGGATAACATACACCTTGTGGGGACCTGGATAACATACACCTTGTGGGGACCTGGATAACATACACCTTGTGGGGACCTGGATAACATACACCTTGTGGGGACCTGGATAACATACACCTTGTGGGGACCTGGATAACATACACCTTGTGGGGACCTGGATAACATACACCTTGTGGGGACCTGGATAACATACACCTTGTGGGGACCTGGATAACATACACCTTGTGGGGACCTGGATAACATACACCTTGTGGGGACCTGGATAACATACACCTTGTGGGGACCTGGATAACATACACCTTGTGGGGACCTGGATAACATACACCTTGTGGGGACCTGGATAACATACACCTTGTGGGGGCCTGGATAACATACACCTTGTGGGGGACCTGGATACACCTTGTGGGGACCTGGATAACATACACCTTGTGGGGACCTGGATAACATACACCTTGTGGGGACCTGGATAACATACACCTTTGTGGGGACCTGGATAACATACACCTTGTGGGGACCTGGATAACATACACCTTGTGGGGACCTGGATAACATACACCTTGTGGGGACCTGGATAACATACACCTTGTGGGGACCTGGATAACATACACCTTGTGGGGACCTGGATAACATAACACACCTTGTGGGGACCTGGATAACATAGGCCTGGATAACATACACCTTGTGGGGGCCTGGAAATAACATATACCTTGTGGGGGCCTGGATAACATACACCTTTGTGGGGACCTGGATAACATACACCTTGTGGGGCCTGGATGTTATACACCTTGTGGGGGGCCTGGATAACATACACCTTGTGGGGACCTGGATAACTCCTAGGTCACCTTCAGGGGGGCCTGGGAGAACATCACCATTATCAACAGCCTGATCTTCTTCAGAGGACACAGCTGACATTTCACCTGGATAAGAACATGGAAGACAATAAAACTTGCCAACAGACCTGGATAACATGGACCTTTGCCCATGTCCTGTGTAAATGCACCTTTCACAAATCACTGCTTAAAAAGAAGTTTAGAGTTCATGGTACGATGTAGTTGTGGAAGCATTGAACCCATCTATCAAGAGACATTAACTTCAGTAAAGCATTCAAAGAGGGCCTCTCGTGAGTCTGGCTGCTATGTTCCCTCATCCTGGACCAGAACAGGATTTTCAGTTGTATAAAATATCCTGTACCAAAGCCAGATAAAAATACAGAAATGCCAACGACAAAGTGGGACATTAGCACAGTTAACATGTAAGGTGTCTCAAAGTTGTTTTGTTGGGTTCAAAATACCGTCATAGCTGCATGAACGATTATCAAAAGGCTGTGTGATGCGCTAGCAGAATTTGGAGGCATCATGGTTAATGAGATATGTATCAAATAGTGTACAGATGTCTGAAAGGTTTGTGAGTGACTGGAGCAGGGAAGTGACAAAACTCCCTCCTCATTTACCAGAACATACCGCGATACATGAGTCACGACATGAGACACACCATATATCGTAATCTGCTCCATACTATGTGAGTTTAGTCTTACGCCGCTTTTGGCATTATTCCAGCAATATCACAGCCGGGGTCACCAGAAATGGGCTTCACCCATTGTACCAATGTGGGAATTGAACCTGGTCTTCGGCGTGATGCGTGAATGCTTAAACCACTAGGCTACCCCACTGCCCCGTATTAGTGGAAGAAGGGATATCATCAGTCCCCAGACATTCCTCACATTGCCTGTGTGGAAGTTTTGAGCATGTGTGAAATTTCGGTTTGACCCCTGCTATTGTTTATTTCTGGTTGCACTTAACAACGAATGACTCCTGGACATATTCCATGCAGCCTGGACATAGTTATCGTCATAATTTTCTCTTGTGACATGGCGAATTACTGCTAACTCACATAGTTCTGTTCATGGCAAAACTTAGAAAATGTTGTTTGGAAATCAATACAGAATAAAGTCAATGTGGAACATATGCGTGGGTGAACTGTCATTGTGTCTTGATACTCTCAGACTTGTGCCAGCCATGAAGCTTATTGTAAGGTTAATTTGGACTAATTACGTGGGTTCCCACTTTCATGAAACCAACTATTGTAGTGTAATGTGCAGTAACTGAAGCCACTGTAGAAACCCCCAACCCTGTGACTAACAACAAGTGGTTACCAAACAGCTCCTACTGTACACTGTACATTCTTGGCCAAAACTAGAAGCACCCCAAATTCAGTAACTTCTAACACTGGACACCACACTCGTACAGTGTGTTCAGCAAGATTACCCTGTTCATGGTGAAACTTATCAGCTGTGTTATGCCTGTGTTTCTGTGAATCTTCCATGCTTCTATTGCAAATGTAGTGATGATATTAGCCATTAGTGAGTAAGGTTTTACGCCGCTTTTAGCAATATTCCAGCAATATCACGGCAGGGGACACCAGAAATGGGCTTCACACATTGTCCTCACATGGGGAATTGAACCTGGGTCTTCATAAGCTACCCCACCGCCCCCTTATTAGCTGAAAGGAAAGGTATCATATCATACATGATGACAAACGTTTCTTTATCCACAACAAATATCACTATATGTCACAATGTCCAGTGATGAGGAAGAATTCTGCAAGCAGAGCAAGTTCATCAAAGTACGCAAAGATTAAGATGAAATTCCAAACTGACAGACACCACAAACCAGCAAATAAATAATTCAAATTAGCTCTATTAATAACCAATACTTATTGCCAATATTAAAACATTCCTATCAACAGCATACTGGATTCTGGTTTAATACTGGCATTAAGTGTTTGGTCATATGCATAACAGTTCCACATTATCAATATGATAACGATAACACTGGGGTGCGTTCATAGGTCTGCAGTTAATACCAGCTTGCATAAATATGAATGCTGTTTATCTGACAAGCATGGTGGTCCTGTCAGTATATCACATCAGCATTAGACTATATCATGCATGTAAAGCCAAGTTATCTCCCCTTGCTGTCCATGGAATCCACATGCCTGACCTGTGATTTGAGCACATGTCACAATACTTGGCATTTCATTTTCTACGGAGCTTGTCAACCAAATCCAGCTTTTCATCCACATCCTCGTCGCTATGGTAACCATTACCCCCAACAGTGTATCCCCTGGTAGCTTGCAGAAGTTCAGCATCCGGTCCTTTGTCTCTGTGTTCGTACAATAATACATTCAACGTGTCCTCGTATATCCTGGCCTCGGGGAACTCAACCTGGAAAACATTAAAACATTTGGTACATGACTGGTGGCAAAGGGAGGAATAGTATGGGGAGTGAATTAATACTTATCCTTCATCTTGTTTGTTGCCATGGTTACATCTTTTTTGAAGCAATGGACAGTCAATGTGTATGAATGATGGTTTTATTCATAATACAAGCTTGAATATGGTGGTCTGTAAAGAGGGTGAGTTAAGTTTTCTGCTGCTTTTAGCAATATTCCAGCAATATCATGGCAGGGGACACCAGAAATGAGTTTCACACATTGTACCCATGTCGGGAATCAAATCTGGGTCTTTGGCGTGACGATCTAACGCTTTAACCACTAGGCTACCCCATCGCCTCCTGGTTTGTTAAAAATAAGCAGTGGTTGATGTTATGAGAGATAGGTAACATTCAGCTTGAACACTGATCCAAATAATCACCTCTAACAAGAAGAAATGGAACACTTCAATGGTCAATCTAAAAGAATTTTCTGGCTTATTTGTATGCAAGAAGATCAAAATTAAAGAAGGGGTGGTGTTTTCTGAAACTTTCATAAGAATTTCTGAAACATCTGATCACTTCCTTAACCATGCCAATCTCTGTCCAAAATGAGTTGCTTGAAAAGGGATGGGGTAGGTAGTTGTCTGATCAGTGAGGTTTTGGGGCTTGATATAAAGGTGGGTATTGGAGTCATTAGGTTGACGTGCGTATATGTATGTGCAGCTGCTTGTACTAGCCCAGACTGAAGCTGGTTTTATAGTGCTAGCCCACTGAGATACCATGCCGCAGTGAAGCATGAATACCCCACTCAGACACATTATCCTGACTCCGAGCCGACCAGTCCTTGTTGTACACATTAATGCCGAGCGCCAGGCAGGGACCAACAAGTACCATATTTTAACGTCTTTTGGTATGACACGGTCGGGGATCGAACCCGCGACCTTCCGCTCTCTGGGTGGACGCTCTAACCACTACACCACGGAGGCGGTCCTTCATTAGGTTGACGTACCTTGGTGTGTTTCTTGTCAGTACCATACACTATGGATGTACAGCACACCTCGGCTATCTTCTGGCCATGTCCATAGTAGGACCAGCAGCAGATCTCGCTGCTGCCTATGACGTCCTTGATGAAGAGGATCCGTCCATTAAAGCGGAGTGACAGCTTGTCAAAGAGTTCTAAGTTCTTGAGTAAATTGTCATCAGAGTTGCTGAAACATACCAGGGAATTCTATGACAAATACTGGCATTTAAATGTCATGATAGAGAAACAACTCAGCATAATTACAATTTACTGTAAGTAACAGTTTGTTTAATACAAATTATATCTTAAGCCTTTTGAGGTGCTCTTTAGAAAAATGTACTGATCATGAAAACTCTGAGAAAACCACAATTGTTGAATGAATTTTACAATTTTGGTTATTTGTAAAGTTATGGGTATTAATAAATGACACATTTTTGGCTATACAAAAACACATGGTACCACAAGGAATATTTTGAGTAAATGTTTCCTTTTGGAACCTGCAAAACTCACAGGTCTACAATAGCACAACTGACAACTGCATTTAAGTTACCATTGTTACTGGGCGAGGGTAGTTCAATGCCAATCACAGCAATATTTAAGCTCTGTCATGGCTGCTTGTAATTAACTGTGTCTATGACAGCCTGTAATTAACTGTGTCATGGCTGCTTGTAATTAACTGTGTCTATGACAGCCTGTAATTAACTGTGTCTATGACAGCCAAACCAGTGGTTGACAGTATGAGAAACAATCCACACCATTCTGCATGATAAAACAAATAAAACAAGTCAGCTACCAAAGACGGGTTCCAAATGAACTGAAGTCCACCAGTCTGAGACAAGCAAACATGGCATGTGGAAGTGACAGTTCTTTGAGACAACCAGAGTTACCATTACACAGATGGCAACAGTGCCATTTTAGTTGTCAACCGAATCCTGTCATGGTTTTAGTCTGGGTACACACCCAGGACACTGGGAATGTATTCTGCCCCACGAGTTGTGTCCTGTGAAAATGTTCAACATTGCTTACCTGGTGTAAGAGTACTTGTTGTTATGTCGGTTGCAGATCAGCTTCACAACTGGCTGGAAAATGGCCAGAAATACCAATAAATAGCATGTAGACAGCAATAAAAGTAATATTACTAGAAATATTTCACTAAGACATTAATTAGTAAGGTGTCAAAAGCATGCATGCTTTTAAAACATTACACTATTGACTGTAATAAAACGTGTCGCCGGAAGCTGTATTTCTCCCTTCTCCTCTCCTACGGCTGCTGCTCAAGTATCAAATAATAAGTTGTCAGTGCTACCTGTATCTGACGCACAGGTAATTCATTGGCTTTTGCCTGTGACGTCAGGACAATTTGAATTCACCTTCTATTGTCAGCCTGTCAGTCTCGGACGATGACAGATAGATATCAACATTTGATGATGTTGATTTTTCTAATTACAGGCAAATAAACAGCTTTTTATAACATCTCCGTCTCCTAATACTTGTCTCGGACAATAACCTGCGACACATGTGATGTAGATATAAGTAAACATGGCAAGTGAGTACCATGACAATTGTAGCACCATACCGTACATGTATATGGACGGGGGAACCTTGAATTAAAACACCATTTTAAACAATAACCTCAGCGCTACACCGACTGCCCCGTGAATGTAGACCTTCAAGTAAACATGCCACCCAAAGCTATTTGACTGCACATGAACTGTTTTACCTTCATAACATGCCACCCAAAGCTATTTGACTGCTCCCCTGTGAACCTGTTTTACCTTCAGGTAACATGCCACCCAAAGCTATTTGACTGCTCCCCCGTAACTGTTTTACCTTCAGAGTAACATGCCACCCAAAGCTATTTGACTGCTCCCGTAACTGTTTTACCTTCAGAGTAACATGCCACCCAAAGCTATTTGACTGCCCCCGTAACTGTTTTACCTTCAGAGTAACATGCCACCCAAAGCTATTTGACTGCCCCCGTAACACACCTTTTAGTAACATGCCACCCAAAGCTATTTGACTGCCCCGTAACTGTTTTACCTTCAGAGTAACATGCCACCCAAAGCTATTTGACTGCCCCGTAACTGTTTTACCTTCAGAGTAACATGCCACCCAAAGCTATTTGACTGCCCCCGTAACTGTTTTACCTTCAGAGTAACATGCCACCCAAAGCTATTTGACTGCCCCGTAACTGTTTTTACCTTCAGAGTAACATGCCACCCAAAAGCTATTTGCTGCCCCGTAACTGTTTGCCTTCAGGTAACATGCCACCCAAAGCTATTTGACTGCCCCGTAACTGTTTTACCTTCAGAGTAACATGCCACCCAAAGCTATCCTTCAGAGTAACATGCCTGCCCCCATAACTGTTTTACCTTCAGAGTAACATGCCACCCAAAGCTATTTGACTGCCCCCATAACTGTTTTACCTTCAGAGTAACATGCCACCCAAAGCTATTTACTGCCCCCTAACTGTTTTACCTTCAGAGTAACATGCCACCCAAAGCTATCTGACTGCCCCCTAACTGTTTTACCTTCAGAGTAACATGCCACCCAAAGCTATTTGACTGACTGTTTTACCTTCAGAAATATGTAACTGTTTTACCTTCAGAGTAACATGCCACCCAAAGCTATTTGACTGCCCCCATAACTGTTTTACCTTCAGTGTAACATGCGGCCCAAAGCTATTTGACTGCCCCCGTAACTGTTTTACCTTCATAGTGGAAGATACTAGTTGTTGTTCCTCTCGTGTTGAGGTTATCAGGGGCACCTTGCAGATTGGTTCCAGTTCTTCCTTCTTCTTCAGGGCAGCTTCAATCAACTTGACGAGATCCTGTACAAGGTAATACTTAGCTTCTTGAAGCAGTTCATACAATTCCCGGCGGTTCTCTGGCAGTGGAAGTGTTCCATCCCGCAGGAAGTTGAGGATTGTCCCGAAGTGCTTTCCACATCTGTCAATGAGGATCCAGCCTGAAAGATATAGCAAAACATTTGAAATAAATATGCCAAATAAAGTCTGATGTCAGGTCAACACATATAAACATAACATTCTGATGCCTTTTTAACATGAACTTTTGAGGCCATTCTGACATGCCACTTTGATCAAAGTTCAATATCTGGTCATATCCAGGATTCGAACCAACTCAGTATGACTTAAACTAAGGGGCACAACTCCACATGGTAAACTGCAGCATCTTTCATATATTGAACACACATACCTCCAAAAAACCATCAATGAATGGTAGAAGTAGATAGCTGAATACCTCTTACCAAAAACAATCATCAAGGCTGATTCTTTAAATGCTGAATACAGCACAATGGCCCTATCTCAGTAAAACATACAAATACACTACAGTATGAACATTCTTAATCGATGTCAAATGAGAAGCAGAGCTTTGGTCATGTTCGGACTAGATGCTTACCCTCAGAGTCTGTCAGCACTTCCATCCGTCCACTAAACATTGCTCTGAGCATTGTGTCATGCTTTGTTAGTGTCCCGATTGTCGTGTAGTGCAACGAGCCGCCGACATTTAACTTCACATATTTTGAAGTGTTCCCTTTGATGACCGTTTTGTGGGAGTCGCCCGACATTGCAGTAGGAACAGCCCAGTCCACTGGGCGAACGTTTGGGGAGAAAATTGTTCTGTTCGGTGTCTACGATGGCATAAAACGTATGTTCCGCCGGGAAATGAACAAATTCTGAATGTTTTCAAAATACTCACAGCTTAAATAGGCGTTTCTAAATATAGATATGGCAAAGAAAGTGTCATGATATATGTACTGGCTGGAAATGACGTCAACTTGTTCTATTTCCGGATACTTGCAGATGTCGTTAGTTTCGAAATTGCTGTGATTGTTGTTGTCTGAGGTTAGAGAAATAAGTAAATCCTCACAAACTGAAACTAAATTGAGTTTGCTATATAATCTGAAACAGTTTGGATTGGCAACGCAACCAAGTAAAGATCTATTTATAGATCTCGATACGTAGCACGGCTACGAATCTCGGGTTCAAGTGCATAATTGTTCGATGGGAAAAAACTAAAACGAACAGTTATTATTTTAATAGAAAGCCTGTTTGGGCCCCCAAAATGTCATAAGGTCCAAAGAAATCAGCTTATTATAATTACAGAGTATTGTTTACAATTTTACATGGCCTGCTTGTAGTTCATTACGAATTATTCTGCATTCTTTGGATATCCATTTTCGATTTTTGTTCGATTCCGACTGAGTAGTGCCTTTCTGTTTACACCCTTGTAACATTCCATAAGCGAAATGGCGGACGAGGCGCTTGCTAGGGCCGGACTTCATTTCGATGAACTCAATAAGATAAGAGTTTTAGAACCTGAAGTTGCACAACAAACTGTTGAACTGAAGGAAGAGTGCAAAGACTTTGTAGACAGTAAGATGGGGGTTACATTTTTCTCATGGGATGTCATGACATTTTTAATTGTTTATTTGTAAACAAACGTTCTCCTTCAACAAAATTAATGTTTTAGGTATCTGTGAGATTGTTCTTTTCACACACGGCAAAACACGTATTCGTATTATGTCATGATACATTATATGTAATATGGTATTTTGTACGTGAAAGGGTTTACATTTTGAAACGTTGATATACCATCATACTTTTCAATTGACACTGATAGTGGCGATACCTTTGCTTGTAATCACGTTTGTGAGATACAGAGAATGTGAAGGTATTGCCCTCTGTGTAAATTGTAATTTGCCATATTAAGCCTTTTATCAGACATTATGTGGTAGGAAGGAATGCAATGATATTATGTGGCTATTTATTGACACTTCACCATTTGTACACTCCCTGTGTTGAGTCCGGGCAACCAATGCTTGTATGAGTCAACAGTGCGACTAAATATGGCTGGACCCTTTGAACATGTTGAATGTACCTGATTGCAATACTTTGCATATAACTCTGGTTTGCATCATCTGTGGCTTAATATTCTTTATACATGCCTCTGTGTGTTGTCTAAAACAAGAAATATATTCCCATGTTAACATGGTCAATATCTTTCTTAGAAGTACATATTTGAAATAATAACTGTAGTTGTTGGTAATATATCATAGCATGAGAACCACCCCTTTCTGTATGGTGTCACAATAAAGTGTTTCTTTTAACTTACTCATACTGTTTACTTTCTTAGAAATTGCTGATTTCCAGAAGATAGTAAGTGGCTTCATTGAAGTTGTGGATGGCGTTGCCACTGAAGTGGAGAAGGAAAAGATGAAGGTATGTTGTATCAGCAACATTACATTCCTAAACACCATTAAGTTGAAACACTCCACGGGACATGCTAGTACATTGCGAAAAGAAACATACCAAGCTGTATGTTATTGTTATGAATCCTTTCATTTCGTTTATCATGATTGTTATGCAATTTCCTCTTTGGAAGATAATTTCTTTTGCAGATTCTGTTATTATAGTATAGTTACGGTTACAAGTATCTGGAGCTATATGAATAGACATGATGAAGTTCTTGTAGATTCATCATGTTCATAGTGCTCTGCTCATGGTCAGCACCAGTGGTTGCTTCCGTTGATTGTATATCAGTATTGCCTGTTTGTGAGAATAGTCTAGGCAGGGTATATTGCAGACCTGTTTTGTGAGGACAGACTAATAATAGTCCGTCAACCTAACTTTTGGAACTCGTTTTTTGGCAAGTTATGTTTTAACAAAGAAATGGTATCCAGCATTTATTCGCTCAGTTAATAATGATATCTGATGACCTAATGGGTGTTGAATTGCTAAACTGACTGACTGAGTTGCTGTTTTACGCCGCTTTTAGCAATATTCCAGCTACATCACGGCGGGGGGACACCAGAAATGGGCTTCACACATTGTACCCATGTGGGCATTCGAAACCGGGTCTTCGGCTTGACGAGCCAACGCTTTAACCACTAGGCTACCCCACCGCCCGTTGAATTGCTAAAGTTTATATAAACTATTAAAGATTTAACTTAAGAAACTATATAAAGTTTCTGACAACAACAACATTTTCACAAGAGAGTACTGGCAAGTACTGGAATAGCTATCAACAATGTTGCAATGTGTGTCAACATGTTATGTACATGCATGCAGCAGCATTTCATGGGGAGTGTTTGTGACTAGGGCTGTGCAATATTACCGGTATATACCGGTACAGTATCTCACGATATGGTTCAGATTCTGCAATATATTGGGGTCATACAGAGTTAGCTCCCTTTGAATTATCTGCCCTTTATTTCCATAGCAACATACTGCCCAGGGCCCTGTTCCTCAAAGCGATCGTAGCGCTACGACAGTCGTAAGTCTATGTTAAAGTATGGGAGTTACGATCACCTTAGCGCTACGATCGCTTTGAGGAACGGGGCCCTGAACTGAATCTGAATGAATCACTGACATATAGTAACAATAATTACATCCTGCATTGAAGTGCATTCTGTTGAAGCAAACAGCACTGACCATGAAAATCATGTTATACTATTACCTTTATCATTATGTTCCCAAAACTCTGTTGCAATGCAGTACTTCAGTCAAACATTTTACCCTTAGGCTCTACATCATTTTCTTTATGTGTAAACCATTGACATACAGCCATACACAATGGGGGACGGGGAGTCTGTAAGTATGGTGTAACAGCAACTAAGAAGATGATGTCGCACACAGAGAGCTATTATAAATTTATGATGTACGTACTTGGACAGAAACATTCCAGTCAATATATCACAATATGTATTGCAATATCTCTTAAGTTATTGCAATATATCGCAATATGAAAATCAGGGCAATATCCAGCCCTATTTGTGGCGTCACAGCTAGTGTTTGGGTGTCAGCAAGGTGCTCTCTAAAGATGCACGGAATATAGTTAAAAGGGTACATGTGTTTTTTCAAGAAAGAAGCTAAGAGACAAAAACCCTTTATTTCTCTGAATTGATTCACGAAACTTACACTTCATGCTACCAAGGTTTCAAGAACAATGCTTCATCGCATTATATCCTTTGACAATGATGCAGAGTCTGACACTGAAACCTGGGTCATGGAGCATCTCAAAACATCCTAAGAAAGGGAAACTGGACGATTTTGATAGACAAGTAGTGAGGAATGTAATTTGGCGTTTACACAAGTCGAATGAGGCTATATCTTCCAGAAAGTTGAAGAAGATACTTGAAGATGACCATGATATCCATGTCTCCAAGTACACATTATGCAAGTTATTGTTTAAATATGTATACCGCTTCAAGAGACTGAGCAACCAAAAGTTGACATTCTGTGAAAGGGGCGATATCATAGCAATGAGAGCTCGGTATCTGAGGAAGATAAGTCAGATGAGAGAAGAAGGACATGAAACCGTGTGGCTTGACGAAACATGGGTAAGTGCTAACCATACATCTTACCAATGGCAGTACCGAGATGCAGAGAACAAGAGAAGAATACCTCTTGGAAAAGGAGAGAGACTCATAATCCTTCATGCCGGCTCTCGCTTGGGGTTTCTTCCTGGATGTGATGTTGCTTTCAGGGCCAATTCCAAGGATGGAAGGGATGACCACAGTGAAAAGAACTCTGCAGTGTTCACTGAATATGTGACTGAACACCTGATTCCAGCACTGGTTGACCATTCTGTGATCGCAATGGACAATGCACCTTGTTACAGCTGCATGGACCCCCAGGATAAGTGTCCAACCTCAGCTTCCAGAAAGGGAGATATGATTGCTTGGCTTGACAAACATGGCATCGAACATCCATCAAAATTAACAAAAGTAGAGTTGTACAAGATTATTCTTACCAAAAATCAACCACCTATTTATATAAAATTGACAATCTGCTTAAACAACAGTCTCCCACCCTATCACTGTGACTTAAATCTGATAGAACTGGTATGGGGCCACCTTAAAAAAGGGGCCACCTTTAAAAGGTGAAAGGGGCGATATCATAGCAATGAGAGGGCCACCTTTAAAAATACCAAGTTGCACAGAAGAACAAATCGTTTAGGTTAGCCAACGTAAAACGTACTGTGAGTGACGAAATTTGTAACGTCCCAGCAGTGGAAAAATTGTGTAGATCATGTTGGCAAGTAGAACAATATTGGCAAAATGATGGTTTGCAAACAGAAACGGTTACACCATTGATCATAGATTTGGACTCAGAATCTGACTCTGACATTGAAGTCGGGGCTTCTGGCACATCTGAATCTGAATCTGAACATTGATATGTTCTCATAATATGGCAAGTCTTCACCTTCTCACCTTTGTAATATTATGATGTTTGATAATCATATTAATTACTTGCCTTTACCTTTCAATACAAAAGAATAATTAAAAAAATCGCCTAAAATGAAAAATAGTTTGGTGATACGGTCCCTTCTCAACATGTCCATACATAATCACGATGTTACCCAACCTGCACGTGCCACACACATTGCAACATTGTTGATAGCTATTCCAGTACTCCCTTGTGAAAATGATTGTCAGAAACTTTATATGATAGTTTCATAAGTAAAATCTTTAATAGTTGATATAAATTTTAGCAATTCAACACCCAATTAGGTTGTCAGATATCATTATTAACTGAGTGAATAAAAGTTGGATACCTTTTGTTGTTTAAACGTAACTTGCAACAAAATAAACGTGTTCCAAAAGTTAGGTTGACGGACTATAGGCATGTTACATTGCTGACGTATTTGTTGCAGGCAATCGGTGCTCGGAATCTCCTCAAGTCAATAGCTAAGCAACGAGAAGCTCAGCAGCTGCAACTAGTCGCACTCATCACAGAGAGGAAGATGCAGCTGGAGAGGTCAGTTCCGACTGCAGCACAAGTGGAACTGGGCTATTTGACGTTCCTAGTTTGATTCAAGAAACATGTCTGTGGACCCAGTGTCTCATTGCACACGGCTTCTACTTACCTCATTGTTCTCTTTACATCTATATATATTTTAGTGAATGTATTTTACAAATTGTACAATGTGGGGATTCAAACTTTGGACAAAGCATAACCATGAGTCTAGTTGGCTGCAAAATACATTCTATGTCAAACACACTCCAAGACATTCCTGATTGACATGGGTTTCGTTTGTCGAGTGAGTGAGTGAGTTTAGTTTTACGCCGCAATATCCCAGCTATATGGCGGCGGTCAGTAAATAATCGAGTCTGGACCAGTCGTTTGTCAGGTGAAATAGTTTGTATTCATATTCATTATTGACTCTTGGTGTTGCCTCAGAAGTGTTTCAGTATATGGTTATGGTAGATAGGAAATGTATCATCCTGATCATGTTGGGTTTCTTTGTTCCAGATTGCGGATCCAGTATGATGCCTTACAGAAAGCTGAAGGTGAACAGAATGAGTTCATCGAGCAGCTGATTCTCCAGAAGTGACCTACATCTTTCATAGTTTTGTCCGTCCAAACATGTTCGTCTGTCCTTGTACATAAGTAATATATCATTTATTTATTAAAGAAATTACATGCTCAGCTTTTGTGTTCTTGATCTTTGCAAACACAATAAGTGATTTTGTTGTACTTCAACTAATCCACAGGTAATTCTTCAGTGGTTATGTAAAATGACATAATTTGTGGATAAAAACAAGTTACCAGTCTAGATTGCCAATAGTCTCTTACCAATGAATGTGTCTACCCCTAAAACATTAACACACTTCAAAATGGCAGCAGTGTCTACGATCAGGATTCACAGATAACATTGCTGGAATTACATACACACTAGATATCAACCAAGTGGTTTATAACATTGCTGGAATTACATACACACTAGATATCAACCAAGTGGTTTATAACATTGCTGGAATTACATACACACTAGATATCAACCAAGTGGTTTATAACATTGCTGGAATTACATACACACTAGATATCAACCAAGTGGTTTATAACATTGCTGGAATTACATACACACTAGATATCAACCAAGTGGTTTATAACATTGCTGGAATTACATACACACTAGATATCAACCAAGTGGTTTATAACATTGCTGGAATTACATACACACTAGATATCAACCAAGTGGTTTATAACATTGCTGGAATTACATACACACTAGATATCAACCAAGTGGTTTATGAGTTTGTAACACCAGGGGCTCCTTTCATGAAGCAACCTTTACTAAGGTTAACCTTAACTCCCATTCTTTAACATTGCACTAAAGTGTAAGTCACTAAGGTAACCTTAGTGCAATGATAAAGAATGGGAGTTAAGGTTAACCTTAGTAAAGGTTGCTTCGTGAAAGGAGCCCCTGGGATACAGTGAGTGAATTATGTTTTACTTCGCTTTTAGCATTATTCCAGCAATATCACGGTGGGGGGACACCTGAAATGGGTTTCACACATTGTGCCCATGTGGGGAATCGAACCTGGGCCTTCGGCGTGATGAGCAAACGCTTTAACCACTGGGCTACCCAACCTCCTCCTGTTCGGACAGGAAACGGATCTGAAACCATTCCAGAATCTACCCTGATGCATAAATAAGACAACAAGTGGTTTAAAGATACAGATGTTTAATTACACATTTATTCAACATCCCAGCACCATTGCACATGATGCTGTCATGCCCAAGCATTTAAAGGGCACCAATACTGTGTCATACACATCTTCCCATTCACGTACAACTGATACTTTGGTTGATAGCAGCATTCAACACAACACTCAGTGTAACACTATGAAGATGCAGGCAATAACTAGTTTCATAATGTCCTCTCATTCTGGCTGTTCTTTGTCTCCTTGAAAGAATTCAGTAGTATATGTAGATAAATCCTCTGATGAAGGCTACACAGTCATTTTTACTGCAGTTGTAATTAATCCAAGTCCCACCCTCTACATATATTTCTTACGTGAATAATTAATAAACCTAGGGTTTGATTTCTGCAAGTTTTCAAATTACAGATTATGAGGATGTATTTTGATATAACCTCTTCAAGTAGATCTCTTGTCTCATTTTGTACATGTTTAACCTAATGACCTTTTTTCTAAACAAATTAAAGTACTTAATGGGGTATATTAATCAAGATAGAAGCAAGCTTCGACCGGCCACAGTAATGTAAGGACCATGCAGTACTTGAACACTTCAACCTGCTGATGTCACTGGCATCAACCAATGTGACCACTCACGACGTGACCACTCACGATGTAACCAGTCATGACATGGCCACTCCCGACATGACCAGTCATGGACATGACGACTCACGACGTGACCAGTCACGACGTGACCACTCACAATGTGACCACTCAGCTACTAAATGGTAGTTGTTTCTCTGAGTGCTGTAAATATTGAAGCACAAATACAGCTTGATGAGTGCAAATTTAAACATGGACTCTTCAAATTTAGCAGTGTCCTGTTTAATAGTAATCTCATGTGAAATCTTACTTATTATGAAAAAAACCAAAAAAGAACATGTAAACAACAAAATAATTAACAAAAAGACATGCCAACTGATATTATCCATTTTACAAATCATGTACAGAATTTGAGAATGTTATCAATTTCACTTTACTGCATCCTAAACTTCAAAACCCAGCACATGTTCACCCAAAATATTATCAGTGGATACAAACCTTCCGTATAGAAAGATGAAAACATACAGTTTTGTCAATATTTTTTAACAGAAGTATTTTTGTCATCTTGTCTGCCCCTCTCTGGAAGGGTCTCATTTCAAGTCGTTTTGTGAATCACTCCAAGATGATACAATCTTAAAACTTCTCATGATTCTTCAGCTATTGTGAAGTGCCACAGGTACGAGAGTAAGATTCTGGAGGGTGGAATGGGTTGTTACAGTGTCGGGGGGAAGTGCTAGGTGAGGAACGTGTCGTCAATGTCCTCCTTGCCTCCATGCTGGGGTTGTCCTGCTAGTTTCTTCAGTGTCTTGTTGACCGTTTCCTTCAGCGACTCCTGCATCCCAGACTCCAAACAGCCCAAGGTACTCTGCAACAGTGTAAGGAGCTCTTATTTTCACTGTTAACACAAACCTTTTGCAAGATGGCAACAAATATGACAACAAGCACCAGCCACCAGAAATATGTTCTGGATAGGAATACTTCATGTTAATTGCTGAAGTCAGCAATTTTCCAGCAATGTCACTTCTGAGCCAAGCCTTCGACAAATACGTTGCTTGTGTACTAGAGGTGTAACGATACAATGGGATACCAAGGATGGGACACCAAGGGTATGATACGATTCGTATTGTGAAATAGTACTTACAGTCCTGTACACCTTTCAAAACACCGTGTAACAAATTTATTACCCTTAAGATCTCTTTATTTAGCTTATCTTTAAAAATCAACATTCAATAGAAAATAACAAAAATTGACAATAAACTTTATGTTGCACGTTTAATCAAACCGTCAACAGTCACATCAAGGGAGATAACTCGTGATGGCTCAGTTTATGATAAAATTATCGAATTTGAGTTTTTTACATGTGTCAACCAAGCCAGCGAGTCTGACCACCCGATCCCGTTAGTTGCCACTTACGACAAGCATGGGTTACTGAAAGTTCATTCTAACCCGTACCTTCTTGGGTTTATTATTCTGTAGGTTTCCATGGTAACTCACCTGCAGCACTGCCTCCCCTTGCCTCATGTGCAGCATGGCAACCAGGGCGTACTCGCTGCTGGCGCGGACCATGGTGTTCTTCTCCTTGGTGCCGTTCACAAGAGGAGGGATGAGGGGCTTCACCAGGCTCTGGGGCAGCGGCTCTTCCACAGACTGGGCAAGGTACGTTGCCACGCGCCCGACTAGCTGCTTCACATCATTGGAGTCGTGTTTCATTCCCTGGAAACATCAGCAGTCATCCACTGTACATTCTATAATTTCTTTCAACAAAAGTATTTTCCAAAATAATAACAAACCCAAATAATCAGTAATAAACTGTTATTATAACGACAAATGCTTACAAGACACCATAGATGCTCCTACCTTGATAAGAGCAGCAAGCAGCTCTGGAGTTAACTCCCCTGTCTTAATCTGGTGTTGAAGCATATAGGCGTTTCCACGTAACCACTCTGGCAGATCGGAATCTGTAGAACGAGAAACACATGTTACAGAAACAAACTTTGCATTTCATCATATGATGAAACAATTCTTTTAATGCATATTCAAGTAATTTTTTCCTTATCCTGACGATGCTTTTTGCTTATCTCCCTTTTCCTTCGACGGTCAGTGGAAACTTATAATCCTATTCAATTCCTTGAAGTCACTCAGTTACACAGTGTTTACGATTTCTATCAATACATGGAATTCAGAACCCTGAACAATTCGCAAGATCAGTGTATGATCATCAGGGTCTCTTGTATCTTGACACATTGTATCTGGCACAAATCTACATTACATCATCTAACTTTTGTTCAGACAAACTGTATTTCATATTGCAGCAAATAGTAATAAAACACCTGTTTCCATGACAACTGGTGCAACCATGTAAACTGTAATTGAACTCACTCTGTCAGCGCTAGATAAGTCCATGATGACTTTGGTGACACTCTTCACATACTGTGGGGTGAGGATTTTGTCTGGGCATGTCTTGAGAGCCACGCCTAGCGCAACACTTCGACCATGACGTAGTTGCCAATCCAGACTGCCACCAACCTCTGACATGAATCAGAAATAAATTACCATCAATACTTGAGACATAGATATCTGTTGGTCTGTTATTATGCAGTAAAACAGCTTGCTAATTCGCCATACTGAAAACCTCATACTTTGCGTTGGACCAATGTAACATTGCAGATGTAGAGTCACCAACAAAATAAACAGCTCTCCCATACATCTACCCAAAAAGTAGTCGAACATGACGGCTCCCAGTTCCACCTTCCCGAGGGCTCCACACAGCTCTCCCTCACACCTACCCAACAAGTAGTCCAGCATGACGGCTCCCAGTTCCACCTCCCCCAGGGTTCCACACAGCTCTCCCTTACACCTACCCAACAAGTAGTCCAGCATGACGGCTCCCGGTTCAACCTCTCCCAGGGTTCCACACAGCTCTACCTTACACCTACCCAACAAGTAGTCCAACATGACGGCTCCCAGTTCCACCTTCCCCAGGGCTCCACACAGCTCTCCCATACACCTACCCAACAAGTAGTCCAACATGACGGCTCCCAGTTCCACCTCCCCAGGGCTCCACACAGCTCTCCCATACACCTACCCAACAAGTAGTCCAGCATGACGGCTCCCAGTTCCACCTCCCCCAGGGCTCCACACAGCTCTCCCATACACCTACCCAACAAGTAGTCCAGCATGACGGCTCCCAGTTCCACCTCTCCCAGGGCTCCACACAGCTCTCCCTTACACCTACCCAACAAGTAGTCCAGCATGACGGCTCACAGTTCTACCTCCCCCTGGTCTCCACACAACTCTACCTTACACCTACCCAACAGGTAGTCCAACATGATGGCTCCCAGTTCCACTTCTCCCAGGGTTCCACACAGCTCTACCTTACACCTACCCAACAAGTAGTCCAACATGACGGCTCCCAGTTCCACCTTCCCCAGGGCTCCACACAGCTCTCCCATACACCTACCCAACAAGTAGTCCAACATGACGGCTCCCAGTTCCACCTTCCCCAGGGCTCCACACAGCTCTCCCATACACCTACCCAACAAGTAGTCCAACATGACGGCTCCAAGTTCCACCTTCCCCAGGGCTCCACACAGCTCTCCCTTACACCTACCCAACAGGAAGTCCAGCATGACGGCTCCCAGTTCCACCTCCCCCAGGGCTCCACACAGCTCTCCCTTACACCTACCCAACAGGAAGTCCAGCATGACGGCTCCCAGTTCCACCTCCCCCAGGGCTCCACACAGCTCTCCCATACACCTACCCAACAAGTAGTCCAGCATGGCTCCCAGTTCCACCTCCCCAGGGCTCCACACAGCTCTCCCATACACCTACCCAACAAGTAGTCCAGCATGACGGCTCCCAGTTCCACCTCTCCCAGGGCTCCACACAGCTCTCCCTTACACCTACCCAACAAGTAGTCCAGCATGACGGCTCACAGTTCTACCTCCCCCTGGTCTCCACACAACTCTACCTTACACCTACCCAACAGGTAGTCCAACATGATGGCTCCCAGTTCCACTTCTCCCAGGGCTCCACACAGCTCTACCTTACACCTACCCAACAAGTAGTCCAGCATGACGGCTCCCGGTTCCACCTTCCCCAGGGCTCCACACAGCTCTACCTTACACCTACCCATTAAGTAGTCCAACATGACGGCTCCCAGTTCTACCTCCCCCAGGGTTCCACACAGCTCTCCCTTACACCTACCCAACAAGTAGTCCAACATGACGGCTCCCAGTTCCACCTTCCCCAGGGCTCCACACAGCTCTCCCTTACACCTACCCAACAAGTAGTCCAACTTGATGGCTCCCGGTTCCACCTTCCCCAGGGCTCCACACAGCTCTACCTTACACCTACCCAACAAGTAGTCCAACATGACTGCTCCCAGTTCCACCTTCCCCAGGGCTCCACACAGCTCTCCCTCACACCTACCCAACAAGTAGTCCAACTTGATGGCTCCCGGTTCTACCTCCCCCAGGGTTCCACACAGCTCTCCCTTACACCTACCCAACAAGTAGCCCAACATGACGGCTCCCAGTTCCACCTCCCCCAGGGCTCCACACAGCTCTCCCTTACACCTACCCAACAAGTAGTCCAACATGACGGCTCCCAGTTCCACCTTCCCCAGGGCTCCACACAACTCTACCTTTCACCTACCCAGCAAGTAGTCCAGCATGACGGCTCCCAGTTCCACCTCCCCCAGGGCTCCACACAACTCTACCTTACACCTACCCAACAAGTAGTCCAGCATGACGGCTCCCGGTTCCACCTTCCCCAGGGCTCCACACAGCTCTCCCTCACACCTACCCAACAAGTAGTCCAGCATGACGGCTCCCAGTTCTACCTCCCCCAGGGCTCCACACAGCTCTCCCTTACACCTACCCAACAAGTAGTCCAACATGACGGCTTCAAATTCTACCTCCCCCAGGGCTCCACACAGCTTTCCCTTACACCTACCCAACAAGTAGTCCAACATGACGGCTCCCAGTTCCACATCTCCCAGGGTTCCACACAACACTCCCATACAGCCAGCTGCCACCATCCTCGTACTATCCTCTCCACTTCCCAGCATTCCACTCAGCGTTGAGGTGAGCTGTTTGCGGATGGCCTCGGACATCTTGCTGCCCGCACCAGCCAGACAGAACCGCAGGGCTTGCAGCATGGTGTCTCTGAGTGGACAAAAAGTCAGTATTTCCAAAAACTAAACCAGATATAGTACCCTCTGATGACAGCTGCCTATAAGCAAGCATACCAAGACATCATGTGTCTTCTCATCAGCCTTTGGGTGAATATGTTTGATCATAGCAGCCTGTGAGGATCATAGAGACTCAATGTGTCTTCTCACCACTGTACGTGTAAGTCAGTTAAACAAGAAGACAAAGTCATCAATATCAAGGGCAAAATACTCATATGAATATGTCTACTAGTTATGATTATTTCAAATGTTTTGGTGTGTATATGGCAAAGTGAAAGGAGATTATTGAAAGGTTTTAAAGTTCTGCTCCGGAAAAGAGTACTACCACCAAATTCAGTCGAAGTCAAACTTGATGCCACGGAAACACAACAAATATTTTATTCAGAATTCCAAAAATACCAAAAGGCACCAGTACACCACCACACCAATCTATGTGTAAAGTCTGGTGAAGAAATATTGAACGGTTTTAAAGTTCTGCTCTGGAAAAGACCACCAACACCAATTTCAGTCAAAGTCAAACTTGTTGCCATGGAAACGCAAAAACTATTTTATTTACAAATCCAAAACTACCAAAAGGCACCAGTTCACCACCAGACCTATCTATCTGAGAAGTTTGGTAAAGAAATATTGAACAGTTTTAAAGTTCTGCTCCGGAAAAGAGCACCAATATCAATTTCAGGCAAAGTCAAACTTGTTGCCATGGAAACGCAAAAACTATTTTATTTACAAATCCAAAACTACCAAAAGGCACCAGTTCACCACCAGACCTATCTATCTGAGAAGTTTGGTAAAGAAATATTGAACAGTTTTAAAGTTCTGCTCCGGAAAAGAGCACCAATATCAATTTCAGGCAAAGTCAAACTTGTTGCCATGGAAACGCAAAAACTATTTTATTTACAAATCCAAAACTACCAAAAGGAACCAGTTCACCACCAGACCTATCTATCTGAGAAGTTTGGTAAAGAAATATTGAACAGTTTTAAAGTTCTGCTCCGGAAAAGAGCACCAATATCAATTTCAGGCAAAGTCAAACTTGTTGCCATGGAAACGCAAAAAATATAATAATCAGAAATCCAAAACTACCAAAAGGCACCAGCACACCACCAGACCTATGTGCCAAGTTTGGTGAAGAAATATTGAATGGTTTAAAAGTTCTGCTCCGGAAAAGACAAATGTGCACGGACGGACGCATGCCTGGACTGAGTGCATTTTAATACTCCACGCAAAACGCGTTGTGGGGGATAAAAAAATCAGTCTGCGTGGATCCTAGAAAGCATACTGAGATATCCTCAATGAGTGCTGTCTAATGGTGCAGTCAGCAGTATTCAAGCTATAATAGTGGAGCAAACCAGAGGCTGATGCAGTAGGGGTGATGTGACATGATGTAACCTTGTTGGTTACTGTAGTGTAACCACCAGTGACAACCTGACTATTTTGTATCTCTGCATCTAGCGAGCAGCAAACACTGTTTGACAATTCTGACTGATGCTAAGATGCTACATCTCATTTCTACCCTGCATCATGATCCAACAGCATCGAGCCAGGCATGGGCTGCTGTGACTTACTTGACACTGGTGTCCTCAGTGCTGCGGATTCCTGTGTGTAACTCAGTGAACAGTGGATCCGTCCGCGTGTGAATGACGATCAGCTTGCCCAGCGCAGCAGCTGCCTTCAGACGGGTCGACCTGTTTGGATCATTCAAGGCCTTCAGGAACGTTGTCTGCAGCTGTGGCAGGAACGGCTTCAGCATCATCCCAACCTTGCAAAAAACAGAAAGAATCAGAACATTCATATTTCATTTACTGCCTACTGCCATACTCAATATCCTAGCTGGATGACACTGACCTGTACATAACGACCTCTATACCAGCCACATATGTGGATGATACCTTGAACCATGTTAACCAGGTAACACTGAAACACTACTGGGTGAATGAGCACATGTATAGTGAGTTCAGTTTAAAACCGCTTTTAGCAATATTCCAGTAAGGGGATACCAGAAATGGAATTCACACATTGCATCCTTGAGGGGATCGAACCCGGGCCTTCGGCGTGACGAACGAACACTTTAACCATTAGGTTAACCCACCGATAGAAGCTCTACAGTATAACATAAACATAGTATTTTCCATTGAGGCCAGGAAGTATGACATCAACGTAATATTACCGCCCGCAAATACTGTATAACAGTAAAATATAATCTAGTTGACTGGAAATCATGTTAACTTAGAATCTGACACACGCACGCACACACAGGCAGACGAACAGACACATTTCCCATACCTTGCCCAGCAATAATGTGAGAGTCTCAAGGACAGCGACCTTGACCTGCCAAGCAAACCGGTCACCAAGGATACGGATGAGTGGGCCTGTGATGTTGACAACAGAGGGCTTCAATGCCTCAGGGCTGGTGAGGTTGATGACCTCCCCTAGACCGATGGCGGCAGCCTCCTTCATGTCTGGGGATCCGTTCAGAATCCCTTCACGGAAGATTGGCAAGACTGGTGTAATTCCCTGGAACACAGCGGCAGGTACTTGGCATTACACGTAAGTTGGAACAGGAATAAAACACACATTTATATAAGTACTCCACTGAATGATTACAGATTAGTTAGAGAGTGAATCTTGTCTAAAGCAGAACCAAACAAACTGACATACCATGTATGAAGGCTAATTACAGTGGACTCTGTCAATACCGGCCTCTCTTAACACCGGCACTCTGTCTACATCGGCACAAAGTTTCGGTCCCGGCAGAAATGCACGTTATTATCATTTAGAAACTTCTGTAAACATCGGCATCTGTCTATTCAGGATATCGGCATTGTTTTTCAGTCCCAACGAACAAGTTGTTATGAAAACGAATCTGTAAAAACCGGCACATGAAAGACGGCGTAACCCTTTGATGCAATTAGGTCCAAATGATGTAACAACACAATTCGCTGTGACTCCCGAGATTATTCAGAAACGGGAAGTGTTAATCAGTATCTTGTTAATCAGTGAGTGAATGTACGTAACACTTACCCAGAGTAATTAATACATGTAGTGGGCAGTTTGACTGTATAAACAAGCAAGTGTTTACATTTTGTTGATTCGCGGGTATTGACTTCGAGATTATTCAGAAGCGAGAGGTGTCAATCAGTTTCTTGTTAATTAGTGAGTGGCACGTGTCACTTACATAGAGGCGAATCGTTTGATGGCGGGGTATCGTTCAAAGCTCTGAACATCAACAATATCACTGTACTCTTGCGAGTATTTTCACATTTGTAAGAAGCGATTTTATTGGATAAAGATTGGTTTCTAACGGCGCTTTTCACTACACTCTGCTTATAAAGGGTCGTGATTGGTCAAAATCAGACCGCGTGACCTAAGTAGCCAATCATATTATGGAAATGGATACCTTCTTCGTAAACGAAAACTTTTAGATTAAGACGAAAGTTTTTGGGTAAAATAATGCTATTCTGAACATATTAAGAAAGACATCGCTACCTATCGTAAATTATGGAGCGTATTGGACATATCGTGCTAGGTTATGGCCTATGACAAAATGCTTCATGCATATATTTTCACATTAAGCATCGTGTGCGGCGCGTCAAGAAGGAGGCGGTGAAAGCCGAGATGTAACTTGTCAGTGACTTGACTTACATTGCATGATCGCACAAAAGTATGGAAATAGTAATTTTATATGCGGCTGGACAACTTTTATGAATGTTATTGTTGATTTCAATTTATTTAATGATTTCCTCGATGTTTGAATCATCGTTACTTTGCTCTTTGACAATGCTATTGTAGACCCGCTGCGAAGCATAAACAAGAATCGTTGTTTTCAATAACATTGCGAAAAATAGTTTATAATTTTAATTCTGCCGATAATATATGATCAGTTGAAATTTAATAAGAGATTTCAGACATTTTTATTTGATTTAAACAACATGAATGTGCATTCAGACACTGCCTTGTTTCTTATTCAAACATCTTGTTAATGCTAAAGTGACAGTACGACAGCGAACTTCCGTGTGCGCAGGCGTCATAAGCGAACTTAGCTAAATCGGCACTGTCAAAACCGGCATTTTTATTTGGTCCCGACTGATGCCGGTATTGACAGAGTACACTGTAATAGATTGTACAAAGAGACGATGTGCAAAGAAATGCTTGAAAGCAACAGAGGTAGACCCCAAATATAATTAATTTTGCAACATACAAGTTGACGTTTATTAAATTAGTTGATTAGAGGTCATGTTAACCTAAATACAAAGTGAAAACAAAACAATCCAACAGTATTTGTAGTCCTACCTTCTTTGGAATGCTGAAGCCAGGGAGATTTATGCCCTTAAAGTCGGACACAGCAAACCTAACGGCCGTCCTGACGTCCGAAATGTGTTGCAGCATTTCAGATGTGTCTAGTTTCTACAAACAAACACAGCATGTGAAGAAAAAGTTCAGGATTTTCATTTATTTTCAGCAATTACGTGTAATGATCCAACATTTGAAAATATTCAAGCATTCAAAAATTATCTCCCTTGTATAAGCCCAAACCATTTTTGATATTTCTGCAATTCAGCTTTAAAACAGAAATGTTGTTGCAATATAAAAAGAGATTAATTCAATGAAACCAACTTCTACTCACTTTGGTAACAGCATCCAAGCAATTCCATGCAGCTAGAAGAATATTATCCTCTGAGCGGGTGAACAAATAAATAAGTCCCCGCAGAAGCTGGGGCACATATTCCGAGAAGTCCAACTCCGTCTGTTTACAGAACGCATGGAGGATGGTGACAGCCGAGGCGCACATATTAGCATCAGACATCTGACTGGCACTGAGAAGGTCCTCCATGATGGTCCGAACACCGACCTCATCCTCCACTGACAAAACAACAGTCCTACAGTAGCCCAGTTCCTTGAAAGAAAATCAATCAAAATATTTTACACCAGAAAACAAAGAAGACTGTATTTACAATTATACCCATATGGAAAGATCAAATTAACAAAACTTCTTGAGTTCATCAAAAATATCAACATAATAAATAATTATTGAATCCCAAAAGAAACTTGCTAAAACCCCTCAAAAATTGATCTCAAATTGTAAACCAAAAGTCACTGTGTTCTTTACTCTGATTGGTTGAAAAACGTGATCAAATGGTATTTGATTCCTGGAAATTTGCTGCGTATTAATACATACAAACATTGCTCACACCATTGTATTGTTACGTCGTCAGCTGTGATAACGTCATTAAAATCATATTGTGACGTAAAGTCCGAATGACGTCACAAATGAACAGTTCCAGATGCTACCATGGGAGACAGCCGAAACGGCCGGCTGATGACATTTCACTGCTGTACCCGTACTCGATGTCAATGAGTGCAGACACAAAACATGTGTGGACCTTGTGGTTTACTTTTGTGTTTACAATGTCGATAAACATCCATGTGTTGGCCAATTTCCGCGTGTTACTGAGTATTTGAAGCACGGGAATATTTCATTTTAAACCTCCGGCTGACGTCGTCGGTTCCAAATGAATTCCCGTGCTTCAAATACTCAATAACACCCGGAAATTGGCCAACACATGATGTTTATCTCCTAAGTTAACATTCACTTTAAAAAATAATAACAACATATAATCACAGCCATTTGAGAAAATGGATAATCAACACCAAGTGTATCATCATCCACCAGTGCCAGGGGTGGTGGCGAAGCTTGTGTTAGGGGCTGTCTGCCAGCGGAAGGTTAACCCTCCAGCAGGGGGCACCTGTTATTGGGGGTGGACACCATAAAAATGTGTGGGGTATCTTTAAAATAGGGGAACCCTCCAACTGATGGTAAACACCCTCACACAGACTGAGGCAGCTCATGGCAATGCTAAGTGTTTTGTGCAAGACCTCCATTCCGACTACAAATTGAATGTTTGGAATTAAGGATTAAAACAACTATCCTCTATAAGTGAATGTAATAAATGACACCTCAATTTTACTCATATGTTGTGATAATGTAAGAGTACCCAAAGGACAAACTGTGAAACTAAATTTCAGCATGAATTTACAAGATGTTGATGTTGGAGCACCCACCTGTTCTTCATCAGGTGTTCCTGCCTTCTCGCTGAGTGCCGTCATCAGTGCCGGGAGAATCTTGCCAAGATGGCGTGTGAGTGCATCCCCAGCGACTGATGTCAACAGTGACAGAGCCTTGGTGTTGACAGGGGGGCTGATCAGCTGCAACAACATGTAACTTATAAAGAGGGTACACTATGGAAAAAAACACACATACAGTCGAGCACCGTTATCTCGATATTCTTGGGACCAAGAAAAAATATTGAGTTATCCGAACTTCGAGACATCCGACCAGGGCATATCGTCACATATCACTATGAAAGAAAACAAAACACTTCTCAGTATGTTTTGATTAGAAACTATAATCCGTTATCAGTCGTGTTTCGACGTAACAGTGAGTACTTCCTAATTATTTCCTTCTTAATTAATCCTAATTACATAACAAACAAGTGACACCTTCGACTCAATTAGCCCTAATTAGTTTACACTACCGCATCCTTTTGATTCATGCCGCACCGTGTGGAAACGTGTGGAAACAACCTCAGTTCAGAGGTATACTTGCCCACAAAAAGGTAGGTGAATATAGAGTTTCTTTGCAAATATCGAGTTAAAAGGGTAATTTTACTTGTTGGGACCATGAAATTATATCAAGATATCCGAAATATCGAGATATCCGATAAAAGACAACTGTATCGAGTTAAAAGAGGTTGAATAAGGATAAATTATGAAGGATTTTGCCGGGACCCAGATGTTATATCGAGACAACCGAGATATCGAGTTATCAGAGTTCGACACAACGGTGCTCGACTGTATATACGGTCAGTAAGTTTTATGTTTTATCTAGCTTTTAACAATATTCAAGCAATATCCCGAAAGGGGACACCAGAAATGGACTCCAAACATTGTAACCATGTGGGGAATGGAACTGGGGTCTTTTGCGTGATCAGCGAACGCTTTAACCACTAGGCTACCCCACTCCCCAACATACATACACTGTCTTATATAAAGACATAAAATCAGACATGTATTTGACCAAGTCTTGGAGGAATTGGAACAACACTCAACTGGCATGTTACTGAACTGCCATACAAGATAAAAGTTTGTTTGTTTGTTGTTTTATGCCGCACTCAGCATTATTCCAGCTATATAACGGCGGTCTGTAAATAATCAAGTCTGGACCAGACAATCCAGTGAATACACAGCATGGTTGTAATGAAAGACAACTCTACTGACCTGGGGTATGAGGTAAGGAAAGACAACCCTACTGACCTAGGGTATGAGGTAAGGAGAGACAACTCTACTGACCTAGGGTATGAGGTAAGGAAAGACAACTTTACTGACCTGTGGTATGAGGTAAGGAAAGACAACTCTACTGACCTGGGGTATGAGGTAAGGAAAGACAACTCTACTGACCTGGGGTATGAGGTAAGGAGAGACAACTCTACTGACCTGGGGTATGAGGTAAGGAAAGACAACTCTACTGACCTGGGGTATGAGGTAAGGAGAGACAACTCTACTGACCTGGAGTATGAGGTAAGGAAAGACAACTCCACTGACCTGGGGTATGAGGTAAGGAAAGACAACTCTACTGACCTGGGGTATGAGGTAAGGAGAGCGTCTCTACTGACCTGGAGTATGAGGTAAGGAAAGACAACTCTACTGACCTGGGGTATGAGGTAAGGAGAGACAACTCTACTGACCTGGGGTATGAGGTAAGGAAAGACAACTCAACTGACCTGGGGTATGAGGTAAGGAAAGACAACTCTACTGACCTAGGGTATGAGGTAAGGAAAGACAACTCTACTGACCTAGGGTATGAGGTAAGGAAAGACAACTCTACTGACCTGGGGTATGAGGTAAGGAAAGACAACTCTACTGACCTAGGGTATGAGGTAAGGAAAGACAACCATACTGACCTGGGGTATGAGGTAAGGAAAGACAACTCTACTGACCTGGGGTATGAGGTAAGGAAAGACAACTCTACTGACCTGGGGTATGAGGTAAGGAAAGACAACTCTACTGACCTGGGGTATGAGGTAAGGAAAGACAACCATACTGACCTGGGGTATGAGGTAAGGAAAGACAACCCTACTGACCTGGGGTATGAGGTAAGGAAAGACAACTCTACTGACCTGGGGTATGAGGTAAGGAAAGACAACTCTACTGTCCTAGGGTATGAGGTAAGGAAAGACAACTCTACTGACCTAGGGTATGAGGTAAGGAAAGACAACTCTACTGACCTAGGGTATGAGGTAAGGAAAGACAACTCTACTGACCTGGGGTATGAGGTAAGGAGAGACAACTCTACTGACCTGGGGTATGAGGTAAGGAAAGACAACCATACTGACCTAGGGTATGAGGTAAGGAAAGACAACTCTACTGACCTGGGGTATGAGGTAAGGAGAGACAACTCTACTGACCTGGGGTATGAGGTAAGGAAAGACAACCATACTGACCTGGGGTATGAGGTAAGGAAAGACAACTCTACTGACCTGGGTATGAGGTAAGGAAAGACAACTCTACTGACCTGGGGTATGAGGTAAGGAAAGACAACTCTACTGACCTGGAGTATGAGGTAAGGAAAGACAACTCTACTGACCTGGGGTATGAGGTAAGGAAAGACAACTCTACTGACCTGGGGTAGAGGTGAGGAAGAGACAACTCTACTGACCTGGTATGAGGTAAGGAAAGACAACTCTACTGACCTGGGGTATGAGGTTAGGAAAGACAACTCTACTGACCTGGGGTATGAGGTAAGGAAAGACAACTCTACTGACCTGGAGTATGAGGTAAGGAAAGACAACTCTACTGACCTAGGGTATGAGGTAAGGAAAGACAACTCTACTGACCTAGGGTATGAGGTAAGGAAAGAGACAACTCTACTGACCTGGGGTATGAGGTAAGGAGAGACAACTCTACTGACCTGGGGTATGAGGTAAGGAAAGACAACTCTACTGACCTGGGGTATGAGGTAAGGAAAGACAACTCTACTGACCTGGGGTATGAGGTAAGGAGAGACAACTCTACTGACCTGGGGTATGAGGTAAGGAGACAACTACTGACTGACCTGGGTATGAGGTAAGGAAAGACAACTCATACTGACCTGGGGTATGAGGTAAGGAAAGACAACTCTACTGACCTGCGGTATGAGGTAAGGAAAGACAACTCTACTGACCTGGGGTATGAGGTAAGGAAAGACAACTCTACTGACCTGGAGTATGAGATAAGGAAAGACAACTCTACTGACCTGGGGTATGAGGTTAGGAAAGACAACTCTACTGACCTGGAGTATGAGGTAAGGAAAGACAACTCTACTGACCTAGGGTATGAGGTAAGGAAAGACAACTCTACTGACCTGGGGTATGAGGTTAGGAAAGACAACTCTACTGACCTGGAGTATGAGGTAAGGAAAGACAACTCTACTGACCTGGGGTATGAGGTTAGGAAAGACAACTCTACTGACCTGGAGTATGAGGTAAGGAAAGACAACTCTACTGACCTACGGTATGAGGTAAGGAAAGACAACTCTACTGACCTGGGGTATGAGGTAAGGAAAGACAACTCTACTGACCTGGGGTATGAGGTTAGGAAAGACAACTCTACTGACCTGGGGTATGAGGTAAGGAAAGAAAGACAACTCTACTGACCTGGAGTATGAGGTAAGGAAAGACAACTCTACTGACCTGCGGTATGAGGTAAGGAAAGACAACTCTACTGACCTGGGGTATGAGGTAAGGAAAGACAACTCAACTGACCTGGGGTATGAGGTAAGGAAAGACAACTCTACTGACCTGGGGTATGAGGTAAGGAAAGACAACTCTACTGTCCTAGGGTATGAGGTAAGGAAAGACAACTCTACTGACCTGGGGTATGAGGTAAGGAAAGACAACTCTACTGACCTGGGGTATGAGGTAAGGAAAGACAACTCTACTGACCTGGGGTATGAGGTAAGGAAAGACAACTCTACTGACCTGGGGTATGAGGTAAGGAAAGACAACTCTACTGACCTAGGGTATGAGGTAAGGAAAGGAAAGACAACTCTACTGACCTGGGGTATGAGGTAAGGAAAGACAACTCTACTGACCTGGGGTATGAGACAACTCTACTGACCTGGGGTATGAGGTTAGGAAAGACAACTCTACTGACCTGGGGTATGAGGTTAGGAAAGACAACTCTACTGACCTGGGGTATGAGGTAAGGAAAGACAACTCTACTGACCTGGGGTATGAGGTAAGGAAAGACAACTCTACTGACCTGGGGTATGAGGTTAGGAAAGACAACTCTACTGACCTGGGGTATGAGGTTAGGAAAGACAACTCTACTGACCTGGGGTATGAGGTAAGGAAAGACAACTCTACTGACCTGGGGTATGAGGTTAGGAAAGACAACTCTACTGACCTGGGGTATGAGGTAAGGAAAGACGACTCTACTGACCTGGAGTATGAGGTAAGGAAAGACCACTCTACTGACCTGGGGTATGAGATAAGGAAGGACAACTCTGCTCTTGACTGTCATGACCTGCTTCAGGCCGTCCAACGCTGCTTCCTCCTGAGATGGGTCATCCTGCAACGATCACAAATTGTATTGACCAAGTTGAATGTAGATTTGAACCTTTTGTCAGTTATATCCTGTCATGTCAAACCCAACACCAACAGTGATGTTGCTTGGTTGACCTTTGTGGATGTTCCCACACTTTCATAAGCATCACCAATAACACATATATATCAGTCATAATCAGCCCACAGCAAAAACCAAGCTTACTACTGCGCAGAGGATAAACAATGAAATAAAAGAGACACAGATTTTGACATTTAAGGGCATATATATTCACAGATTTAAATATCTATTGATAAAATGTTCAATCGGCAAACTTTACGGAATTGTTACTGGCCTGCACCAAAGTGTGTGTGTCTGCACAGTGGGCAGGCAGCTACTCTCAACACTGTTCCCTTCTGAAAAATGAATCAAACTTTGAGGAGTGTATTGTTTTCATCAAAGGATGGCAGTAAAGCAGATCTTACCAGTTGTTTAAGTAGAGCTGGTAGAATTTCATCCAGGGCTCGGTTTCCAATGTTGGCATGAAGGTTGTCAAAGGTTTTGGCAGCAGCCTCTCGTACATCTGGGAGTGAGTCGCACAGCGCTCGCCTCACCGTGGGGATCAGACTGTCTGCAAACACCAGCACCTGCAACACAGTGCTACAGTGAACACATGCCACACTCACCAGTGATGTACCCCCTCCATCGCAGGGACTGATGTGAGAAATGATATATAACCAGGTGTATGGTAGAGACTAAGTACTCACATGGTCCCGGCTTGTAGAGGCTATGATCTCGCTAAGGCCGATGTGAGAAATGATATATAATCAGGTGTATAGTAGAGACTAAGTACTCACATGGTCCCGGCTTGTAAAGGCCATGATCTCGCTAAGGCCGATGTGAGCAATGATATATAACCAGGTGTATGGTAGAGACTAAGTACTCACGTGGTCCCGGCTTGTAGAGGCCATGATCTCGCTAAGGCCGATGTGAGAAATGATATATAACCAGGTGTATGGTAGAGACTAAGTACTCACATGGTCCCTGCGTGTAGAGGCTATGATCTTGCTAAGGCCGATGTGAGAAATGATATATAACCAGGTGTATGGTAGAGACTAAGTACTCACGTGGTCCCTGCTTGTAGAGGCTATGATCTCGCTAAGGCCGATGTGAGAAATGATATATAACCAGGTGTTAGGTAGAGACAAAGTACTCACGTGGTCCCGGCTTGTAGAGGCCATGATCTCACTAAGGCCGATGTGAGAAATGATATATAACCAGGTGTAAGGTAGAGACTAAGTACTCACGTGGTCCCGGCTTGTAGAGGCCATGATCTCGCTAAGGCCGATGTGAGAAATGATATATAACCAGGTGTATGGTAGAGACTAAGTACTCACGTGGTCCCTGCTTGTAGAGGCCATGATCTCGCTAAGGCCGATGCAGACGCCCTGTCTCTGGTCCTCCTCTTCTGAGTCCAGACCCCGCTCCAGGATCGGGATGATCTCGGGCAGGACACGCTCACCCAGCTTTCTCACCAGGTCACCAAGGGTGCGTGCCGCCACCTACACAACAAAACCATTTCACATGAACATGGCTCTTACACAAAAGGAGTCCGTATGATCAAACTCATCAGTGTATGATCAAAATCACCAGTGAATGATCAAACTTGCAAATGTAGGATCAAACGTGTAATGCATGATCAAACGATTCAGTGAATGATCAAACAATTCAGTGAATGATCAAACTCATCAGTTTATTCTCAAGTCATCAGTGAATGATCAAAATCTTCCGTGAATGATCAAACTCATCGGTGAATGATCAAACTCATCAGTTATTCTCAAGTCATCAGTGAATGATCAAACTTATCAGTGTATGATCAAAATCATCAGTGTATGAACAAACTCATCTGTGAATGATCAAACTCACCAGTGTATGATCAAAATCATCAGTGTATGAACAAACTCATCAGTGAATGATCAAATTCATCAGTTATTCTGAAGTCATCAGTGAATGATTAAACTCATCGGTGAATGATCAACCTCATCAACTCATTGTGAATGATCAAACTCATGAGTTATTCTCAAGTCAGTGTATGATCAACTCATCAGTGTATGATCAAACTCATTAGTGTATGATCAAACTCATTAGTGTATGATCAACTCATGAGTATAGAATCAAACTTGTATGTGTAGAATGAAACTCGTTAGAGTACAATCAAACTAGTAATATATGACCAAACTCATCACAGTATGATCAAATTCATCAGTGTAGAATCAAACTTGTAACTGTATGATCAAACTCATCAGTGTATGATCAAATTCATCACTGTATAATCAAACTCGCAAATGTAGGCTCAAACTTGTAAATGTATGATCAAACACATATGTATAGGATCAAGCTTACAAGTACAGACTCAAGCTCACCGTTCTCTTGTCGTGGCTGGTGCTTGCCAGACATCCCAGCAGAAGTGAGAAGAGGGTAGGTAGAATCTCTCGGGAGCGTCCTTGGAGTGTTGCTGACGATCACCTTCCAGACATGGAGTGCTGACTGCCTCACCAGGAGAGCTGTGTCAGACCTGCCCATGTACAAACCAGCGAGCACTCGGTTCCGTCTCTCTACCCCCCAGGGCTTTGGTGATTGCCTGGGTAATAAAAAGTGGAACGATTCAACCATGATGTGACAACTCTGTGAATAAAACATTATATGCAGATATCATCTGTATCAATTTCAGAGCAGTCTTTAGCCATTTAATAATATCTTGGTATCAAGGAACTGCAGTCCCATTCTTCACAAATATGGGATAAAATGTAATTTGGAAAAGATTGAATAAGTCAGTTGTGTTACCTTAAACAGTATTTCAGTTATATCATGGTGTGTCATACTCCACAATGACATGCCTGAAGATGCTTAGGTGGGCATGATGCTGACGACTTATACTGATTCTCAGGGTCAATCTGGAAGTATTTCTGCATAGAATTTTGGATTGCGTTTATTTATTTGAAATATACTGCAGAGCACTTCAAGGCAAAGCCTCACTTACAAAGTACACTTTCTGTCGTAGTTTGTTGGTGTATTCAACACAAATAGCGAACGAACTCTGGTTGTACACAAGAGTATCAATTCAAACACAGGCACCTGTTCTCCCATGTCTATTTCCATCAGTATATGGTAACAGTCGTAACCACGGTGACAGTCAAGTGCCTACCTGTTGTGATGTCTCGGTGCCGAAGTTGTCATCCTCCCCAGCACTCTCGGTGGACATCTTGCCAGACACACCTGCAACATGAACACAGAGTCAATATTTGTCGGAGACTTTACTTGGTACCATCAAATTCTTCCAGTGATAAAATGACATTGCTAGTTATCCTTAAGCCATCCATCAACCAAACGTTGACATATCTAACTAATATCTCAGACTGGTAGGCGCCAGAAGATACTTAATCAAATCATTTCAGATCCTATGCATGCCCCTTTATTGGCAAACTGACCAAACTGACCATCTGTATCCCAAATGTCCATCCACCCAATTGTGTAGAAACACCAGTTTGAACCTTTCACCCTCATTGATGTCAATTCAGAGAAATTGTTATTCCCCCAAGAAAAGTGAATCAATAACAGTTCGGTTAGCTTGGTCAATGCACTTTCCCAGTACATTAACCCTTCTTAACTTGACTTCAAATTTTCCTTAAATATTTATAAAATGCATATAATGTTTTCAACTCTAAATATCCTGGTTATAATATACTTGGCTGTGATGTAGTGTTGGGAATTGGTTAAAATCCCATAATTAATGATTGGTTCATTACAACCGACCAATCATCGAAAAAAATTGCTTAGTGTCATTTATCAATTTTTTTCTATGTTTGATAATGCACAATTTTTTTTTAAAAACAACAAAACATGTAGCTCTTTCGTTTTTTTTGACAAATTGCACAAAATACATTATCAAATTTCACGTCTATAAACGATGAATAGTATGTTAGGAACATAACTTCCCTGCAGGGCCCTGATTCTCGAAACGTTCGTAGCTCTAAGAATTGTTAACTTTGATTGTAGCCAATGTGTTAGAATGGGCTTAAGAAGTTTGTAGGGCTACGAACGTTTGGAGTATAGCTAGCCTGGAGTCTTTAAGATAAATTCAATTATGACATGGAACGACCTTGTTGACTATTGTAGTACTTATGAAATGTAACAGACAAAACCAACCTTTTGAAAAATGTGGCTGATGTAAACAGGGGTTAAAATTGTTTGTGTTCGATTATGAGAAAACATGATCGACTGCTTGGTCGTTAAGTTATTGCGACAAATCTTTGATTATTTCAATTAATTGGACCACCACTACTGTGATGTATGTTATACTTGGAATTACACTTTCTCAGTAAAGCACAGATTGTAGTACTTGTATTCAACTCTGAGAGTCTGCCAGACTGAGGGTGTTGGGTTCGAGTGAGTGAGTGAGTTTGGATTTACGCCGCTTTTAGCAATATCCGAGCAATATCACAACAGGGGATACCACAAATGTGCTTCACACATTGTACTCATGTGGGGAATCGAACCCAGGTCTTCAGAGTGATGAGTGAACACTTTAACCACTAGGCTACCCCCACCACCATGTGTGTGTGTTTGAGTCTCGGGTGGGACTCAACCCAACAAAAGTACTAGAATCTGTACTTTACTAAGAAAGTGCAATCCCAGATACATTTGACCACTTTCTGCATGGCATTGTGAGTGGGTTTAGTTTTACGCCGCACTCAGCAATATTCCAGCTATATGGCGGTGTTCTGTAAATAATCAAGTCTGGACCAGACAATCCAGTGATCAACAGCATGCGCATCTATCTGCGCAATTGGGAACCGATGACATGGGTCAACCAAGTCAGGAAGCCTGACCACCCGATCCCGATAGTCGCCTCTTACGACAAGCTTGGGTTACTGAAGATCAATATTCTAACCCATCACTACATTTGGCTGTTACAACAGTCTACGGTGATACATGAGAAGGATCTGCTGTATTCACCTGATATCTTGTAGAGGAGGTCCCCCAGGAGCTGGACGGAGCTGAATCGGATCCTCCAGTTGTCAGCAAACAGTCCGTTCTCGATCTCTGGCAGCAGCAGGGATATGGCCGTGTCGGCAAACAGCGTGATGATTCTCTGGCCAGCCCTCAAAGCTGTGTCACGTACGTACTCACTTTCATCAGCTAAAGCCTGCAGTACAAGGATGGGCTCATTAACAATGAGGGCCTATCAACTATCAGTATCAACAAGATGAGAAACAAACATGACCACCAACCTGGGCAGGCTGCATTCATTGCCATGAAATCCAGATGTCAAATATTTTGGCAATTCAAACAGAACTTTTGTGAATAATGAGGACGCTAACACAGGAACAGTTTCCACCTACCTTCAAGATGGATGGTAGAATTGGGCCTACAAATATGGCAAAATCCCTGCCGAATGTTGCAGGAAGATAGATGTAGGTCATGATGTACCCGTCCCGGACGAAGGGTGCGATGTCGTCTCTCTCCGCCGTTTCTATGATTCCAGGCATCAGCTTCTTCAGTTTGTCCAGCCCCATGCCGCCAATGGCTTCGCTGAGACCTGAGGGAGAAACATGACTGAAATACTCCCTCAGCTTTAAGTAAAACCACATTCAAGGACTGTTAGTTGATTATCGCTGAACTCAGCAATATTCCAGCTGTATGATGGCAATGAGAAAACAAAGAAGTCTGGGTGCCATTTCAGAAAGCTATCGTAGCACTATTACTGTTGTATCTCCTGCAACATTGACTTACGACAGTCGTAGCTTTGTGAAAGGGGCCCTGGACTAGACTATATAGTGATTGGCATCACCAGCATCAGTTGACAGCCTTTTGGGAAACAATGATTACATCAAGTCAGTGAGCAATACCAACCGAATGCTCTTCAACCATATTCCCAGGCAGAACAATCAAAGTGAGAAGTGACATGACATGGGATTAGATGTTGCGATCTGCTTGTGCTAGCCATTATTATTGTAGGTGTTACTGTGCCGGTTTACTGACATACAGATGCAGTTTAACATGGACACCCTAGTGAGACAAAGAGTACTCTCTGCACAAACCAATCCTAGTTTCATCTCCTTAAAGCTTTGCTCCGGGAAAGTGAGGTGAGGTGGAATGGGGTTTAACGTCACACTTAAGAATATTTTGCTTATATGATGATGTGCATGCGGGTATATGTGTGGCTGCTTGTACTAACCCTGACTTAAGTTGGTTTTCTAGTGCTATCTCATTGATATACCATGCCGCAGTTAAGCATGAATATATGACTAGTCCTTCTTGTACCCAGTAATGCCGAGTGCAGGCAGGGGCCATATTTTAACTTCTTTTGGTATGACTTGGCCGGGGATCGAACCCGCGACCTTCCGCTCTCCGGGCAGATGCTCTAACCACTACATCACGGAGGCGATTCGCTCTGGGAAGGGAAACAACAGTACCAACAGTCTTGTGAAGCAACTTAACACAATCTTAACTTTCATACAATAACATAAATAAATGACAGTTGGAGTGTCTGTTTAACATGTTTACCTTGTGCAGCCCCAGATCTGTCGACAGAGCTCTGTTCCGACACGAGGTTCTCCATGAGCCAAGGCAGGAGCTCCTCGAAGATGGCCTCCCCCATCCCCTTCACCATGGCTCCCAGGGCTCGGGCCGACACGCTGCGCACCTCCGGCACAGGGTCCAGGAGGCACTGCTTCAGTCCGGGGATCACAGACTGCAGGTACGGGGAGAGGTCCTGCAGGTAGAGAGATAGGGGAGTCAGTCAGGGGATCACAGACTGCAGGTATGGGGAGAGGTCCTGCAGGTACAGAGATAGGGGAGTCAGTCAGGGAGTCAGTCAGGGGATCACAGACTGCAGGTACGGGGAGAGGTCCTGCAGGTACAGAGATAGGGGAGTCAGTCAGGGGATCACAGACTGCAGGTACGGGGAGAGGTCCTGCAGGTACAGAGATAGGGGAGTCAGTCGGGGAGTCAGTCAGGGGATCACAGACTGCTGGTACGGGGAGAGGTCCTGCAGGTACAGAGATAGGGGAGTCAGTCAGGGGATCACAGACTGCAGGTACGGGGAGAGGTCCTGCAGGTACAGAGATAGGGGAGTCAGTCAGGGGATCACAGACTGCAGGTACGGGGAGAGGTCCTGCAGGTACAGAGATAGGGGAGTCAGTCAGGGAGTCAGTCAGGGGATCACAGACTGCAGAGTGCAGGAGAGAGGTCCTGCAGGTACAGAGATAGGGGAGTCAATCGGGGGAGTCAGTCAGGGGATCACAGACTGCAGGTGCGGAGAGGAGGTCCTGCAGGTACAGAGATAGGGGAGTCAGTCAGGGATCACAGACTGCAGAGTGCGGGAGAGGTCCTGCAGGTACAGAGATAGGGGAGTCAGTCGGGGGAGTCAGTCAGGGGATCACAGACTGCTGAGTGCGAGGGAGAGGTCCTGCAGGTACAGAGATAGGGGAGTCAGTCGGGAGTCAGTCAGGGGATCACAGACTGCAGGTACGGGGAGAGGTCCTGCAGGTACAGAGATAGGGGAGTCAGTCAGGGGAGTCAGTCAGGGGATCACAGACTGCAGGTACGGGGAGAGGTCCTGCAGGTACAGAGATAGGGGAGTCAGTCGGGGAGTCAGTCAGGGGATCACAGACTGCAGGTACGGGGAGAGGTCCTGCAGGTACAGAGACAGGGGAGTCAGTCAGGGAGTCAGTCCGGGGATCACAGACTGCAGGTACGGGGAGAGGTCCTGCAGGTACAGAGATAGGGGAGTCAGTCGGGGAGTCAGTCGTGGAGTCAGTCAGGGAATCAGTATGTACATTAGTGATATCATCACAATTACAGTAGAATACTCTTATAACGAACACGGATATAACGAACTGACGGCTATAGCGAACTGTTTTAAAAGTCCCGAATAAACCTTATACTATCATATAAAAAAGTGAATAGCCAACTACAGATATAACGAAGTAATTTCAGTGGTCCCTTGGAGTTCGTTATAAAGGTATTTTACTGTATGTAATATTCTGGTAAAACCATGAACAGGAACCATTACAAGCTTATCAATATCAATACTGAATTAAAATTCGCCTGCAAAATTTACCTTCGAGACTACCATGATTAACAAGGACAATGAAAAGGAACAATATTTAATCTTAAACATCAGTCTAGTTCTTATTAAGCAAAACATTTATTAACTGCAGATCTGTAGAGGCAATTTTTCATCTTAACACATACAGAAAGATGTTTTTACTGTTCTTGGGAACATAGAAACAGAGGTTTCAACTGTGTATTGGGCAGAAGGGGGAGAGAAGCAAATAATATGAGTTAGGATAAGGAAAAAATGTAATTTTCTGACTAAAATTGATATTTTATACTTATCCTGACTCATGCTAAATGCTTGTCTCCTTCTTCTTGCGAATGATAGTGGAACACTTGAAATCCCTTGAAGTTCCCTTCTAAAAGCGGACGTATAATCATCACTCACCCACGAGTAGTCTCCCTTGCCTCCTTTGGCGCCCTTTTTGGTCACATGACCAACCATGTTTGTCGGTCTCTCCGTATGTATGCCCGACACCCGGATTTACAGGGAAATCCAGAGTGCCCTGAGAGGGGAGGTTGGAAGGGCTTACCTCATGAGTCAGGATAAGTATAAAATATCAATTTTTGTCAGAAAATTACATATTTTCCCTTATCCTGACTAAATGCTAAATGCTTGCAGAATACGTCGGAATCGGTGGTGGGTCAGGCCACTTCTGGATTCTCTGGCTGTTGATTTACGACCTGTATTATCCCCCATGGGAACTTATAACTGCATTCTGTTCTTTCAAGTTCCTCTGATGAGTCTGGGGGGGAACCGCAACTTGTCAGATTTCTTCCGAAACTTCTCCTGACATTTTCGCGTGGATTTTTAGATATACTAATGTTCCATTAGTTATCTATTGCAACTCCATCTCTTGATGCGCGCATCAAGTGGAGATGCGACCCTTCTTCATGTACGAGTAGTCCTATACAAGTACAGGGTCTATCACTCATGCTTGTCTGTACTAGACGTGTGCATGGACTTTAACCATTTGCTCTCCAGAACGTTGGTTAAGCCTTTCCTCGTTGCATACTGTTCAAATCTCTGCCACTTGTCGTCGTACAAGTTGCGAATTGATCTGCGTAGAGCTAGTGTCACTGCTTTCGCTGCTCTGGCGGAGTACCCTCTAGTCTTCAGGCAAGCTTTGATACGCTCCACGCGTGTAGCTGGAACAATGCCGGATTCCCGTGAGCTTGCTTGGTGTGTGGATGGACGAGCAGGTTTGACCACTCTGGTAGTTTCAGGGTTGGACTTCCAAGTTCTTGTATGAGGACGGGAAACCATACCCTTGCTGGCCACGAATGTTGGTGGTTGTTTGTTGAACTTTGTTGCAAACAAGTCTATCAGTGGAGATCCTATTGTCTGTATGACGAACCGGAACGCTTCTGGATGTAACATCCATTCCGTCGGGGATGGTTGTAGTGGACGAGATAGGGTGTCTGCTATGACATTCTTTGCTCCTGGAATGTGGCATGCCTTCATGTAGATGTTCAGGTCGTCGACGATGCTGAACAGGAGAAAACTCAGCGGGAGCAGACTTGTTGATCTTGTTGATCCTTGTTTGTTGATGTAGAACGCTACTGTGAAGTTGTCTGTGTGGACCATGAACCTTGCGTTCTTTAGTACGCTGGACCAGTGATCACTGCTTTCATCTCCAACAGGTTTATGTGCAGACTCTGATCCTGACTCGACCACTTCCCTGCTGCCACTTCGTTGTCGAGGTGAGCACCCCATCCTTGTAGGGAGGCATCCACTTAGAGATGAGTGTTGCAAACCGGCTCTGACAAAAAGGTTCCTCCGCAAACATTCCACTTCTGAGTCCACCATAGGAGGTATGGTTTCAGGTTTCAGGTTGGCTTGAAGCTTGTCTCATCAATCTTCCGGTAATGTGTAATGAAGATGTTGTCACCAGAATCCGAACAATGTGCAGCGATGATGCATAATCGTCTCTAGATCAGCAAAAATCTATGATGCACTGGGACTGCCATCGATGTGAAGTCCATTTATAGTCGACTGGCTGCCGCGAGCAGAAACCGTCTAACGCTTGTCGCTGCAAGTGTCCAGATAACCAATATTAAATCTGCTGACAGGGGAAGTCCTCTATGACCCGTGAAGATAGTCGAAACCACGCTGTACCCTGCTAACTGGACTGTAAATGGAGCCTTTCCCACGTTGAAAGAGTTGTTTACAACTGTAGACGACTTCCTGGCACGTGACTATGACCGAGTTCTGTGGAGGGCGTTGTTTCTAATGGACCAATCAGATTACAGATGTGACGTCACCGGTGATGCAGGTAAATGATCCTCGTAGAATCTTGTGTAGTTGTTGATTTCTTAGTCAACTCTCGGCCTTGTCCGTAACCTCTCTGTTCAGCTTGTGCCGGAGTTACACGAGTGAACACGTGTCCAGATGGCTGAGTGGAAGCGCGCGAAAACTTCGCCGCGTAGTGCCGATGTAAGCAGATTGTTCCCTGTCTGTTGTGACTGTATTGTTCAACTTTATAATCTTTACTGCAGTCGTCATCTTATCTTATACAGATGTTCTGTAAAGTTGACCGTAACCAATGTCTCGCTGAGGAACTGCGACAATGCTGTTAACTGTCCCCTTGATATCTTGTAAGCCCATGTGATGAAATTCATCTTCAGTGTTTCATCGGATGTTATCTGACTTCGTTACTTCAGGTGTGCATCTCTTCCTTCAGCCACGCGTTGATCCAACATAACCAACATCTAGTTGTAGTGTCCAGTTCCCGATGTGAGTCTAAGTCCGACAGTGATGACGATCCATATCTGCGATGTCTGTAGGGTTCTGGAGAACGCTTCAATCTGCTTCTGTGTGGAGAATCTTAGAGGCTCCTTCGGGGACGTCTAAGGCTGAGCTGACGTTGGTAGCGTTGTCCAGACTTCTAGCTTCAGTCGTTGAAGATCGTCAGGTGTGTGGGCCTTCACGCAGGCTTTCCCCTCCATTCAGGTGCGTTGGAGAGGCTGCTGAATCTTCGCGAAGGCTTGTAGTCGTCGTAGTGGTCTTCGTAGCAGCTTCCTCTTCCGTGAAGCGACGCTCCATCATCGACATCATCTGGTCTGTAAACTGTTGCATCAACAGCCCTGGGTTGAAGTTCTGCGACATATGTTGAGACTGCTGCGGGGTTGATGATGCTTCTGAGAAAGTTGAGGCCTCTTCTAAGTTAGGCTGCACTTGTGAAGAGTTGACGCTGCTGCTATCTCTGGTACCCGATGTCTGCGTTGATAGAAGGTCGATGTAGCTGTTGAAGCAGGCTTCGTCTTCTTGCTGACGACTGTGACTACAGGTATGATGATGGGGGGATCATCATACACGTCTGCTTCTTCCGGAGGTACAATATCGGCAGTGAATGATCTCGTCTTCTGCGTAGAGCTGTGAAGAGACTTCGCCGAAGTCTTAGGAGCTGTAGACTTCTTCTTCTACGCTGAAGAAGATCTCGTCTTCTTTGTCTGCGATGAGGACAGCTCCGTTGACGACAATCTCCACTTAATCGAGACGGAGTTCATCACTGGAACAGCAACCTGCCCTCGTAAAACGCTCGGCAATTCACTGGAATTATGAACCTCGGCAGCAGTAGTTAACACACGATTATCAGCGCAATCACTCGATTTACCAGACATGACTTGTGAATACCTTCTTACCCAGTCCTTTGCACGTCTATGAAGAGAAAAAAGGTAGTTATTAAATTCAAAAGTAGTCAGTTTCTGACAATGTTTACAGCAGGAGCTGGAAGAACATGTAGTAGTGCAATCAGGACATAATATATGCGGGTCAGCCACAGACAGCTGGTACCTACAACGAATACACGTTTTCATCAATTGTAAACCAGATGAAAAACATGGCAAACAATGTATAAATTAGACATAATATCAAAACATTTCATAATATACAGTCAAAAAACCGTATACAGCTGACATTTAGATGTAAAAGGTCCAAAATAGAAAAGGATATGTGCCGTATAGGGACCTAGGTGCTCTCACAACCGTCCTCAAGGGCGAAGAAGGGGAGAGTGACAAACATGGCTGGTCATGTGACCAAAAAGGGCGCCAAAGGAAGCAAGGGAGACTACTCGTGGGTGGATGATTATACGTCCACTTTTTAGAAGGGAACTTCAAGGGATTTCAAGTGTTCCACTATCATTCGCAAGAAGAAGGAGACAAGCATTTAGCATGAGTCAGGATAGGGAAAAATTATTGATATATCGATACTATAATATCCCTAGAACTGTCTTCTATGTTCAGTCAGTTTGTTGGTTAACGATATCACCCAAATTCCAGCTATTCCACAGCAACTTTGAGATAATGAACTCTATACCCGTTAAAGCAGCTGTGATCCCACTGAGCACTACTGATAGTAAAGGACTGACTGAGTTTGGTTTTACGCCGCTTTTAGCAATATTCCAGCAACATCACAGCGGGGGACACCAGAAATGGGCTTCACACATTGTACCCATGTGGGGATTCGAACCCGGGTCTTCGGCGTGACGAGCCAACGCTTTAACCATTAGGCTACCCCACCGCCCCGATAGTAAAGGACATAATTAATACATTCACAAAGGGTCAGACTCCTGCCACACTGACCTTCTGATCTGTGAGGGAATACATGTTTCCCATGATCTGAGCAGCCATCTTCCTCGTGTCTGTGGTGCGGTCCTGGAACGCTCGCTGGATCACCGGCATGATGAGAGCCAGCGAGGGAGCGTCAACAAAGTGGACAAACTTGGTGTTCAGCAGGATGTGAAGACTGGGGGTGGTCTTCTTGGTCGGGTCCTGTAGGGCGTCGATCAGTTCAGGCACAATAGCTGGGGGATTAGAAGGGACAAGGTTTATCACGAGATGCATGAGTGAGAGTGTTATGTCATTTAATACACACTCAGTTCTTATCTATGGGTTGGGATATGGTGTCACGTGTCCACCAAGTCAGTGAGCCAGGCCACCTGATCCCCTTAGTCACCTCTTATGACAAGCAGAGAACCTCTGGGTTGTTCCATCGAATTACAAATTTGGATTAGTTTCAGATGGTGCTTTCACAAGTGATCTATGTGGTATTAAAACAATACACACAGGTACCCACCTTGAATCTCAGGGTTTCTGATGACAGATCCGATCTGCATGAGAGCTTGTGAGCCGGCCCGCTGCACCTTGATGTGCGAGTCTGTGAGCACCTCCGTCAGTTTGGGCACGATGTTGGGAAGACACGCTGACAGCTGTTTGGGAGCACAGTGAGCCATGGCGCCCAGCAGCTCCACCGATCCTGTAACAAGACACAAGCAGTCACAGAACTACTTCAAAAGATTAAGAATATTTTTTAGATAAGTGAGTGAGTGAGTTAATATTTATCGTCACATCGGCAATATTTCAGCCATATCGTGACGAGAACATTTTCTAATGATATTAAAGATGAATAAAGTTAGAAATTAAAAAACCTGTTGACGAAGAACAGTAAAACTACTAGTGTATCACAGATATCAATTTAAAACTAGCAATTAAATCTAAAATATTGGAACTAGAAATGACAATACAATATAAAAACAGGCTGTAGACTGCTAACGACTGAAGGTAGATCACCATACTAGGGACCATGGGGACTTACAGTACAGCAAGTTTAGACAATTTAGCCATAAGTTAAAATAACACATATTCTATGCTTAAAACTAATGGTATGTTTAAATTTAGTTTGAATGTTTGGGGACTTACGTACCCCCTTTTTTAGATAAGTGAGACAAATAGAGTATTCAAAGTGAAAGTATTGTAAATGTCCTGGAAGTGGCGATTCTTTGGTTGATACCATACTGTGGTTGCCTAACAGACACAGGCAGTGTCTTGGAGCCAGTCAGGTAACGTCCCCTTCATGATTACCATACTTGTGAGAGTTTGTGGCGACTGGTATGAGAAAGGGACTACTGCTGATCTTAAAGTCCTAATCCCCTGCAACACCATGATGTAGAATAACACAGATGACCAAATAGTATACTAATTGGCAAGCCAGTTCTTGTTTTATCCAATCAATACCAAACACAAGGCAAGGCAAACAGTACAATCTTTTCATGGAATAGCAGTCGGGTATCAGACCACCAATCTCCTGCTCTCCAGACAGGTGTCTCCGTGAGACCATAGAGGTAACGGTTAGAACCAGGTGTTTCAGGCTGTTCTCACCTGTCTTTGTCCGCCATTGGTCCTCTTCCAGGCCGTTGAGCAGCGCCGGCAGCACCAGCTTCACACCATGGGCACTTAGGTTCCGCATCACCGCCTTTGCACAATCATCAGCCGCCTGAATACAAATATCAACATCTTGTGAAATGTTTTGTTTTACGAAACAATACCAAGCATTTTCTTCTTGCAAATACTCAACTTTTTTCTAGCTATAACAGCTGTAAATATATCTGGACCAGACAATTCAGTGATTGAAATCATGAACATCAATGTACGTGACTGATATTTATGATATGCAGAAACAATACAACTTTTATATAATTACTTTTCCTTACATGGTTTTACTCCGACAAGACAATCGGTGTTACAGCGTTTCAACACATCAATCTTAGCAGTAATACCACTCACCTCCCGCACGTACTGGTTGTTGTCTCCAAAACACAACAGCAAGTGCTGGATGATGTTCACGATGTACGGCTCAAACAACCGCCCAAGCATATTGCACAGCATCTCAAAGGCAAAGAGGGCACCTGCAACAGGAAGCAGGTACTGGAATCATGGAATGATATACCCTGTAGGGTTTCACATCATTCCTCTCACACTTTACTCTACACATTGTGCTTACTGGGCCCCACACACCCTAGACCTAAATCCTCCCCTAGCACCCAGCCCTACCCCCTTTTCTCCTGCCCTTGGTCTACAGCCTCCCCTAGCACTACCCCTTCTCCTGCCCTTGATCTACAGCCTCACCTAGCACTACCCCTTCTCCTGCCCTTGATCGACAGCCTCCCCTAGCACTACCCCTTCCCCTGAACCTAGATCTACAGTCTCCCCAAGCACTACCCCTTCCCCTGACCCTAGATCTACAGTCTCCCCAAACACTACCCCTTCCCCTGACCCTAGAACTACAGCCTCTCCCTTTCTCCTGCCCTAGATCTACAGCCTCTAGCACTACCCCTTCCCCTAGATCTACAGCCTACCCTAGCATTCACCCCTTCCCCTGACCCTAGATCTACAGTCTCCCCAAGCACTACCCCTTCCCCTAGATCTAGTCTCTCCAATCACTACCCCTTCTCCTGCCCCTAGATCTACAGCCTCCCCAAGCACTACCCCTTCTCCTGCCCCTAGATCTACAGTCTTCCCAAGCACTACACCTTCTCCTGCCCCTAAATCTAGTCTCCCCAAGCACTACCCCTTCTCCTGTCCCTAGATCTACAGCCTCTAGCACTACCCCTTCTCCTGTCCCTAGATCTACAGCCTACCCTAGCATTCACCCCTTCCCCTGACCCTAGATCTACAGTCTTCCCAAGCACTACCCCTTCTCCTGCCCATAGATCTAGTCTCCCAAAGCACTACCCCTTCTCCTGCCCCTAGATCTACAGCCTTCCCAAGCACTACCCCTTCTCCTGCCCCTAGATCTACAGCCTTCCCAAGCACTACCCCTTCTCCTGCCCCTAGATCTACAGTCTTCCCAAGAACTACCCCTTCTCTTGCCCCTAGATCTATAGCCTATGGGCTAAATCACCTGGTCCTACAGCCTTCCGTACCTTCCCTCTTGCGTGGATTCTTCTTGTCCTGAATGGCTGCAGTCAGTGTGTCCATTATCTGCTGTTGTTTCAAGGCCAGCAGCCCCATTCCCTTGATGAGTCCGGCCAGGCCATATGCAGCACCGCGGCGCTCGCCGTAGTTGTCCGACTCCAACAGCAGATGCAGCAGACGCTGTACCAGATCAGGGGCACCCTTCTTGATGGATGGCACCAGGGGGGGCAGACAGTTGGCTACAGCCTCTTGCACCTGTCATAGATAGTGGAAGCATGAAAGCAAGTTATTTCGAAAAAAATCCTCGAAAATATGTCTGTTTGTTGTACAACAGCACACAAAGCAAATTAGTCCTGTAAATACTTCAGCCTTGAGCAAACCATTCATAACATTGTGCCCAAATATCCATTCCGCCTGTGTATGTCACCAACCAGGTAACTGTGCCTGTCCATTCCCTCAACTCTTATGACTGACTGACTGAGTTTGGTTTTACGCCACTTTTAGCAATATTCCAGCAACATCACGGCGGGGGACACCAGAAATGGACTTCACACATTGTACCCATGTGGGATTTGAACCCGGGTCTTCGGCGTGACGAGCCAACGCTTTAACCATTAGGCTACCCCACCGCCCCTCAACTCTTATGATGAACATATTGCATGGGAGCATGGTGTTTTGCTTCTGTAATCTCATTGCAGTATAGGCACCTGAACACACACCAATGCAACAATAGTCTCACTTTCACAGAACATACCCAAACATTAACACTCAATAGGTATTCTATGATCACTAGGTATTCTATCTGGATTCTCAACTCCATGGGGAGTCTACAACTCAAGCTGCCTTTTAAGGTCACAAAGCATTATTGACCTGCTACCTTCAAACAGTGATGACACTCACTTACTTGCCACTAGGATGACACTCACCTCCTGTGACGGTGTAGAGAGAGCACTGATCAGCTGGGCAGCTATTGGTTTGACTTTAGGGTTGTCAGAGTCCAGATGCTTGGCCAGAGTTCCCATCAGGATGACGATGCTCTGGCGGACGATGCTCTGGCGGACTGTGTCGTTCTGGGCAGTGTCGGGTGCATTTGCCATAAAGTTCTCAAACACTGGTAACAACTCATTCACGTTCTCCTGCAGACATGAGGGTCAAACAATTACTTTTTTCATAATCTAATTTGCTATTACATATCAGAGTGAGTGAGTATGGTTTTACGGCGCTTGTAAATAATATGTTCAAGCAATATCACGGTGGGGTCACCAGATATTCACACATTGTACCCATGTGGGGAATCGAACCTGGGTCTTCAGCGTGACGAGCAAATGCTTTACCATTAGGCTACCCCACTGCCCCATTACATATCAGAACTTGCCTCTGATATTACAGAATGACACAGAATGACATTTTAGATTTTGAACAACATTAACCAGTGACTACTCTGTCCAAGTGCTTCTCCATTTAACCATCAACAAACTGAACACTAATATTTCCCAGTAGAGATAAACAGCTAATGTCTGACTTCAGTCACTTACCGTATTCCAGTCATCACACCATGTGGAGTTATCAGATATGACCAAAATGAAAGACTTATAAGATCACCCACTCAAAGGTTAGCCTTACCTTGCCATGAGTGTTCACACAGGACAATGCTGCATCTCGCATCTGGGAACGAACGTCTGGGTTCCTGTCTCCGAGAGCGTCAGGGACGTAAAAGTCAAACAGATCAGAGATGCTATCCTGTGGAACAAGTGCTGCCATCTTGTGGAGGGCGAGTGCGATACCCGACCTGGCATGCCACAAGTCTGGGGGTTGCTCCTCAACTAACCGGCCGAACTGGTCCAGCTGTGGCGGCGGCATCTGAATAATCAATAATGGGTTTATGGAGAATTCCTACAAAATTTGAATTTAATTAATTGTGTAAGCTAATTATCATAATTTGGAAAAAAGGATTATCACACGTACATTCAGAATATTTTGTTGACAATACAATAACTGCAATCATGTCAATAAAGGTTCTCACATGTGTATTGTAGTGGTTAGTGTCCTGACTTAACTGTGTTTCTTTAACATTTACCATTGTAAATCACAATAACCTCTCTATCATACAATGTCTTCAAAGTTGGTTGTGGGAACTCCAAGCCTTATCTTCACTGCCTTAACATTAGCAGTAATATGAATGTATGTATGTACATATGTACGCATGTATGTAAGCATGCACAAACAGATGCATGTATGTCAGAAAAGTCATTGACAAGTCATATAGTAACAGCTGGCCTGTGGCTTCAGGGTAGTGCTAATTTGGAGACCAACACTCTTCAGAAATTCAAGGTAGTTTAAATATTAATTAGACACCTCATTGTTATGTTTGCTTTAGTTTTTAATGTTGTTTTTATACTATCATTATAATTTGTTTTAATGAAATTATCAATCATGTCCTAAATATTTCAAACACATCATTTGTATGTATTATGTTAATTGTCATCTTCACATCAAAATTTGTACCCAAATGTCTCGATATCAAGTGCTGACAGTTCCAGTCAGTTAGCAGCCAGGGAGACATGCAGTCTATATACAGATTCATTCATATGCATGTTTCAGAAAGCCTATTAACTTACATGTACAGTATTTTAATCCCTTCTTGACAAAGCATTAGAATGAAGAATTTATCTACGTCATGGCAGAAAGGCTGTTAATGTGGGTGATATACTCACAAATAACTTGTCCTCGTACTTCTGCAGCAAGAGTTGTATTGTGGCAGGGACCAGTTCCCGGTGAACCTCCAACACCTGTGCCAGCGTCTCGGCAGCAGCTCGTCGGATAACGGCCTCGTCATGGATGACATCCTCCACTAAGGCAGTGCTCAGTTCCTCGTAGGGCTCCTCCAGATCTAGATCTTCCTTCAGTCTACAAGCCACATGTAATATTTGAGGTCGGCGGTACTCTTGCTGACATCATCACATTGTCCCGGGAATATCTAGAGAGGTTCACTCTAACGCCTTATGAATGAAATGTATCACCGTGACTTGAAAATAGTTTCAATATTCTATAGATATTATGTAGTTTACATATCTTCTATTTAAGAAACACAAGAAGACAAAGTCATCAATATCCTCCGCAATGGCAAAATACTCTTAATGAATATGTTTACGAGTAATGACTATGTGAAATGTGTTGGCGTGTATATAGCTGAATTGAAGGAGAGTACTTAAAGGTATCAAAGTTCTGCTCCAGAAAGGAGCACTACCACCAAATTCAGCTGAAGCCAAAATTGTTGCCATGGAAACACAATTTTTTTTTTTTTTTTTTAGAAATCCAAAACTAGCAAAAGGCACCAGTAGACCACTAGACCTACCTATGTATGAAATTTCGTGATGAAACAGTGAACAGTTTCAAAGTTCTGCTCCAGCAAAGAGTACTACCACCAATTTCAGTCTAAGTCAAACTTGTTGCCACGGAAACGCAAAAGAATATTTTATTCAGAAATCCAAAACTACCAAAAGGCACCTGTAGACCACCAGATCTATCTTTGTGCCAAGTTTTGTGAACAAACATTGAACGGTTTTAGAGTTCTGCTCCTGAAAAGACTGACTGACTGAGTTTGGTTTTACGCCGCTTTTAGCAATATTCCAGCAACATCACGGCGGGGGACACCAGAAATGGACTTCACACAATGTACCAATGTGGGGATTCGAACCCGGGTCTTCGGCGTGACGAGCCAATGCTTTAACCACTAGGCTACCCCACCGCCCCTCCAGAAAAGAGTACTACCACCAATTTCAGTCTAAGTCAAACTTGTTGCCATGGAAACGCCAGAAATGGGCTTCACACATTGTACCCTTTCGGGAATCAAACCCGGTACTTTGGCATGATGAGTGGACACTTTAACCACTAGGCTACCATACTGCTCCTGCACAGAGATGGAACCATGATTCGGAGTTTTAAAAAAGGTGTGCATGCACAATCACTATCTAAAGGGACTGTCAGGTAATGTGTGTGGAAAACACTTATAGTTGTGTTGGTGTGCTATTCTGACCAAATCCAAACTGACTCAGCTGGTATTTCTGACCAAACCCATGATGTATACGATACTTACTTTTCTGCTAATCTCTTTACATGGTCCTCCACATCATTGGAGGCGACCCACACTCTTTTGGCGATGTTCAGTCCAAGATCAAAGTTGTCATCTATGTTCGGCAGGACATTCTCCAGAGCTTGTAAGCACTGAACATTGGGACAAGCAGAAATATTGTTAATCATATACAGTCAAGCCATCAGTATCATGATCGATCACATGGATAGAAACAGAAACCAATCAATCATTGATGAAATAGGTTAAGTGGAACAACATAAACAGACATGAATCCATCTTCAGAAGCCAACCTGTACGGAGTGAGTGAGTGAGTATGGTTTTACGCCGCTTTTAGCAATATTCCAGCAATATCACAGCGGGGGACACCAGAAGTGGGCTTCACACATTGTACCCATGAAGAGAATAGAACGCGGGTCTTCAGCGTGACGAGCGAACGCTTTAACCATCAGGCTACCCCACCGCCCCCAACCTGTATGGAGGCACGGATTAGGTGTAAAGGGGCATATCACACCTGTAATGAAGTTTATCAGTTACAAAGCAGTTTACCCACAATGCAACTCACTGCAACAAGGTAGTTTACCTGCAACTAGGCAGTTTACCTGCAACAAGGCCTACCTAATCATAACAAGGCAAATCGTACCTGCAACGACATACATGACTATCTTACCTGTAATGACGCATCCCGAACAGCAGTGCAGGGTGACTGTAACCCCTCCCAACAGGACTGTGACCTCCTCTTGGCTGACTGTGGCACAGCCGTCATCGCCGTTGCTGCAGCAGGCCAGCTCCCGTAACGCCTGCGTGGCGCCCTGCTGACAGCTGCCTGGCAATGCCCACCACTTGCAGACAGAGCTCCAGGAGCTGCCTTAGAGGGAGCCAGCTAGGGTTGTACTGGATGTGCAGGGAGAGTACACATGTCACATCAAGTTTAACAGAGGACAACACTGTCACAAGGACCAAAACTTGATGACCTTCAACATTATTCTACTTAAACGTATCATGTTACCATTTCTCTGAGAGGACCAATGAAATCATTAGTGACAAAGATTTTCTTTTTCAGAATACAAAAAGTAGGAAGCAAATAAGAAAAAGATTAGGACTGATATAATCTTGTTTCTTTCAAAGTACTGTTTAAATTTCTTTTTTTCAAACAAACGCATCAATAATTTAGGATTTTGTTTACATAAGAAAGAGCCGATTCAGCAATTTGCAGCTATTTGTGGAGAGCATAATAAATATATGGTGTGCAAATCCTTAATAATGTCAATAAACTGGTAAGGGGATATTTAGAAATAAGTCAAGGTTAAACAGCTATTGCAAACTGACAAATGAAGGCCATCCGACAATACAACTACCCTGGCAGAATGTCACACAATTACGAGGCACCCACCTCTTCCCCACATGTTCTGTAATCATCTCCATCCTTCCTCATCTGGGCATGCTCTGTAATAAGCTGTAACGCGAGGCCACAAACAGCCTCGTCTCCACCCACTGCCGCCGCTCCCTTCCGCAAAACACTCCACAACAAGTAATAAATATAAGCAAATGTACAGGCAGGGAACAGTGACTGCTCCCTCTCCTCCAGCACCAGATGTAGGTCGGCTGCACGATGCAGCAGTTGGATCACACGACCTGCTTGCTCAGCACGTGGCTCATGAGTCCAGTTCACAGAGATATCACACACTGGCTCCAGCTGTCTGAGCGTCACGTTGCTCACAATAATACCTGAAATACACAAACCATGAGGTACACACAAGTGTCAGTCACAATCCTGATAACAACACTAGTTTGTTGTTTGTCTCACACAGAAGTACTCCAGCCTCATGGCAGCATGCAATATCATCTAGACTGGACCAGACAATCCAGTGATTGATATGAGCAACAATCCATGTTGACAGGTTAGGTGAGTGAGCGAGTGAGTATGGTTTCATGCTGACAGGTTAGGTGAGTGAGAGGGTGAGTATGGTTTCATGCTGACAAGTTAGGTGAGTGAGAGGGTGAGTGTGGTTTCATGCTGACAGGTTAGGTGAGTGAGAGGGTGAGTATGGTTTCATGCTGACAGGTAAGGTGAGTGAGGGTGAGTATGGTTCCATGCTGACAGGTAAGGTGAGTGACAGGGTGAGTGACAGGGTGAGTGAGAGGGTGAGTATGGTTTCATGCTGACAGGTAAGGTGAGTGAGGGTGAGTATGGTTCCATGCTGACAGGTTAGGTGAGTGAGAGGGTGAGTATGGTTTCATGCTGACAGGTTAGGTGAGTGAGAGGGTGAGTATGGTTTCATGCTGACAGGTTAGGTGAGTGAGAGAGGGTGAGTATGGTTTCATGCTGACAGGTTAGGTGAGTGAGAGGGTGAGTATGGTTTCATGCTGACAGGTTAGGTGAGTGAGAGGGTGAGTATGGTTTCATGCTGACAGGTTAGGTGAGTGAGAGGGTGAGTATGGTTTCATGCTGACAGGTTAGGTGAGTGAGAGGGTGAGTGTGGTTTCATGCTGACAGGTTAGGTGAGTGAGAGGGTGAGTATGGTTCCATGCTGACAGGTTAGGTGAGTGAGAGGGTGAGTGAGAGGGTGAGTATGGTTTCATGCTGACAGGTTAGGTGAGTGAGAGGGTGAGTGTGGTTTCATGCTGACAGGTTAGGTGAGTGAGAGGGTGAGTATGGTTTCATGCTGACAGGTAAGGTGAGTGAGAGGGTGAGTATGGTTCCATGCTGACAGGTTAGGTGAGTGAGTGAGTATTGTTTCATGCTGACAGGTTAGGTGAGTGAGAGGGTGAGTATGGTTTCATGCTGACACGTAAGGTGAGTGAGAGGGTGAGTATGGTTTCATGCTGACAGGTTAGGTGAGTGAGAGGGTGAGTATGGTTTCATGCTGACAGGTTTGGTGAGTGAGAGGGTGAGTGACAGGGTGAGTATGGTTTCATGCTGACAGGTTAGGTGAGTGAGAGGGTGAGTATGGTTTCATGCTGACAGGTTAGGTGAGTGAGAGGGTGAGTATGGTTTCATGCTGACAGGTTAGGTGAGTGAGAGGTGAGTGTGGTTTCATGCTGACAGGTTAGGTGAGTGAGAGGGTGAGTATGGTTTCATGCTGACAGGTTAGGTGAGTGACAGGGTGAGAGGGTGAGTATGGTTTCATGCTGACAGGTTAGGCGAGTGAGAGGGTGAGTGACAGGGTGAGTATGGTTTCATGCTGACAGGTTAGGTGAGTGAGAGGGTGAGTGAGATGGTGAGTATGGTTTCATGCTGACAAGTTAGGTGAGTGAGAGGGTGAGTGAGAGGGTGAGTATGGTTTCATGCTGACAGGTTAGGTGAGTGAGAGGGTGAGTATGGTTTCATGCTGACAGGTTAGGTGAGTGAGAGGGTGAGTATGGTTTCATGCTGACACGTTAGGTGAGTGAGAGGGTGAGTATGGTTTCATGCTGACACGTTAGGTGAGTGAGAGGGTGAGTGAGAGGGTGAGTATGGTTTCATGCTGTTATGAGCAATATGCCAGCTTGGGTACAGTGAAATGGACTCCACCACATCACTCATCCAAGGTTCATCAAATGCTCCAATAACATGCCTCTGATCGCTGGTGAGCAGTTTGAGTGAGTGAGTTTAGTTTTATGCCACACTCAGCAATATTCCAGCTATATGGCAGTGGTCTGTAAATAATCTGATCTGGACCAGACAATCCAGTGAACAACAGCATGAACATCAATCAACGCAATTGGGAATACGATGTCAACCCAGTCAGCGAGCCTGACCATCCAATCCCGTTTGTCGCCTCTTACGACAAGTATGGGTTACTGAAGATCAATTCTAAGCCAGATCTTCACGGGTGGTGAGCAGCTTGAACCTGGAATAAGTGACTTTAGTTATACACAACTTCTAGCATGGGCCTCACACATTGTGGGGAATCAAGGGTCTGCATGATGAGCGAACACTTTAACCACTAGGCTACCTCACCACCCCTACTGACATGCAACAAACGAAGACACCTAGCCTGAACACATGATCCATTACGTTGCCTCTTGATGTGAATAGGTTACTGCAGACCATTTATGACAATCCACATGGGTGCACACTGTATTGTTAGGATGTTACAATATCTCACCTTGAAGTTTATCTTCAAATGTGGCCTGGCCGAGATCTAAAAAGACTTGACTAGCCCTCAAAGCAGCCAAGGGGGACTGCAGCAAGGGAGACAACAACGCACAGATGTCCTTCATGTAGACGCACGAAAGAAGACTTGTTTCCCTTGAGAGCTGCCAGCACCAGGCTGCACGCACACTGCAGTGTTTTGTCAAGCTGCAGAACAGACGATCTCACTCAGTCCTCATGTTGTTGTAACGAATCATAAATCAATACATACCATTATCTAACATGACGGGAAAACAAGCTGTCAAACTGTGTGAATTGGGAACAAATGATAAAAGTATTCATAATGTTCAATTACAGAACTTCACAAGCTAGTCATCTTGGAATATGTTGAATGTCAAGTGACCACTATTCATCCATTTCATTGATATATGGTGATAAGCAGAGATGCCAACCCTGAATCTAATGAAAGCGGAGTCAGGCCTAGCTAGTAGTCAGGCCCAAGCACAGAAGCGGCGAGTTGGGGGTGAACCCGTGGTCGTCTTCGCCATTTTGTTTCACTTACATTCGGGCTATGACATACATTTGGAAATACTTTGTGAAACTTCGTCGTCAATAACACCCAATATACACAATCGATATCCAAAAGATCACACGCTAAGCTTCTGAATGCTTTACTGGTGTCGACTCAAATAAATCACTGGTGACTTACGAAACTGTATACTGTAAAAAAACATTTCAGAACTCTTTCTGAAAAAATCTGAGTTTTTTTAAAGACAAATCGGACAGCAGATTTCGTATTTGAAAATCGGGAGTAACTCTGCCAAAATGGGAGTGGTTGGCATCTCTGTATAAGAAGTTCTACTGCATGGCTAACAAAGCAGCGTTAATGTATTGTTATAAACAGCATTTCAGCGACATCACACAGAGAGCGGGAGAAAACTCAATGTGACACATGTCTTCATTTATTAAATTATTACACATTACATGAAACCCAGGTGCTGACGAGGATAAGGATCAGAAGCTGGGATGGCCGTGACTGGAATCTAAGGGAAATAACTCTCACCCCTCTCAGCCTGTTTCTGATTTCTGCTTCTCTCTCCTTCTGAGCAGCGACCATTTCCTCCTGTTTCTTGGTCAGTTTTGGCCCAGTGTCCTTCTTCCCTTTTTTCTTCTCCAGTTCCTGGCCAAAACATAATGACAGTTTTAGACAGCATACCGTGAATATGATCAACACGTTTCATGGAAATTTGAAACCAAAGCAATGCAGCCAGATGCAAGTAGTTTGACGACAACTTCGTGACTGTCACAGTCTATAAGGACCTGATCATTACTACTCCTGAGGTGTATCACATTAACATAACTGAACGAACAAGCAAGGTTAAAACATTATCAATATGAAACGTGTTTCCATTTGTTTGTCGTTTAACACACCGTATTCCAGCTATATGGCAGTAGTCTGTAAATAATGGACCAGACAATCCAGTGACTGACATCATGAGCATCGATCTACGCGATCGGGATACACTGGCATGTGTCAACCAAGTCAGGGGGTCTGACCGCCCAATTTTCATTAGATTTTCAAACCATGACAGTTTCCAGTTTTCAGATCCCAATTGTGACATCCAGTAACGACATGTGATGAAAATGATTCGATTTGAATGTGCCAAATTGATAGGAGTGGGTGAAAGTTCTTTTTCATTGAAGTAAGCAGTATTCCTGCTACACATCACTAAGGTTCAGCATTAGTCACTATGGAGCTACTCTATCCAGGTACCCCCGCAGTTCCACTGAGGTTCAGCATTGGTCACTATAGAGCTACTCTATCCAGAGACCCCCGCAGTTTCACTAAGGTTCAGCATTGGTCACTATGGAGCTACTCTATCCAGGGACCCCCGCAGTTCCACTAAGGTTCAGCATTGGTCACTATGGAGCTACTCTATTTAGGGACCCCCACAGTTCCACTAAGGTTCAGCATTGGTCACTATGGAGCTATTCTATTTAGGGACCCCCACAGTTCCACTAAGGTTCAGCATTGGTCACTATGGAGCTACTCTATCCAGAGACCCCCGCAGTTCCACTAAGGTTCAGCATTGGTCACTATGGAGCTATTCTATTTAGGGACCCCAACAGTTCCACTAAGGTTCAGCATTGGTCACTATGGAGCTACTCTATCCAGAGACCCCCGCAGTTCCACTAAGGTTCAGCATTGGTCACTATGGAGCTACTCTATCCAGAGACCCCCGCAGTTCCACTTAAGGTTCAGCATTGGTCATTATGGAGCTACTCTATCCAGAGACCCCCGCAGTTCCACTAATGTTCAGCATTGGTCACTATGGAGCTACTCTATCCAGGGACCCCGCCAGTTCCACTAAGGTTCAGCATTGGTCACTATGGAGCTACTCTATCCAGAGACCCCGCGAGTTCCACTGAGGTTCAGCATTGGACACTATAGAGCTACTCTATCCAGAGACCCCGCAGTTCCACTAAGGTTCAGCATTGGTCACTATGGAGCTACTCTATCCAGGGACCCCGCCAGTTCCACTAAGGTTCAGCATTGGTCACTATGGAGCTACTCTATTTAGGGACCCCCACAGTTCCACTAAGGTTCAGCATTGGTCACTATGGAGCTACTCTATCCAGAGACCCCCGCAGTTCCACTAAGGTTCAGCATTGGTCACTATGGAGCTACTCTATCCAGAGACCCCCAGGTTCCACTAAGGTTCAGCATTGGTCACTATGGAGCTACTCTATCCAGAGACCCCCGCAGTTCCACTTAAGGTTCAGCATTGGTCATTATGGAGCTACTCTATCCAGAGACCCCCGCAGTTCCACTAAGGTTCAGCATTGGTCACTATAGAGCTACTCTATCCATTGGTCACTATAGAGCCTCTCATCCAGAGTTCCACTGAGGGTTCAGCATTGGTCACTATGGAGCTACTCTATCCAGGGACCCCGCAGTTCCACTAAGGTTCAGCATTGGTCACTATGGAGCTACTCTATCCAGAGACCCCAAGCAGTTCCACTAAGGTTTAGCATTGGTCACTATGGAGCTACTCTATCCAGAGACCCCCCAGCAGTTCCACTAAGGTTCAGCAATGGTCACTATGGAGCTACTCTATCCAGAGACCCCGCAGAAGTTTCACTAATGTTCAGCATTGGTCACTATAGAGCTACTCTATCCAGAGACCCCGCAGTTCCACTAAGGTTCAGCATTGGTCACTATGGAGCTACTCTATCCAGAGACCCCCGCAGTTCCACTAAGGTTCAGCATTGGTCACTATGGAGCTACTCTATCCAGAGACCCCCGCAGTTCCACTAAGGTTCAGCATTGGTCACTATGGAGCTACTCTATCCAGAGACCCCCGCAGTTCCACTGAGGTTCAGCATTGGTCACTATAGAGCTACTCTATCCAGAGACCCCCGCAGTTCCACTAAGGTTCAGCATTGGTCACTATGGAGCTACTCTATCCAGGGACCCCCGCAGTTCCACTAAGGTTCAGCATTGGTCACTATGGAGCTACTCTATCCAGGGACCCCCACAGTTCCACTAAGGTTCAGCATTGGTCACTATGGAGCTACTCTATTTAGGGACCCCCACAGTTCCACTAAGGTTCAGCATTGGTCACTATGGAGCTACTCTATCCAGAGACCCCCGCAGTTCCACTAAGGTTCAGCATTGGTCACTATGGAGCTACTCTATCCAGAGACCCCCGCAGTTCCACTAAGGTTCAGCAATGGTTACTATGGAGCTACTCTATCCAGAGACCCACGCGGACATGTGGGAGATACTGAGAGACAACCACAGGGTACTGGGACGACACTATGGGATCCCCACAGAGTCAAGAAGTAGGTACTTGGGACCTACTCTGAACTGGAATCTCAAGAGAAAGGGGCAAGTAAGGGGTCCTTGGATGACACCATGGAATCCCCTAAGAGAAGCATGAGGTACTTGGGACCAACTCTGAGCTTAAATCCTCACATAGACACGCAAATAAGTATGGGGTACCACGGTACTACGAACATGGCCACCGTGATATTCCCAGAGACAAGCATGAGGTACTGGACAAGCACGAGTACCTAGACAAGCAGCTGCCCCCGAATCCAGTGGGAGGAATGGTTGGTTTGCACTTAGCAATATTCCAGTAATATGGCTGCGGTCTGTAAATAATTGAGTCTGGACCAGACAATCCAGCGATCAACAGCATGAGGATCGGTCTACGAAATTGGGATACAATGACATGTGTCAACCAAGTCAGTGAGTCTGACCACCCGATCCAGTTAGTCGCCTCTTACGACAGGCATGCGTTACTGAAGACCAATTCTAACCCGGATCTTCACGGGTCCCTCAAGGGTCAAGGTTCCTTAGTGCCTCACCTTCCGCAGCTCCAACTCCGCCAACTGTTCCTTGTGGGAGTAAAGACGATTCTCTCGCTTGATGTTGGTCTCCTTCGTCTCAGATTTCATAGCACTGTAACCATCGAAGCATCATATACCATCACCCCATGTAATGTGTCTACACAGACAGTTCGGTTGTCATAAAATATGTATTTCATATACCAGTAACATGAAACCAATCATAAAATTTCAAATTGTAAATTCCCAATAAGAACAGGATATTTTTTCTGAAAAATCACAATATGTTTCCTACACACTGTCCACAAATGATGAACCCTTGGAAACACACATTTGACCAGCAACACATATGGTCGAAACACATCTCACAAAACAACAATAAACCTGGTAAAAATTGTATAGTGCTTACTGTTATATGTCCCAAGTCATCCATACTACTCAAAACAAATTAAGGAACACTTGATTCTTCCATAACACTACAGCTAATCTGTCATGGCAATTGGCGGTTTAATAACTACATTTTGAGAAGAACCCCTTCCCCTCCAAAAAAGCTTAATGGTGGTATTCAACATACCTCTCGATGATGGAGTTGTCATACAGCTGGCCGTCAGGTGTGAGGAAGATGTGGAAGTCGGTCTGGGTGACCTGCGTCAGATCTGGATTCCTGAGAATCTCCAGCACGTAATGCAATAGTGGAGGCAAGATCGCAGCTGGCTCCACAAATGCCAGGGTGCTCACTGCATTGCACACGCTCTATGACGAGAAAAAAATACAGGAAATAAAAAGGATTGGTGCGAGTAAACACTCCTACAGTGCTCCTGTAATTTACAAATGTCATTTTCACTCATCTGAAATACCTCATATCTGAGGTGTGTCTCCTGCATGTGTTGTGACATGCTGCACTCATCTGAAATACCTCATATCTGAGGTGTGTCTCCTGCATGTGTTGTGACATGCTGCACTTATATGAAATACCTCATATCTGAGGTGTGTCTCCTGTATGTGTTGTGACATGCTGCACTCAGCTTGGTGTTGTTTTGTTGTTTTACACCACACTCAGCAATATTCCAGTTATGTGGCGGCGGTCTGTAAATAACCCAGTCTGGACCAGACAATCCAGTGATCAACAGTATGAGCATCGATCTATGCAGCTGGGATACGATGACATGTGTCAACCAAGTCAGCGAGCTTGACCACCTGATCCCGTTAGTGGCCTCTTACGACAAGCATGGGTTACCAAAACTAAATCTAACCCCAGATCTTCACAGGTCGCTGCACTCAGCAATATTCCAGCTATGCAACAGCTGCCTGTCAATAATTAAGACTGGCCAGACAAACCGGTGGTTGATATTGTGTACAACATTCAATACAATCGATCAAGCTACTGTACCAATTCATTTTGCTGCACTTACCACAGAGATAGGTTGTTGGACATGATGACAAGTTCATGACATTGGTTTTTAGGACTTTACGAATGCTCAAAATAAAAAATGACACCGATATCAAAATAATACCTCCGAGGGATTTTCATTGGTTTGGACCAGATTCAGACAGTCCTTGATGTGACAGCGAACGAAGTTGGCCGCGTCAACATTCAGCTTTCTGAGGATATCCACCCACGCACAGGAATTGGCGTGTGCTGAAAACAAAATAATTAATAAAACAAAAGAAAAATGCAAACATTCTAACAGCCTTGCTCAATATTAGATCACAATTTGTACAAAGTTTAGCAGTTTGTACTTTAATTTATACATGACCAACTAATATACACTGAATCATGATGTATTATGGTTCAGAGTGGTCAGTTCATGCTGAAACTACCAACATCAACATCCGCTTTTAGCAATGTTAAAGCAATATCATGGCGGGGTACACCATAAATGGGCTTCACACATTGTACCCATGCCCGAGTGAGTGAGTGAGTGAGTGAGTGAGTGTGAGTGAGTGAGTGAGTGAGTGAGTGAGTGAGTGAGTGAGTGAGTGAGTGAGTGAGTGAGTGAGTGAGTGAGTCAGAGTGAGTGAGTGAGTGAGTGAGTGAGTGTGTGAGTGAGTGACACTAAACGGTAATGCAGGAATGTATGGGCATGTCAGCTTTATGTGGATTCTAGGCCTGAAGGTTAAGGTATTTTTTTATTCCCTGCCAAAGAGGGAATATTGTTCAACACTGCAGGGGGAAATATTCCAGTTTTTCATGCAACGCTGAATTCCATCCATCCACACTGGCTTACAGTTTACAACAAACAATGAGACACTGACTCCTTAATATGAGGCTGAAGGTATTTTACCTATGTAAGGATGATGAGCCGTCAGTAATGTTGCCAAGGCGATTGACTCCGCCTCTTTTACATCAGCCTTCTGTACTGAGCAGATAGTGATGAGAGCATCAGAGAGGATTCTGGGGGAGATGATGACAGCACTGTCTCCGGCGCCATCATGGCTGTCATCGTCCGCCAGCTGGGAGTTCTGGAAGTCAGACAGCTGCAAGAAAGGGCATTACAATTGAAAATATCATGCTCCTAATTACATGTTGGTAGTAGTACTGAGGGAGTGGGGTGGGGCAAAAATGGAGGGGTGAGGGAGCTGATGGGCAACAAGGCAAAGAGTGAAGGAGGGAGTAAAGGAGTCGAGGTTGGTACTGGTGATGTGGAGGAGGGAGGAGGGGGGTAAGGAGTGAGTGAGCAGAGGAGGGGGTGAGTGAATGAGGGAGCGTGGGAGCGGTGAGGGAGAGGACTGACTGACTGAGTTTGGTTTTACACAGCTTTTAGGCTACCCCACCGCCCCATGAGGGAGAGGAGGGTGTGTGGGAGGAAGAAGGGGGTGTGGGGGAGAGGAGGAGGGTGTGAGGGAGAAAAGAAAAGAAGGAAGGACTGTGGGGAGAAGTGGGGTGTTGGGGGAGAGGGATGGGGGTGTTGTGGGGGAGAGGAGGGAAGCATGAAAGCAGAGGAGGGATGAGGGGTGTTGTGGGGGGGGACAGGAGGTGGGGTCTGGGGGGAGGAGGGAGGAGGAAGCATGGGAGCAGAGAAGGGGATGAGGGTGTTGTGGGGGAGAGGGAGTGTTGTGGGGGAGAGGAAAAAAGCATGAGAGCAAAGGAGGGGGTTGAGGGGGAGAGGAGGAAGCATGGGAGCAGAAAGGGGGTGAGGGAGTGTTGTGGGGTCTGGGGGAGAGGAGGCATGGGAACGGTGTTGTGGGGTGTAGGGGAGAGAAGGAAGCATGGGAGCAGAGGGGGTGTGGGGGAGGAGGAGGAAGCATGGGAGAAGAGGAGAGGGTGTGGGGGGGAGGAGGAAGCATGGGGTGGTGGGGGAAAGGAGGAAGCATGGGGAAGAGGGGTGGGGAGAGCATGGGAGGAAGGGTGAGGAGTGTTGTGGAGGAGAGCTGAGATGTAGGGGAGAGAATTTGGGGGGGGAGAGGAGGAAGCATGGGAGCAGAGGAGAGGTGTGAGGAGTGTTGTGGGGGAGTGGAGGTGGGAGCATGGGAGCAGAGGAGGGGCTGGGTGAATGAGGGAGTGTGGGAGCAAGGGGTGTAGTAGTGGAGAAAGGGGTCTGGTAGTGGAGAAGGGGGTGTGGTGGTGGAGAAAGGGGGTCTGGAAGTGGATAAGGGGGGTGTTGGGGTGTGGTGGTGGAGAAGGGGGTGGTGGTGTGGAGAAAGGGGTCTGGTAGTGGAGAAGGGGTGTGGAAGTGGAAGAAGGGGTCTGGTGAGTGAAGAAGGGGTGTGGTAGTGGAAGAAAGGGTGTGGTAGTGGAAGAAGGGAGTCTGGTAGTGAAGAAAGGGGTGTGGTAGTGGAAGAAGGGAGTCTGGTAGTGAAGAAAGGGGTGTGGTAGTGGAAGGGGTCTGGTAGTGGAGAAGGGGGTCTGGTAGTGGAGAAGGGGGTCTGGTAGTGGAGGAAGGGGGTGTGGTAGTGAAAGAAAGGGGTGTGTGGTAGTGGAAGAAGGGGGTCTGAGTAGTGGAAGAAGGGGTCTGGTGAGTGGAAGAAGGGGTCTGGTAGTGGAAGAGAAGTGGTGTGTGTAGTGAACAGAAGGGGTCTGGTGAAGTGGAAGAAGGGGGTCTGGTAGTGGAAGAAGGGTGTGGTAGTGGAAGAAAGGGGTGTGAGGTAGTGGAATAAGGGGTGTGGTGAGTGGAAGAAGGGGGTGTGAAGTAGTGGAAGAAGGGGGTCTGGTGAGTGGAAGAAGGGGGTCTGAGTGAGTGGAAAAAGAAGGTGTGGTGAGTGGAAGGGGGTGTGGTGAGTGGAGAGGGGTGTGGTGAGTGAAGAAGGGGTCTGGTGAGTGGAAGAAAGGGGTGTGAGTGAGTGGAAGAAGGGGGTGTGGTAGTGAAGAAGGGGTCTGGTGGTGAAGAAGGGGTCTGGTGAGTGAAAGAAGGGTGTGGTGGTGAGTGAAGAAAGGGGTGTGGTGGTGGAAGAAGGGGGGAGTCTGGTGGTGAAGAAGGGGGTGAGAATTGGTGGAAGGGGTCTGGTGGTGGAGAAAGGAGGTCTGGTGAGTGGAGGAAGGGGTGTGGTGAGTGGAAGAAAGGGGTCTGGTGGTGAGTGGAGGAAGGGGGTCTGAGTGAGTGGAGGAAGGGGTCTGGTGAGTGAAGAAAAGGGGTCTGAGTAGTGAAGAAGGGGTGTGGTAATGAAGAAGGGGTGTGGTGAGTGGAAGAAGGGGTCTGGTGAGTGGAAGAATGGGGTCTGGTGGTGGAAGAGAAGGGGTCTGGTGAGTGGAAGAAGTGGTGTGGTGTGAAGAAGGGGTCTGGTGGTGAGTGGAAGGGGTCTGAAAGTGAGTGGAAGAAGGGGTGTGGTGGAAGAAGAAGGGGTGTGGAGTGGTGGAATAAGGGGGTGTGGTGAGTGGAAGAAGGGGGTGTGGTGAGTGGAAGAAAGGGGTCTGGTGAGTGGAAGAAAGGGGTCTGGTAGTGGAAAAAGTGTGGTGAGTGGAAGAAGGGGTGTGGTGAGTGAAGAAGGGGGTGTGGTGAGTGGAAGAAAGGGGTGTGGTGAGTGGAAGAAGGGGTCTGAGTAGTGAAGAAGGGGTGTGGTAGTTGAAGAAGGGGTGTGGTAGTTGAAAGAAGGGGTGTGGTAGTTGAAGAAGGGGTGTGGTAGTTGAAAGAAGGGGTGTGGTGTTAGTGAAGAAGAGGTCTGGTGTAGTGAAGAAGGGGTCTGGTGAGTGAAGAAGGGGTGTGAGTGAGTGAAGAAGAGGGTCTGAGTGAGTGGAAGAAGGGGTCTGGAAGTGAGTGAAGAAGGGGATGTGGTGAGTGGAAAAGAGGGGTGTGGTGAGGTGGAGGAAGGGGGTCTGGTGAGTGTGGAAGAAGGGGTCTGGTGAGTAGAAGAAGGGGTGTGGTGAGTAGAAGAAGGGGTCTGGTGGTGGGAAGAAGGGGGTGTGGTGAAGAAGGGGTCTGGTGGTGGAAGAAGGGGTCTGGTGGTAGTGAAGAAGGGGTGTGGTGGTGAAAGAAGGGGTGTGGTGAGTGAAGAAGGGGTCTGGTGGTGGAAGAAGGGGGTGTGGTGGTGAAGAAGGTCTGGTGAGTGGAAGAAGGGGTGTGGTGAGTGAGGAAGGGGTGTGGTGGTGGAAGAAGAAGGGGTGTGGTGGTGGAAGAAGGGGTGTGGTGAGTGGAAGAAGGGGTCTGGTGGTGGAAGAAGGGTGTGGTAGTGGAAGAAGGGGTGTGGTAGTGAGAAGAAGAAGGGTCTGGTGAGTGGAAGAAGGGTGTGGTAGTGAAGAAGGGGGTCTGGTACTGGAAGAAGGGGTGTGGTGGTGAGTGAAGAAGGGGTGTGGTAGTGGAAGAAGGGGTGTGGTAGTGGAAGAAGGGGTGTGGTGAGTGAAAAGAGAGGGGTGTGGTGAGTGGAAGAAGGGGTGTGGTAGTGGGGGAAGGGGTCTGGTGAGTGGAGGAAGGGGGTCTGGTGAGTGAAGAAGGGGTGTGGTAGTGGAATAAAGGGGTCTGGTAGTGGAAGAAAGGGGTCTGGTGAGTGGAGGAAGGGGTCTGTGGTAGTGAAGAAGGGTCTGGTAGTGAAGAAGGGGTGTGTAGTGAGTGAAGAAGGGGTGTGGTAGTGGAATAAGGGGTCTGGTAGTGGAATAAGGGGTCTGGTAGTGGAAGAAGGGGTCTGGTAGTGAAGAAGGAGTGTGGTAGTGGAGAAGGGGTCTGGTAGTGGAGAAGGGGGTCTGGTAGTGGAGGGAGTCTGGTAGTGAAGAAAGGGGTCTGGTAGTGAAGAAGGGGTGTGGTAGTGAAGGGGGTGAGGGAGCATGGCTGTGTTGTGGGGATGAGGAGGGTGTAGAAGTGAATGAGGGGGGTGTTATGGTGAGGGAGTGAAGAAGAGATAAGGGAACAATGGGCGAATGAAGGAATGACAGCAGTACTATACCTTCTGTGAATGAAGTAGAGTGTTGAACTCCCTGATGAGGCAGAGCGAGACCTGGGCCCCACCCAGAAGGGAGAGCAGCCGATTGGTGGAGCTGATGGCATGTTTCCTCACAGTCCATGACTTGCGTGTCAAGCAGTAGATCACCAGCCTGTAGTAGGGACTACAGGAGAGAGGGAGTGGGTGCGTGAGAGGAATGTAACATCTGGGTGTCAAGTATGTAAACGAGGCAATTCAAAATAGGCAGATTTTACTAATGTCCATCCAGTGATCAAAATGAGGGATGATCTTCAAGAATGCTGCGATAGTATTGTGATCTGCAGTCTTAAAACCTTTTTGGTTTTTTAACAACAGGGGTGTGACAAGGACGTGTTGACTTCCATGCTTTTTCCCCAATCGTGATCACACTTATTACAAGGTAAGAATACTGGGGGCATATTCTGTAACAGAATCCTACTGAGAATTCATCTTTATCCCTGGCATAACCTACCTTGCAATAGTCTCTGTCATCTTCTGGGGGAAGTCCAGGATTAGCCTCTCAGCCAGGGTAACAAGGTTCTGCAGGGCTGGAACGGATGAAGACAACACAAGATTTTATCAGGACAAACTCTGAGTCAAATATCAATAAAACATCAGGGAATATAACTTCCACAAAATTGATTAACATTGATATTGTTACAACTTCTTTGTTGGCTTGGTCAGAGTCACTGGTATTTCATTGACAACATGACCATTACACAGGAGACGTTTAATTTTAAAGTTTGCTCTGTTGAATAAAATATTGAAGTATAATAACTTAGCATTAATAATAATCCCATTTTTCGCCAATATGCCTGTTAAGGGCACTAGTTTCAGTTCCTAGACAATGGTTGTGATAACTGGCAGCATTCACTGACATCATTACGGCAAACAGTTGACATAGCATAGAGGTCTATCAATGTCATCACATATTCTTTGGCATTTATTCTAATTCAACTACTCATAATCTCAAATAATAGGGCCACACATATATTCAAGACAGTGAATATATTACTGTCAGCTGAAGTGTAGAAGGTGATCTATCTTAAGACATACTTGGCAATTCATCGACTGTGAAGTCAAGGATTATGACAAGTTCGAATTGATATCTTGGTTGAGTCAGGATGACTATTGACTATAATGTGGACACATAAAGAATCACAAACAGAAATCCCTGTATATTATAAAACAAATGTGCCATCTGCATGCATACTTACTTTCATCTGCAGCGACCGACAAGAACTTCTCATTCACCAGTAGCTGTTTTTTGTTGTCTAGAACTGTCGTCCAAAACGTGCCAAGTTTACTCTCTGAAACAGTTATTGGAGTCAAGATAACTTGAGTAATTAAATGTATCGATGCTTTGATGCATGCTGGCTGTTTAAAGCAAACAACAGTATTCCAGCTGGAAGCACCCGTGAAGATCCGGGTTAGAATTCATCTTCAGTAACCCATGCTTGAATGGGATTGTGACGTCAGGCTCACTGACTTGGTTGACACAAGTCACATGCCGTTGATCACTGGACTCTCTGGTCCAGACTCGATTATTTACAGACCGCTGCCATATAGCTGGAATATTGCTGAGTGCCACTCACTCACTCCTGATGGAAGGCAGCAGCCTGCAAGTGTCAGTGATTGATATTATCATGAACATTTTCCGTGCGGCCTGAGTATGGTTTTATGCTGTTATGAGCAATATCCAGTCTGGGTTCCGTGAAAAATGAATCCACCATGTCACCCATCCAAGTTTCATCAAACGATACAAAAACAAGCATAGATCTCTGGTAAGCAGTTTAGACCTGGAGCGAGTGACTTTAGTTTTATGCCACTTCTAACAATATTCCAGCAATATCACAGCAGCGGACACCAGAAATGGGCTCCACATATGTACCAATGTGGGGAATCGAACCCGGGTCTTTGGCGTGACGAGTGAACGCTTTAACCACTAGGCTACTCAACCACCCATTGAACCTGGAAATATAGCTCTGTACGTAAGCTGAACCACAGTATGTCAGCACATTGTGCGAGGATATGAAGACATTCAGGTCCCTATCATTGTATGATATAGATGCAGCAATTCGGACCAACTGAACACCAAGCATGGGTGAGTTGGAGTGGGTGCAGGGGGGGCAACTTCATGTATAAGAAAACGTTCTAACCTGACTCGATATCGACCAATGAGAGACGGACTAGAACACAGGCTGTGGAGACTGCCTCCGTGACAATCTGTGATTGGGTAGGCTGCTTGTGGGCCTTGTCCAGAGTCTGGATGAGGATGGGAATCACTTCACTCGCCTTCAGCAGAGTATCACCTGGAAAAAAACAGCTAACTTTACAAACAGCATGGAAATGTGAGTGCAGTGAGCGCGCTGTATCACACAGCCGATAGCAACTGCCAACCTACACCCTCAAAATTATAACTTCCTGTAAATACAGTCTACCTACACTAAAATCAGACAGTAACTGAACTCATTCCAGATGACTCTTCTGACCATTACATACACAAGTTTGAAGTACAAACAGTTATGACCTGCCTGTGATTAACATTGCTTTGAGTGGGGGTGAGTTTAGTTTTACGCCACTTTTAGCAATATTCCAGCAATATCATGGCAGGGGGACACCAGAATTGGGCTTCACAAATTGTACCCATGTGGGGAATCGAACCTGGAAGTTTGGCGTGATGACTGAACACTTTAACCACTAGTATACCCCACTGCCCTCACATTGCTTTGATCAGTATTTCAGTTATACTACGGAATGTCAGCAAAATGTAGCCCAAAGTGATGCAGGCCTCACACAATTACAATGAAGGGAAAGCCTTAAACATGGATATGATCCTGACAAACCTGGAAACATGACTGTGGTGAACAGGAATTCTAACCTATCATCATAGTTTTCAGGCGTAGCCAAGGGACACAACTCTGCACAACAAACAGTGATGCCTGAGCCATTAGTGCCCCATCTCGGATATAGACTGATTGAGGTGTAAGCATGCAGTAGTAGTATTTATGAAACACAAACAGTCCTTCTATGCATGGAAGTTGACAAAAAAGATTCTTCCTTGTGAGCATGAGAGAATATGTGAAGCGGTCTGCTTTATCCAGTGGTACTGGTGGATCACCATGGCGACCATAAGTCCTTACCATGGAAAGAGGCGTTCATACAGAGAATGTAGGCGTTCCTCACAGCCGATGTAGTTGTCTTCAGCGTTATTCCTTTCTGCAAAACAAAAAGAGCGTGTTGATTGATGGCCTGTCATGGGCAGGATGTTTCCCACTGATACTGATCCCGTAAACATCAGGTTAGAGTTGGTCTGAATAATATTAACTGCCACTGGCAATAGCTGTGCTCTCATAGTGGCAATGCTGAATGGGTGAGTGGGTATTCCAGTCACATCCCAGTATGTCAGCTTGTGGAAAGGGAGGCCTGGAGTGAGTGAGTGAGTGAGTGAGTGAGTGAGTGAGTGAGTGAGTGAGTGAGTGAGTGAGTGAGTGAGTGAGTGAGTGAGTGAGTGAGTGAGTGAGTGAGTGAGTGAGTGAGTGAGTGAGTGAGTGAGTGAGTGAGTGAGTGAGTGAGTATGTTTGTGTTTAATGCTGCACTCAGCAATATTCAGGTGCGGACCAGACAACCCAGTGATTCCTATCATGAGCAAGGCGATGATCCACACTGTCAGTGTATTCTGCATTATGAGTTACCCAAGTCAGGTAAACCAACTAGTGACCTACCTTGAACCACTGCATGAGCTTGTCTGGGACGACAGTGTAGAACTTGGTACACCACAAGGACAGCATAGCCAGGGCATGGACCAGGGTGCCCTCATGCACTGTCAACACAAACAGTGAGTCTGTCATCTCAGAATGTCCTAATCAGGTCAGTTTAATGCAGAGATGCCAACCCTATTTTGGCCTAAGTGTGAAATACTAGAGGTCAAAAAGTGTAATTGGGACCTAAAAAGTGTAATACTTGTCTGCCGATCGCTTCAACATGGTACACGTTTTCACGAAAGGAAGATTCTAGACAGAAACACATGTGACCAATCATTATGAAGCTCCATACATCCGCAAATTGTTGGTCATGTGACTCAAAATACTTTTAATTCCTTGCAAGTTTATTGGAATGAGTACGATGCTAAGAGTAAGCGATTCCTATCGGTGCAAGGCTATTTCTGCACCCCTGCACCTGATTTATACACTTTATTGATTTTCGTAAAATGAGTATAAAAGCGTAATTTTCGCAGATTAAGTGTAATGGCATAATTTAATGGTCAAAATCGTAATAATTATGCCTAAGCGTAAGAGGTGGCATCTCAGTTGATGTCACAGGAACCCATGGTCAGAGGTAAGTTTCCGATAGTTAGCAGAGTTACCTGAGGTAGCCACTTACACAGATGCCATTCACGTATCAACCCTGTCTGCGTTCCATGAAGGATCTAATGGATGAAACCAAATCAGTTTCTTTTGTCTTAGGAACTAGCTCAATTGGAACTTGCAAAAAAGTCGTGGGCTAACACTTGACAATAATCCAACTTGGTTATCTGGAGAGACAGAATCAATTTTTTGGCAAAAGGCAAAACTGAAGAAAGTTACATGAATGGGTCACAGAAAAGTACTATGTGAAATGGGTTCGGGAAAAAGGCAAGCATGTAGCGTAGTGGTAGCATCTGAAACTTCCTCAGCTGGCTGCTTGTGTCCTGAACCATATATTGGTAAATCAGGACAGGGACACATACTGAACATACCTTCCTGCTGAAGTGTGGTGAGGAAGAACTCGGTGACGGTGATGCTGAGGTTCTGCAGTGACGTGCTGCCACTGACGGTGTTGTAGAAGAGGTTGCCCACACCCTGCAGTACACTCAACTTCTGGTCCGCTACTGTCAGCTTGCCCTCTGACCCTGGATCCCAGAGTAGGAATACATTTGGGTTATACCGCTACGAATAGCGTGACTTCAGTTTTACGCCGCACTCAGCAATGTTCCAGCTATACGGTGGCGGTCTGTAAATAATCAAGTCTAGACCAGACAATCCAGTGATGAATCAACATCATAAGCATCAATCTATCCAGTTGGAATATGATGACATGTGTCAAAAAAGTCAGCGAGCCTGACCACCTGATCCCATTAGTCACCTCTTACGACCAGCATGGGCTACTGAAGATCAATTCTAACCCGGATCTTCATGGTAAGTGTGACACTGAGACCTGCCTTATCATCTATTCATACCATAAACTTGAGACTGATGTATTTTCAAATTACACAAAATACTCTGTACATATTTACTGAAAGTACACGAATGTGGGAAATGAGAAGACAACATAAAAATATATCAAATATATCTGAAGACTTGGCTTCAATCCAATGTGATAAGGTTGCCATTTGCAAGAGAAGAATCCCCCTATAGAGATTTATTACCATTGAGAACACCAAAAAAGTGAGTGACGAGTTTCTCGTCGGCCTCGGGGTCACTGATCTGCTTCGCCAGGTTCTTGATGGCTGCCTGGGCTGTCTGCCGCATGTTCTCATCCTTGGAGATCAACTGGGCTGGAGAAGACAGACATCAAATAATGATATACACTTCAGTAACAGCGAAAGAGAAAATGTTTATGTTGTGGTAAGATGTATTACACCTATTTCTGTACTCAAGCCTCTTAACAATCGAGTGGGGGTTACCAAACTCCAGTGGTTTATACCTGCAGACACACGGTCAGGTCATGGACTGTAACCCATGCAGGTTTGTGTCAGGGATTGGCCAAACGTGCTAAGAAGCCCTCAATCACTCATTCGGTTTAATGTCTAATGACAACGGGACCTGCTCTGAATCCACACAAGTGTATCTTCTGAACTTGTTCCGAACTATTACCTCCAGTCTTCTAAACCTCGGATCAGGGGGACAGGCTTGAAATCACGACAGATCAATGGACAAAATCTAAATGGCATGAGAAACCTATCATCTGAAATAGTGACTATTCCTATAGAAACTGTTCCTCTTGAATCTGACCACCCAATGCCTGAACTACTCAGACAACAGATAATGGGATTTCCCAGTTGTGTCAACCTGTGGAAACGCCACAATCAACCAACAGGAAGCATCAGTGGGTGATGTATTTATCAGAGACAGGCAACAAATTATGTTGCTGTTGCCATTACTCTCACTCCAGTGAGTGAGTATGGTTTTACACTGCTTTTAGCAATATTCCGGCAATATCACGGCATGGGACACCAGAAATGGGCTTCACACATTGTACCCATGTGGGGAATCGAACCCGGGTCTTTCGCGTGACGAGCAAATGCTTCAACCACTAGGCTACCCCACTGCTCCTTCACACATTGTACCCATGTGGGGAATCGAACCCAGGTCTTTCGCGTGACGAGCAAATGCTTCAACCACTAGGCTACCCCACCGCTCCTTCACACTTTGTACCCATGGGGAATCGAACCCAGGTCTTTCGCGTGACGAGCAAATGCTTCAACCACTAGGCTACCCCACCGCTCCTTCACACATTGTACCCATGAAGAATCAAACTCGGGTCTTAGACGCGCTGAGCAAACACTGTAACCACTAGACTACCCCAGATTCCCCCTTTCACTCCAGACACACAATTCAGAAGAAGATGTGACTCTCACTTCCCAACAACTTGGCCAAGTCCTGAGAGTACTGACTGAGATCAAGCTTCACTCCGGCAATCATGTAGCTCATGGCTGAAAAATACACACAGTTCCAAACATAAATAACATTGACATTAATAATGACAATACTTGTGGGTACATTGAAAGAATATTTGCCCTCTGTGTCTGCTTACTTTGTTGTTCAATACATTGAACCCACGACCTTCCGCTCTCCGGGCGGACGCTCTAACCACTACATCACGGAGGTGGTCTCAAATCATAAGATGAGAAGTTTAATTGTTCTCTGAGGGTTCGTTAGACACGGTCTTCAAATGGAGCGAGCATTACATCAGAGGCATAGGTCCAATTTCAATGGAATGGCTTGATTTCCTGATCAAGTGTGTTGTCCTTATAAGCCCTGAGAGTCCTAGTGGTTGCCATGGAATTACAAACAACTCATCACTGATCCATGAGATTACCTGCCCCGCATCCACTGACCATGCTGACTTATATCTAATGTAGAAAGTCTGTGGGTACAATCAGTGTCAAACTCTCTAGTATCCAATATAACTCCTTCACGGCATTTTACAACACAATTTGTTTGGTCAAGGAAAGGCCGATGACAAGACAGTGCTAACTTATGGGAGTGATGACAGGGAACACTGGTCAATATGTAGTTCAATCAATAACATTCTAATAGACTACAATGAAATATTCTGTTGTCATATTTCAGATACATCCCCACTTAATACCAAAATATATTTTAACTAGGAACATGGTAGGTCATATTTTATAATGAAATAAGATCCAAAATTTATGCATGAGAGTAAACTGCCTTTGTATGTTCTGTCGAGAAATATTGAGGACAAAAATTATCTGTGACCTGTGTCTAGTGTCATGAATGATGAGCAAAACACATTGCACCATGTCTCTGGCACACGTAGCGAACAGATTCTGTTTCGTTGGCCGTTTAAAAGTTCAAGAATTTGTAATTTTATCAGTTCATTTTGAATGTTATGTGATTAATAACAACTTACTCTGGAGACATATTTCTGGGCTACGAAGCATGCATTTCTGGGTAGCTGGCAATATTTGACCTTTGAAGTCATCATGGGTCACATGACGTAGGATTTCATGGCAACTTTCCTGTAAACAAATTGATATGAGTGAGTTTGGTTTAAGCGAATGCTAATACAAGCACTATAAGGAATTGGGATTAATGACACTTGGAACAGTACGTCAGATACATCAACAGGGTTCGTACAGATTATCAGCCATCAAACTTAAGGTCTTTTCAGGGCCTTTTTTAAGGCCTTATAGAAATATTTAAAAGACAAGTAGTTGGATAAACATGAGGTTGATCGAATGTTGCTGTGATGGGAAAGTGTAGCTTCACAATGGAGATTAATAAACATGCAGGCATTGCAAAGTAGTCGTAATTTAGGAGTTTCCTGTAACATCCTAACTTGTTGAGTTTTTGTTTTAAATCTAGGGCCGTTAGTAACTGGGTCCTGCCTTATAAAGGCTTAAACACATTTTTGGGGCAAAATGTTTAAATTTCATTTTTTCAAGCATGTGCGAACTCTGGATAAATGTGGGAGGAATGCGTCGAGGACAGGTGGTGCTGATGGAACATAATCAGGATGGTTGGACCAGATGATCCAGTGATTTATATCATGAGCAACCATTTGATAGGGTATGAAGAGCCACGCCCCGCATGTCAGTCAGTCCGACCACACACTCCACGAAGTCACCTCTTACGACCAGCACAGGTTGCTGAGCACCATTCTAGCCTGCCAGATCATCATAATGACAACTTTCAACAAGAAGACAAAGTCATCAATATCCTCCGCAATGGCAAAATACTCTTAATGAATATGTTTACGAGTAATGACTATGTGAAATGTGTTGGCGTGTATATAGCTGAATTGAAGGAGAGTACTTAAAGGTATCAAAGTTCTGCTCCAGAAAGGAGCACTACCACCAAATTCAGCTGAAGCCAAAATTGTTGCCATGGAAACACAATTTTTTTAAATTTTTTTTCAGAAATCCAAAACTAGCAAAAGGCACCAGTAGACCAGTAGACCAGTAGACCACTAGACCACCTCTTACGACCAGCACAGGTTGCTGAGCACCATTCTAGCCTGCCAGATCATCATAATGACAACTTTCAACAAGAAGACAAAGTCATCAATATCCCCCTCAATGGCAAAATACTCTTCATGATTATGTCTACGAGTTATGATTATGTCAAATATTTAGGTGTGTATATAGAAAAGTGGAAGGAGAGTATTGAAAGGTTTTTAAAGTTCTGCTTCAGAAAGGAGCACCATCACCAATTTCAGTCTAAGTCAAACTTGTTGCCATGGAAATGCCAAATATATTTTATTCAGAAATCCAAAACTACTAAAAGGTACCAGTACACCACCAGATCTATGTATGTGCCACGTTTGGTGAAGAAATAGTGAACGGTTTTAGAGTTCTGCTCCCGGAAAAGAGCACTACCACTAATTTCAGTCTAAGTCAAACTTGTTGCCATGAAAACGCCAAAAATATTTTATTCAGAATTCCAAAACTACCAAAAGGCACCAGTACACCACCACATCTACCCATGTGCCCAGTTTGGTGAAGAAATATTGAACGGTTGTAGAGTTCTGCTCCGGAAAAGACAAATGTGCACGGACGCACGGACGGAGTCCATTTTAATACCCCCCCCAAAACGCGTTGCGGGGGATAACAAGCAGGGCTACTGGAACAATCCACCCAAAGGGGCTAGATACTGACCAGAATATGAACTGGGGGTCTGGTCCGACTCGCCAACACCACTTTCACATAGTCCTCCAGAAACCGCCCCCTGAAACACAAAACATTGAGTTTGCGTTCATCCAAGAGAAATCTTCAGATTAATGCCATACTCAAGGACAATAGGAATGTTCAGTCTGCATTTTGAACCTTGGGTTTCATACAGGTTGTCATCTAAACAGTTCCAATGAAATTTTGATAAAATAATGAATGTCTCCAGCAAAAGCAGTAGATAATCTTATCACATTCTTTCAAAAGAGTTTGTCTTCTAAAGATTGAATGTTTTACAGTATGTAACTGCTTCAATGTGTTGGTGAGCCCTGTGAAGATGGGAGCCACAGGTCAAAATGCCATGGTGTTCACATCACATCAGAAGAACATGTCAAAATAGTTCCTACCTTGTGTTTATCAATGGTTGTTTGATCTTTGGTCCCCACCAAGTATTTGAACAGCAGCGCCGCAGTGCATAAATTATGCATGGAAACTTCAAGACTTTCTAGCTCTTGTGCATACTGCTCAGCTGATCCTGGTACCTGCAAACATTGATTTTCACAGGAAATATACCAACTGATAAATAGAAAACATTTTCATTAAATATAAAATGATAAATACGCATTCAATAAATGTCATAGCATATTAAGCAGTGTTATATATGTCAAAGTGTCCTCGTCAAAGTGAGTGAGTGAAAGTGAGAGAGAGTAAGGGAGTGAATGAGAGTGAGTGAGTGAGTGAGTGAGTGAGTGAGCTTGTCATGGGAGGAAGATCCAAGGTGACACAAGACGTTTAACACTTTAGTGAAATCCACAAGCAAAGGTATGGTGCTGAGACCCAGAAACATGACCAGGGTGGACCTGGATCTAACCTGCCATCACAGGTGTCAGGCATACAGAAGTAGGATCTCTTACTGTCAGTTCTTACAGGCTTAGGGTCAAATGTGGACTTTGAAGGAGGTCTAGATATATCCCAATAGTCACAGTCAGGGATAGCCTGAGAAACTTAAAGTGAGTGAGTGAGTGAGTGAGTAAGTAAGTTTAGTTTTATGCCGCGTTTAGCAATATTCCTGCAATGTCACGGCGGGGGACACCAGAAATGGGCTTCACACATTGTGCCCATGTGGGGAATCGAACCCGGGGTCTTCGGCGTGACGAGCGAACGCCTTAACCACTAGTACTAGGCTACCCAATGCCCCAGGAAACTTAAAGTGAGTGAGTGAGTTTAGTCTTACGCCGCTTTTAGCAATATTCCAGCAATATCACGGCAGGGGACACCAGAAATATGCTTCACACATTGTGCCCATGTGGGGAATTGAACCCGGGTTTTCAGCGTGACGAGCAAAGCTTTAACCACTAGGCTACCCTGCCGCCCCCGGAAACTTAAAGGACTTTGACACAACTACAACACAAATCTGGCAAATCTGCTGCGAATTGTGGTGACTTGGCTGTTTTCACGTTTAAATAAACTCCATAAACCTTACACATTTCCAAACTCTGCACATCTTGCGGTAGGCAGATTTGTCGATGGCCTTGTTTCCATCAGCCAAAGCTCCTAACACCAGCAACACTTGGACACTGACCTACATTGGAAAAACAAGGAAGGGAACATTATTTGGGTTAATTCACTGTACATTTAGAAACATGCTCCTTGAGATGGGGAAACAATTTATTCCCCAATGCACAATGTTGCCAATTGCATCTATAATAAGCTATGGTTCAATGTAGACATGGTAGACTTCGCTGAAAAGGAATTCCAGAAGTTTCAAGTACTTGAAAATACAAAAAACATAGAAGAGAAGATTTCATATTTTCAATTTCTTACCGCTGGAACATCAGACTTGTACAGGAACCAATAAAACTAACCACCATGAACTACTGTCTTTGTCACAGGCAGTAACACAAACTTAAATAAAACTAGAAAATCATCAGAAAATAACACACAAAACTATTACTGTGATCTTTATTGAGAACATGCAAACAGTGAACACCATCTTTTCCCTTCTGTGAATGAATTCACTCAGTTGTTAAGGGGTACCAGGTAGGGTGAGATGGCAGATTCAGTTAGGTACTCCATTGGGAGCTTCAAGCTACAAATAAACTGTACATCGATCCACTGATCAGGCGAGTAATTACACATTCAGATCACGCACAGAATAGAGATGGTTTGAACAAATGTTATTGTTATCATTGTTATTGTTTTTGCTTTATTTCTACTATTACCATTTCCTTCAGCTCCTGCTGTGAGAGTCCCTTCTCCGACTTCATCACAACTCTCAGGGCTTCACATGTCCAGCTCAGACCCATCAGAGCTTCTCCTGAAGAGCTCCGGCTGAAATTATTTCAATTAGAATCTGTGAAGAGGATCCAATTCAGTATACATCAGCAGTACCTGGAGTGTTTACTGACCCTGCAGCCAGCAGTATTCCAGCCCCATCAAGATATCTGGTAATATTATGAAGTCTGATCCACACAATCACTGACTGGAAGCTTGAGCTACTATCCCCAACCTGAAGCCATCATCCACATCATAGAGCACCTGATCGTCAGCGGAATATTTATGACAAACATACGATACTGACAACCTTTATCCATCCAGAATCCCCAGGGTGTGCATTATACAAGAACAGTGTCTGATTAAATACAGTGGATAACCTAATGACATTCAACACCATTGGTACTTTGGCATACATAATGATATTTATAAAGTGGCCAAATGTAACAAGTTATATTTAGGATTACACTTTCTCAGTATAGTACAGATTCTAATACATTTTCAGGGATTTACCTTGAGTCCTATATCTGTGGGTCCCTGGGACTCATACTGTTAATTTTCAAGTGTCCTGGACTACAAAAGGGGGGGGTCCCAGACACTTAAATATTTTTTATTAATACTGTTATTGTATTGTGTTTCATGATCATCACATTGTTACAGTAATTAAATTGTAAATAATACCATAACCCAGCTAGTAGCAAACTCAGTGATAAGTTATTGTTACTTGATTGGAATTTTTACAAAAAGTATTTGGACTTTTTCTGCGTCCCTGTGGATGCGCTAATAAAATTCGTTGCGTCCATTGTCAATTTTTATGCATATAGGACGCATGAATTCGTGTCCTGTAAATCCCTGCCTTTTTGTGTGCTGGCTACAAGTGTAGGTTTGAATCCAGGATGGTACTCGACCCAAATTGGTACCAAAATCTGTACTTTACAGAGAAAGTGTAACATCAAATATAACATCAGACACATTTGAATCAAATGTTATCAGTCTTGTCAGATTGTTTTATGGACATCAGTAATCTCTGAGCCATCAAACAGAAATGCTGCCTTACTTGGCAGGCCAGTAGCTGACAGAATGAATGAGTAAGGTTTTACAATGTTTTTATCATGGCAGGGCACTCCAAAAAATGGGCTTCACACACTGTCCCCATATTGGGCATCAAACCAGGATCTCTGGTGTGACAAGCAAACACTTCAACCACTAGGCTGCCATTGTCCCTGACAGAATGCTGTCATGGTATGCGATGCAGTTATTGTACGATGTGATGCAGTAATTGCACAATGCAATGCAGTCATTGTAGTATGCAATGCTGTCATCTTACGTTGCAATGCAGTCATGATACGATGTGATGCAGTCTTTGTATAATAAGATGCAGTATGATGCAATATGATCAGTCTCGTCCAACACAATGTCACAATCATTTAGGAGTTCTCATGACAAGCATGGGATATTCACCTCAGAACTATCAAGGACTATAAAACAAACCATATATTATATTTAATAACATTAGTACCAATACAAAACATATTACCATGGAATGACTGTATTTTTCATTGCCTCTCCGGTTGGACTAAGAACAGATCGCAGATTCTTGATGACCACATCAGGGCTTTTTTTGGCAAGAACCTGAATCAAGGTGAGAACTGCATGCCGTGACTTCCCATCTCTGTACTTCCCGAGGGCAAACACGAGGAATTTAAATATCCCTTTGACAGCTGCTTCCGGCAAATCTGATGGAGTGAACACACATAATGTAACAGAGTCACAGACTGGCATGGCTGATTTTCTCAACTTCAGAGTCACATTAGTCAGAGAACTGTCAACACGTATACTTGTTGCAATATTGTTTGTATCTTGAAGCTTTTCTGCTTAAACCAGTGTATATTCAGTTATTTAGAAACAAAAATCTTAACAACATATACATGATTGAAATCTCACTTGAAGTATTCAGACCTGAAAATAACAACTGGAGCTAAGCTATGTTCACATGGCCTTAGACCCTGACTCTTCAGGGATTTACTGAATGGGTTTAATAGTGCTTTCCCACTGAGATACCATGCTGCAGTTAAGCATATTTAAGGTCTTTTGGTATGACACTGCCGGGGACGCTCTAACCACTACACCACAGAGGCAGTTTCATGTTGAGGAATGAATGCTGTTTCACAATTTGGTAACACACAGATTTCACTTCTGTATATAATATACCTTAAATACAGTCAAATGCTTCACGACCTTTCACTGACTGACTCACAACTAAGTAGGGCTGCAACGACTACACTATGTGGCAAATATGATATGTATCATGAATATTGGGTAACGAATACGAATAATTATTCACGAATACAATATTGTAGTTAAGTGATTGATGCACAATATGGAACGCCCATGTTGACAGTGTTAATTTGTGGCAGCAATAACCAGTTATCTCATGGCACTCAGATTTGGTATGTAATAGTTTATAGTGGCTCATTGGTGGTTCAAGGGAGGTAGCTCTGATTTTCTACATTCCACGTACAATATCTGCGGAAATAAATACTCATAAATACAATCCAAGGGTCACTTATTGATACAAAATGCATGAAATAGTTACTCCATAGTAAACAAACATTTAAATAGCAAACGACACGGGTACTTGCACAGTAGACTAACGCTTAGTCTCTGAATATACATAATTTTGATAGTAACAAACAAGCCCATTTAAATTGAAAAGGAGCTCTATGGAGACCAGAGATTCAGAACCTGAGGAAATCTAGACTTGCTTTATTTAGGGCTTTAGCACTGCAGAGAGGGCTGGGCAGTAGGGAAATTAATGTGGTTCAGGGACTGTGAGACAGACTACTTGCACTGCAAAACCTGGTTGTGGATTCATTATCATTTGTGAGTATATTCCGTTTGTGGAATGGTTCAAAAGACATCTATGATGCCACTGGTTGAGATTTAGACCCTTGACGTCATAGATAGGGGTCATAGTGACTCATATGCTAATTGCAAAATTTCTACTTTGGAGAGTCAGTGTTATCATGTCGTAATTATGGGACATGGAAGGGTTTCGCGTATGTTGCGTTAATTTAATGCACGTGAAGAGTCTTGTCAGCTTCAATGTGAAGTATGATCAAGTTCCCACCAATATAAACAGTCTCAGTATCAGTGATAATCATGACAGAGAGCAGACTCATTGTTGTTTTCAAACTGTTATTGCTTTCAACTTGAAAGATCTATTGAAACAGAATTCCCATAAACCTGCATATTTGATCACTGACAATACGTGATTGATTTTATTAAAAACATTAAACACAAAAGGTCATCGTTATACTGCTGCTGATGTCACATGCTGAGTGACAGTAGGTCACGGTCCTCCACATGTTTGGGTAAAATAATATACTGAATCTTTATGAAAGAATAAAGTCTTTTTTAAAAAGTGGGCCCATCCCGAAAAGTCTCTGAAGAGAAAGTTTAAAAACTTGGCACACATTTCTGTCTACTTTGATGCCTACAGGTTCGTTGGTGAGGTCGTTTCTTGTTGTGTTGCATAACTACAGTCAACACATTTTTTAAATGCTAAGATTAGTAGTTTTAAATATAATTTTCATCCAGTCCCCAAAATTTAATAGAGATAAATATATGTGGGCTCACATTTCTGTTTTCACTTTGATGTATACAGTTTGGTTGGTGATATTACGCATAGTAACCGCTTTATATCTACAATCAAGGACAATGAAATGGCCTAACTTTACTGTCTCATATATCAGTTATGTCAACATCTGAGATTACTCTGATACAGAAATTAGAGTAGAATGTGGTCCCACACCATCTAAAAACCAGCTAGTAAGGGATCCACAGTTCAGTAATTTTGACAAACATGTCCAACAATCATAAACAAATGATAAAGCAAAACATTGCTATTCAAGTAGCTGGAAATGATTTGCTAATTGTTTAGTTTTAATGATGAATAATGGACAAGACACGTCTTTTCTTTCTCAGTGTCATGCTGTTTCTCGGATACAAAACTAAACAGCACAATCTCTATCAGTCTGTATTCAGAGTTAGCTCCCCTCAAAACTCGAACTGTGAATACAGACAATTAAAAACTATTAAAGACAAAACTGATCCACATCAAAAAACTCCACCAGATTTTTCACCATTACTGAAAAATGGTGGGTCCAAATCACTTACAATAATTAAATTCAAAGGGTTTGCACAGGAAATAATAAGCAATAATATGGTGTGGTGTAATGTACCATATCCATTACTAAACCTTTATGTTTCTTGTCAAGAATCTTACTGTGTGTCCTAAGGACTGCCCATTTCTGTTCATGTAAACCTTGATGATGTAGTAACTTTTTGACATATCACTAGGACACACATTTTGGATCTTAGGCACATTTGTTTAACCTGGGAACTAAATTATATCCCAAAACGAGCTGAATTTGACTTTCTGGTGACTTCGACGATTGCATTGCTCACGCTATATGCTATATCGGGGAAGTACGTGTGCGATCAGAGTGCACAAGCTGTTTCATCGGTAAAGTGGATGCCCAGTTGCTGTCGTGAGAAGTTTTATTGACAATGGAAATCGGGAAATTAAGTTATATAAAAAGCAAACAAACTTCAATATTATTTACACAAGATTGTTAATACCACTTAAGATGCAAAATCAGTTGCCTTTATAACAAAAGTAGCAAGGGAAAATGCAATAAGATCAGTCGTCTGCTGGTGACAGGCAATATGTAAATAGGAAGCCACGTGATCACAACATTCCCTCGCAGTGCAGAGCGAAAAGTGTGTCTCATCATCGAAAACCCATACAAAATCCCTGGATGTGGTGAGCGGCAAATCTTTCGCAGATACGATGTCATCAACGCAATTTTTGTAGGAAACACTTTATATTTTTGTGTGAAATAAATTAATATATCCTTTATCACTCAAAGTTAGTAAAATAGAAACTTTAAATGATATTACAGATAGAAAATACGCATTAGTCTTACATCGTCGAAAACACCTGACACCGGGTTTCATAGAGCTGTGTCTCTTTGACACACAAAATAAATACCTTCAACAAATTCATGATACTTTGAGCTTGGCCAGATCAGAAAAAAACACTTTTATAGGGTTATAATTACGTAAAATGCCCATTATTGCTTTCGATTTTGAACTTAAGTTGATGACGTAAAAGCCTTGTTTCGATCTGTTTGTGATCGAAAACAGGACCATTGAGCTTCCCGTGCCATATCCGATCAACATTAATTGCTCCTGCAATACGAAAAGTATATGGGAAAAACGAATTTGAATGTTTGATGTGTGTCACCTAATAAAATGCAGGTGTCATTCACAACAACATAAGCATCGTTGATGTCAGTATTTCTACCTGTTTCAGACGCCAACCTGGCCACATCTTGCAGAATGCTGATTCTATCTTTGGTGCTCGAAATTGTGACATTTTGAGCAAATTTCTTCAAAACATCTGAACCTATGGCTATCGATGTCATGTCGTTTTAAGCCAGTTATCTAGTTTCTCTTCCACAGTTTCTAGTTGTTGTGACATAAGCCACGTGTTATACACTAGCAGACGGACGCATGATCGCCGCCATTTTGTCAGTTGTGCAATGTTCCACGTGATGCACTACAGTAATATATCACTTAGGCGTAAACTAAACCATATTATTGTTGATATTTAAACATCAATGTACTCCTGTTCTTATGGCAAACACTTTCTACACATAATTTATTTAACAATCTTCATAATTTCCCTCCAATCTGATTTACCTTTATATGTTTACTACAAAATTATTTCATTAGAACATAGTTACAGAAGTTTGAGGAAAATAGAGGGCGCGGAAATTGAATTATCTTGGTCTAGACATTTATTAGTACGTCGGCCACATGATATACAGGGCCCAAGCGGAAAAGACAACACGCCCAAATGGCTAGTCTGTCTCACAGTCCCCGAACCACATTATTTCCCCTACTTCCTAGCCCTCTCTGCAATGCTTAAGCCCTAAATGAAGCAAGTCTGCAGTAGATGTCCTCAAGTTCTGAATCTCTGCATGGTCTCCCTGGGGCTTCTTTTCAATTTAAATATAAAAAGGAAGGATCACATAATTAAAGTCTAACGCACGCACGCGCTCGCGCACACACACACGACGTAAAATTATACACACTTAATCTATCAGTTTTTATATACGTGCGTATACCTTCTACTTTGTCAGGTCCTTTTGTCAGGTCGCCAATTTCCGCCTTGTAAACAACAGAGCCCGAGTACAGTTGACCGCAGAGAACGAAACTGCAGTGTCAAGTTACTAAATAATATTGTCCTTCGTCTTGTGGAGGTGGCAAAAATAGAATGCATAACATTTATAATAATACACTGTGGAAATATTAATGGGGGAACAAAAACCCAAAACAACAACAACAAACATTTATAAATTCCAGGCCTGAGAACCATTGTTACAGACATCAAATATCAATATTTTGCAAAAAAATGTTTTGTGGATATCGGAAATGGGTGTATGTGATTAATAACCCATTGTTGGTATCATATGATAATCCCATTCCATTGCCACTATATATTCAATGTTCTAAAAACAAACATTCATTGCCAAACATATCATGTCTCGTGGAGTCGTGCAAGGTACCTCTGACGGGTTGACGGGTTCAAAAATTCTAATGGGCCATTCACATTCACTCTTCCAAAATAAAAAACAAAGAAAAGAAACGCTCAGGTGATTTGGGGAATATTGGACTCATATTTAGCTGCGGTAAAAGCAATACACATAAGTAGTCTAACAAGTCACCCTGGCCCCTTTTTCAAGATGGCGGCACTTCCGGTCACGTGATCTAAGATGGCGGCGCCCATGTGGGACCTTTTGATCCAAGATGGCGGCGCCCATGTGGGCCCTTTTGATCCAAGATGGCGTAACTATGCGCGCGCATTCCGATGACGTCACCTCCGGGCCAAGATGGCGGACGCGTTTCAAGATGGCGGCCCATCCGGTGGGATCTCGCGGGATCTCGCGAACGTAGACACCCTGAAAGATGGCAGACGGACGGAACGGACGGGGGAAGGAGAGGGAAAGGAAAGGAGAGAGGTGAGAGGACGATGGCGTGGTTAGAGAAGTGTGTGTGTGTGATTCAAGCATTGGATGGGGGAAAACCGCAGTTTTATAGCTGAGGTTGATGACGTCACTTTGGGCCGTCGGGTTAGTGTGGCGTGACGTCATAGGGTGTGTGACGTCATGGGCAAAAGCCATGGGAAAAACCCATAGGAAAAAAAACATGGGTAAAGCCCATGGGCAAAAGCCATGGGTAAAACCCATGGTAAAAACCCAATGGAAATGTATGACCCAGCTGTGGACACTGTGAGTGAGGTACACACCACAAAACGGTCCCTTTCAGGACCACGCATCTCTCAAAAGAATGGTACATCCAATGCAAACAACAATAATAACAACGATAGGTTGACATTTTTTCAAACGTTTATTTTTCCCCGCTAACAAGAACACTTTGACAAAAGATGCAGGATTAGGATCGGGAGGACCCAAGAACTACGCCTACAAGCTGCGCCATCCTCAACCCGACGGTAGTGTGGGCACCAGCAAAGTCCGAGGATTTACTCTGAATCACAGGGCGAGCGAATATGTCCACTTTGACAACATAAAGAACCTCGTCTGTCAGAGGGATCAAGGCAGCGTCACTGTCCCGTACCCGCACAAAAATTCATTCGCGGAGGACTTCGCCAGGGCAACGAGTTGCTGTCCAAGGGCACCACCAAAGTGTATTGCCCGATCTACACCAAACGGCGAGTCCAGTACGACTTACGAGGCGTGCCCGTGGAAACTCTTCCCTATGGGTACAAAGAGTGAACAAATACCCATGAACATTTGTTGCTGACATTCTCTGTTGATGTACTGTTGTTAATGTTTAATCGATGCATCATTGTCCATTCATTCAATGTTTGCCTTGTTCATTCATTCAATGGGATTGCCTTGTCCATTCATTAAAATGTGAATTCAAATGAAATGGGTTGTGTCGTCTCTCTCTCTTCAGGGCCAGACCTGGTGGAGTCCATGGTCACCCTCATCCATGTTGTACCCTGTTAGACTCAGACCTGGTGGATGCCATGGTCACGTTTACAATGTATATGTACTGTAACAAAAGGGAGGAGAAGGGAGAGCAGAGTGGCGCAGTGGAAGCGTACTGGGCTCATAACCCAGAGGCCCGTGGATCGAAACCACGCTCTGCTAACGACAATGTATTTCTTTTCTTTCTATGTTGCGAATACAACCCCCTGAGGTTGGTTGACGTCATCCATGGCCGACTCAAGTGACGTCACCCTGTGTATATAAAGAGGAGTTTCTGTCAGAGTCGTTATTCTACAGGTTCTGTTGTCTAAGAAAATGATGCAAGCCGTTCACCATGATAGGCCTAGGCCGAATCGTTGTGGCCTCGTGGTAGCTATCAAGCAGGTAGAAGGCGTGGTCGACAAACTGGTGGAGTTTAAAGTCCGAACGTGTTTCATGGAGGCTGACATTATTGAAAAACCTCGAACCTCCTTTGACCATGTCAGAGGACCCAAAGCTTACTCCCTCTTCTGCAAAGCTTTGAAGGAATGTGGAGAGACAGAAGCCATGACATTACTGGGTCTTGAGACTCAGTGACGTCATCCATGCACGATTCACGTACGTCACCCTGTGTATATAAAGACTCTGACCGAGTCATGATCAGTCATGTTATTCACTCTGCTCGTTGTGGCCGCAACGTATTTAGAAGAAAGATACTTTCTAGAACGGTTCAGAGAAGTGGTGCAAGACGCTGTGCAGAAGCAACACGATTGTGACGCAATTTGAAGTGACGTCATAGCTCGCGCTGCTGCTTCTCCTTTTAAAACCTCAGGATCAGTCGAGTGGGTCATCATTCGCAGCAGCTCAGCCGTTGAAGATGACATCTCCAGGCAAACCCTTTTGTTCTTCTTGTGCTTCTCCTATCGACACCATGGTTTGGCAGGCAGTAAAGAAGTACAAGGATTCTCTCATCGACAATCGGCACAAGATCTTGGTGACGGAATACCTCGATACATTGGATACAGCCACTGAGCGGCTCCTTGAAATCCTCAAGGAAGAACGGTATCAGGTGAAGGACTGCGGCATCTTCGATGAGGACTTTTGTATCAGTTACGTTGTCTGTAAGCCTGAATCCAAAGATCCAAAGAACACATCCCCAGACGACCTCCCTTCTTCCTCCTGGGCAAGGGAGTTACCTTCTATCATCGGCAATTACCAACACAACATCATAGTGACAGAATACTTGGATTCCCCTCCGAAGTTCGGGGAAATCTTCCGGGATGAAGAACGCTATCAAGTGTGAGACTTAGAGCCCATCAATGAGGATTTCTGTATCACTTACGAAGTTTGTAAGCCACAACGAGGGAGAGGTCTCGGCAACATCTTGGGAAACTTGGGACGTTCAGCTCTCTCCATCCTCAAGACGGTGGGAAAATCAGCTCTCAAAACAGGCGTCAAGATGCTGCCAGGATTAGTGCAAGATATCAGTTCTGGACACCGAAGTGTGGGGGACAGTTTGAAACATCATGGGAAACAAGCCTTACTCACGACCTTGCGACAGCACGCTCCAGGATCACCAGCACGCAAAAGAAAATGGAAACAGGCCGTGGGATTCACCAAGAAACGTAAAGCATTGTTTTGAGAGGAGGCGTCATTTGGCTTCAACTGGTCAGACAGTGCAGACGTATCAGCATGAGTGCATTCCATGTCCCCGATACGGAGAGGGTGTCTCAAAAGACCAGGCACAAGAAGTTGTATGTGGATATATCCCCATGGAGACCCTCTGGGGATATTCCTTCTCCTCTGTCATCCTCGTGGACACAACCTGGATACAGCTTGAAGAATCCTACTCACCCCGAGTATGCCAAGTTTTATCAATGGCCTAAACAGATGGCACAGTCACCTTATGACTTGGCCATGCCTGGCTATTTCTATCATGGACGAGGTGATAGCGTGATCTGTTATTGCTGTGGGCTGAAAATTCATCGATGGGAAACCACAGACCAACCCTGGCGAGAACACCTGAAGCATGCCAAAGTCCTTTGTGAATACTTGTGCCTGTTTTGTCCTGAGGAAGAAATGAATGACAACTACAGACGACTGGTGGCTGAAGAAGAATGCAAGAGAAAAGCAATGTGCTTTGAACACGGTACACCACCACCAACCACCTGTAGTTGTTGGGGTCGAGATGTCCCTGATCAAGCAGCATAAAGGACCACCCAGATGGAAAAGGGGTTCAGTTCAACACCAGACACCGTACGGTCAAGACCTGTTGTGCAGACCTGTTGTCCAGATCAGCTGTCAAGATGATGCGCCGTGATGCCTGCGAATGTTCCAAGGCACAACTAGATATCTTTTCTGTGCCCCCTGTGGTGACCTCGGTCCAAGAAGGTAAGTGGATTCGATACAGTCCTCTTGCACCCCCTTCGGTTGCAGGTCCCCTCCAATTTAACATTGCTAACCCTGTCAATGCCTACATTGATTTGAGCCAGTGTTACCTCCGCATCTGCCTCAAAATCAAGAATACAGATGGTACGGATGC